CCCCCCCCAGCGACTATACAAATAGGAATAGTAACCGCAAGAAACACCCAGTTTATTACTCTAGGGTACTAGGCCCAAAACGAAAAAAAAACACTGCTAACATGGTTGCGCGATTCTTCACACCCGTGACAATGGTCAAGCAAAGTGGGAAATTTCCGATATGGAACAGCGTTATACTGCACGGCACGGTACCTCGGGTTGCACTATGGCCCAGGAGCGAATGTACCAAGCAACTACTCGCAGCAGGGAGGCGGCCCACGTTCGGGCTCAGCACTATGTGTCCGGATAGGAAAATTACCATCCCCAAGCTATGTATGCCTCTCTATAATACACTAGTTGTATCAGTGTATTCCTATGGAGCGCAAGTTTGGGGACCTGACTTCATAAATGTGAGTTTTGAAGGCGCTAGGAGCAGCATGCGTACATGCGATCTGTAGTTGGGCCGAGGAGCCCGACTATGGCTTTCCTATACCGTGAACTCTCACAGAGACCGCTAATCTTGTACTTAGGTTTTGGAACTCCGTGATTAGAGGCCGGGAACGCTGTGTCACCGGGCATTTGTCGCCGACCTGGAATTGGCACTCGGGGGCGTTACTGAGTGATGGACAAGCAAAGTACTAGCCTTTCTTACTAGCTTAGGAACGAAACCCCCCACTAATACGCGCGGTGATGATCTCGTAGCGCATTACGCCACCCTTAATTGCCAGTAAAGAGCATTCTTAAGGTATTTGCCAAGCGGCTTGATGCACGGTGGGAGTGTCCGAATACACTAGGTGACCCCAGCGTTTTCCCCATAAGAATTACCCGGTGCCAAGGCTTGTCGCTATATGAACTGGATGGGATCGGCCCCGCCTAGGGGTGCGCGTCTCGATTGGTTGGCGCACACTAAAGTGACCATGCCTCAGCGACTGCATCAAGTGCTCATGCGTTTCCGGTTAGGCTGTCGGGAGTTAGAGGTTAATCTGCTAACGGGCATGAGCGCACCGCGCGTACCTTCCGGCTTTGTGACTGTGGAGCGGTTTAAGATGAATTGCATGTTTTTGCTGAATGCCCCGCTTACAAGAGCATACGGGCTAAATACGATGGTGAACTCGTCTTTAGGGAACGCAGCATGCGCACCATGATGGCTGAGGCGCCACCCCTGGTACCTCTGGTAAATTTGGGAGGTCAGGTATTGCAGGCGCTTCACCCTAAAGCGAACGAGGGAGGATGATGATGGCCCCCCCGCATACCCGCATCAATACCAATATAACGTCCATGGCCCCCCCGGCTTTTACGGACACACCCGCACTTGTGTGTGGAACTTGTAACTATACTTCGCTTCAAACGTTTGAGGATGGATCAGTGTTTGCGTTACACTTGGCGCGGGTAGACCCCCATGTACGCGTGCTGCCCAGTACATTTGGTGGATGCATCGGCAGGCCAACTCTGCTGCCTATGGGACCTAACCTCGCCAGGCCGCAAGCATCTACGTTGCAGGCAGCCGGCCACCAGGCTGTTCGGGACAGCCGTCAGCCCACGGGAGAGCAAAGGGCCCCATAGCTGGGACCACAATTTGCTGCCATAGGAATCTCCCTTAGGGCAGCAACAGGACCATATCAGACGCCAGTATACGTTTTTGGGACGCGTAAGCAGAAGATGCGTGTCGTGCTCACGTTTCGACTGGGTTCATAGTCGTTAACCGTTCCCCCTGGATATGGCGACAATCGTTTTCCCACAGACCATGAGGTTCTGACTTTGTACAATACATGGCTGCACACCCCACAGTTGGAAACCAATCACGTGGCACGGCGAAAGCCCCCTATCATTATCTCTCACGCATTTATCATCGTGTGGGTATTCCAATGGCCAGACAGCTTTGTTGCGTGTGGACAGACCAGTTGGGCCATAGAAAACATACTGTTCTTTTACCATATACGCCACCGGGATTCACGTCAGGTTGATCACCTAGAGGAGCCAAGGGCAGGTCCTCACTCACATCCAACAGCCAACAACATGAATCGTGTTCCGGCCGGGGCTTACACACTTCACAGCCCTCGCAACGTATGCTTGGGTCTGGCCCCGCCGCAGTACCAGCTTCCCCCTCCCTTCGGAGGTAATAAGGTTAACCTCCAGCCTGTGCGCCAATGGGAGCCCGGGAGCTCTGCCCGAACTCGTCAACGTGCAGTGGCCGCTTCTGCCGCACGCAGCGTCTTGACCAGCTCGATGCCGCTCTCACCCTCCACGTTATGGCCACTGTCCCGGGTGCGCCGGCACTTGCGTAGGAAGGTCACCAGCACCTGCAACCATCGGCCCGCCACAGACACCGCACGAAAAGTTTATGGAGAGGAACAGACCTAAACCCCTAGTGCGCACGTGATACGGAAGGATGCGCACCATCTTCGCCACCATCACCATGCGGCATCCCTGGGTAAGGCGTGAAGACAGCTGTTGGCGTGTGTGTGTGAGGAACTAGAGAAAGCTATGCACCTAGGCAGAGCCCCAAGCGTCCCTCACACAGTCCCTCAATCCCGGACGGCTGCCGCTGCGTCAGGTCCGGGCTGCTGACTTCAGTGTCATAATGCGACGTCTCACCGACAGCCTCACATATTGCAATTACACCGTCACTTATGGACCGACAACGCGAAGGAGCCCAGTGGCTCCAGTCATGCTTCCGTACCTTGTGGAAGACCTCCGGCTTATCCTCGTAGCTGCGGTGCCCAGCACCAGGGATGACCACCTGTCGCGTGAGTTTGTACGGCGGCGCAGTTCGTATGAGTGAGTGGCAGCGCGTTCAGGCCACCCATGTTGGCTGTTAACGGTTTTCTCTCTGACACAGCATTCCTTACTAATCAAACTGAAAGCCACAAGCGGTGCTCCCCATCCTTGAAGACGCAGCAAGCACGGCCCTCGGTCCGCCGAGGCTCGCCCTTCCCCACATCGCGCGCTGACCCAACATGGCGCCAAGCAACTACTTTCCAACAGTAAGCCCGAACAGTAATTAGATGTTCATCGCGCGGCCGCCGCACACGCACGTGAGTGGACATCCCACGTACAACAACCGCTACACCGCGCAACCGCTCAACGGACAAACTTGACTGCAGCCCTGTACACGTGCCGTCATCCCGCCATAAGCACAGCCGCACCGTGCACTGACCGGTGTGACCATGTGACCCGACCCGACCAGCCTCACCTTCCATGCGTACTGGAAGAGCCGAAGGAGCCGGTCCGCGTCCTTCGCGAGCGGGTCCTTAGAGCCGTACACCGCCAGGGCGCACACCTGCGGACCATAGCGGACGGGGGGCAGCAACAGACATGCATCAAGGCATCCATTCAAGCATCGGTCTGCAGTTCAACGCCGCTCCCTGAAGGAGCTAAAAAGCTTAAAAGACAACGACGTTATAGGGCATTTGGTACAAGACCCAGCTGCCTGCAGCAGCACAGTGCATCCACCCATCAACCTAGCCCAGCCGGTACGCGGCAATGCTGGGCCCTGCTAAGGTCCTTCAGTCCCTTCCAGGGCCCCCTGCCATCGACCCGGGCACCTTTCTGTGTGTATCCTCCCAGGGGCCGCCCCAGTCACGGACTCCGATGGGCGCCACCGCCACGAACGAGGTGATCATGACGCCGTGGCGGTCAAGGAAGGGGATGGAATAACGCCTGCAGAGCCCAGCAGCATCAAGTTGCAAAGGCGGGCACGATAGACCTCAGCCCCCAGGTGATGGGGCCAGCTGAAAAGTGCGAGCAGCAGCTGGTCGGAATGAGCACGCGGCATAGCGGTGCCAATCAAAGTTATCGCAACCAAAAGGACTGGTCACACGGGGAGACCCGCCACCACGTTAAAGTCCATGCCGCAGGTAGCGAAAGGTCGATCCCTGCTATGAAACACCTGGCAAAGTAGGAATATGCATTCCATGTTTGTCCTCGGGCTCTATGGGTCCTTGATCGAGGCCCGTCAAAAAAGCACATCAAGCCGGGCTCCTCGAGATGCTGATCCTTGCACGATCAACGGATAAGTGCACGTGATTGCAGCACGACCCAGATCGTGGCGCAAGAGACCGACCCGTCGTCAGGTGCACATGCTTCCTTGTGGCCTTCCGTACAACCGTGTTCTCTTCTGCTTTTCAGCCGAGGAACCAATGACTGGCCCCTGCGTGCCACTGCACCGCATTGCACTCCCTTGAGAGTCACATCGTGCTCAGGTTTACAAGGAACGGGTACTGCGTGCCTGCCTGGACGTGGCTACCCGTCCGCTGCGCGTACCCGCTCATGGAGGGCGAGATAAGGTAGACGGATGAATTGACCCGGGGCCAGGCGGCCTCAATGACCGTTTTAAGGAGTTCTGCACGCATGTTGTTATCGCTGTAAGGCAAAGCTGGAGTCGCGCCAAAACCTGCAGTGAAAATGGCACCGAGCGGGATTGCAGGGTATGGCTATGTCGCGCGCAACCCAGCAAGTACGTCCTTTCATCATGGATAAAGCCCTGGCGTGCAACATACAGCTGTGAAAACATTACAGCTGTGAAAACGCACGTGTGGGTCGTCAGTTATAAGGGCCACCAGGCTGAGCTGATGCATACAAAACTGATGCACACAAAGGTGCAGGGTGTCAACACTTGACTTCGAGGCCGCAAATGCAGGGGTACGTTGGGCCCCAGGTCGTTCAGTAGGGGTGTCCCAACAATGACCAGGACACGCACTCCGCTGCCGTTCCACGCCTTGTGTCCCCACAACGTCACGCACCAGGGAGGTCAATGGCCATCGCGCGCACTCCTGCCTCTGCGACGATCTTTAAGGTGCCTAGCTGCAGCCAGTAGTCGGAAGCATACTTGGCCCCGTGTAAAAAAATTGCCGTTGGGTTTAGCCGTGCCTCTGCACAGATGTTCCATGTATGAGGCCCGCTCGGTTAGATTTATCTCGAACTGCCACGGATGAGCAGCTTTCGCCCAACTGACCTTCTGCGGGACCGGGGTTTACTACATCGTAAAGCTTGTATGCAATCTGGATGTCAAAAAACGGTATCGTTCCCTGCTTAAGTTCAACCTGCCGGGGTCCTTCAGCAGCATTAGACAGTTGCAAGCTGCCCACGAATGCGAGGAGGAACAAAGCTACAGAAGTCATGATTTATACATGCCATGCTACATCGGATAGCCTAGGGTGCTATTGCCGCAGGCGTTCACGAAAACGAAACCTGCACGGCAAAAAATATGCCGTGCAAAACAGGGCAGACCAACGACTAGACCGTAGATAGTTTTTGTTACGATCAGAACTTGTAATGGTTTTCAGACGATTTCATAAATCAATTCTTTGGACGTGGCCGGCCCTTTACTATGTAACTGTGTGCTGTAACCTTGGCCACGTACCATACTTGCGAAGATGGTCTATTTGTTTTCAAGGAAATGAATTGATCCCTATTCCTTGCGTCAAAGCGTCTTTTTGCAGCTGGAGGCGGGGTCAGTCCCATGGCACCCAAGCCTGCAAAGAAAGATGACAAGAAACAGGTTGACCCCCTCGAGTAAGTGTGCTATGTTAGAAGGTCTTCAGCTGGTATAAGCGCCCGCGTGTTCAACTCCTGCATGTGTACATGTTACGCTCCAACTCCATGCTAGGGCTAAGTACCAGGAGGAGATAAGGCAACTTGAGCAAGCAAAGAATGATTTGCAGCTTGAGCACACCTTCGTTTTGGACAAGTTCCGCCAGCTGAAGGCTGAGAACGACCGCCTGCGTGCCGAAATTGATTTATTCAAGTCGCGGCTTACAAACGCGGCTGATGACTATGTACGTGGGCTGCGGGTGCCTTCAACCTGGCTTGGAATGGCGAGCGTCTCCAATGACCCGCCGGGACGCAAATTACCAGCCGCGGCAGGCGGGGTTCTCGCATACGTTCCTCTAATAGTGACTCGTTCAGTTTGACTGAGCTTGCCAAAAATAAATACATTGACTGAGGCACGCAACTTACGCGATCGCAAAGCATTCGATTCACATTGAAAGGTGAAACCCCCGACTCCCATCCGTGTGCCGCTTATCCAGGCGGACATTCTAGAGCACCGCCAGGAGCAAATTCGTGCGGAGGAAAACAAGCTCAAGGGGTTACAGGTGCATGGGGTTGGGAGTTTCTGGGGAAATTGCGTCGACGGTTCTCAGGCTGCTTGACCAAGTCTTATTGACTTAACGAAGCAGACGGACCGGAGCCACCTGCACAGTACTGGCCGGAATCGCCTCCAAAGTACCTAAGCGCGTGCATTACATGCCCGATGGGGGTTTAACGCCTTGCGCACTGGTTTTTGTAGAGATGCCCACAACATGGCGCGGCTTGGGCGAGTTCTTAAACCCCTCCTCTCCTCAGGCTTCAGGCTTCCACGTGTGTGTCTATCAACCGCACCCCTTGCATGGCACTCAGCACGTCTCTTATTATAACACCGCTACCCTGCCGTTGTGGCCGCCAGAACCATGTTGAAAAGCTGGAGGCGGACATCGCGAGGTATCTGGAGGAAATTCGGGTGCTGAAAGACGCCAATGCCCAGCAGGTGGGGACGGCTGCCGATTGCGGTTAGTGACTGTTTCGCGGCTTGGTTGTTCTTTGATGGTAAAAGTGTCAGGGTGAAGACAGGAGGCGCTGTAATGTATAGTGTATGAGCTAGCTCAGCTGCACAGCCCAACCCAACAGGCACATTACTGCCCCACTCTCCGACTGTCCCGATGACATCTACGCCCGGCCATCACCAGGCCATCAAGCTGGACGAGGCGGCCCAGATGCTGCAGGACAAGGAAAATCTGGAGGAGGCAGTGCGACGGCAACATGATCTGATCGAGAAGCAGACGGAGGAGCTACGCAGCCTTAAAAAGCAGCTGGAGGAGCGGGACGGTCAGCTGGAGCGGGCAAAGTGCGCGGGGGCCTCAGAGCAGGCTGAGACAGTGGGCACCCTGGGCTGTGGGTAACGCTGCAGGGAATAAGGATTTAAGAGACACGGACACGCCCGGTGTAAATGGATAGGAATTGCGAGGTTATAGCCAAAGTGCCCAAGGCTCGTGCGCCAGCACCTTTGTCCGGCCGAACGTCTTCGGTTTGCATGCCCTTCAGCGAGGACGGTCCTCTGGCCAACGCCACTGACGGCGGTTCGGTGCGCGGGCGGGGATGTGGGGCTGACCCACCGCGGAGCTATCAACCAACCTATCGCTGGAGAGGCAATGATGCGTGTAGCCGTGCGCCGGCGGCGATGGATTACCCCCCCCCTTGCTTCCGGTCTGTGGCAGAAAGTTCTGCTTGTCTACCCGCACGCGCCGCCAAATCACTTGCTACCCACTTGGCAACCTATGCCCACAGTGCCCAGATTGAGGAGCTTACACTCAAGTCGGGTGGCGCCACAGACCTGAGGATCCTATTCGACGAACCCTGGCTGGTGCAGGTGAGCAGAGACGCCCGAGTAGGCCTGCGGAGGAGCGCGTTGCGTATAGGTGGTGCTGCTGTTGCTGCCGCTGTGGCGGCTGCGGCAGTGCCGCCGTGGCGGGTGCCATACGGCAAGCTCACACGCAACGTTGGCCGTTTGCCAGGGACGTGTTTTTGTAGCTAAGTCCGTTTATGCGCTGACTGGGACGCAGCTTCGCTTCTTGCGGCTCCTTTTGCAACGATTGACTTGCCTTGCCCCGAATGGTCTTAGGCTTCTGCGTGGCTGTATGGCTGCGGCAACCAGCGAATGCTTTGGAGCGCACCCATCCGTACTATGGCGTACAAACCCTCCGTGTTCCAAACCCGTGGGACCCTTGTCACAGGTTTCCTACGCTCGCCTCAAGGGTGACATTCCCCTGGACCGTGAGATGGGCTCCATCGCCTCTCTTGGACGTAAGTGCAGATGACCGGGTTTCCCTGCGGGCCTAGGGGGCAGCGCCGGAAGAGTGTCGGGTCCGGCCGGCGGTCCCCAGGGAGCGCTGCATTTGCATCAAGGAGACTATCGCTGCAGCTGCGCTAACTGAAACAGCACAGTGCCGGGGCTAGGGAACGTCAGGTGTGGTTGGAGATATCCCTCACTATTTGTAATGTGTCCCCTTTTCCCTCAGTCGGCAAGCAGCTGGTGCTGTACGGAGGTGTCAGCAAGGTGGGCGGCTCCACATCTGAGAGCGTGGGCCGTGAGGTGGCGGTGCTCAATGTGGAGAGCGGTGTGTGGGAGCGGCCCAGCTCGGCACGAACATTGGCAACCAGCTACAGCCACTCGGCAGTGGTAGTGGGGCGCACCAAGCTGCTGGTGTTTGGCGGCATGCGGGGTGATGGGGTGGCAGCGGCGGACGTGGCGCTGCTAAATGCGGACACCATGAAGTGGCTTTCGCCACAGATTAAGGTGCGGGGCGTGCGGGGCGCTGGGACGACTGGGTGCCATCTAGCGTGCAAACCGCATCGCGAGTGGCGTGTGAGCGTCCCCTCTAGCACGCATGTCGGAAGCTGGCAATGTCCCGCAGCCATGTCGTTCTCGCAGCTGCATTAACGCACTTGTTCAACCCGTCACCCTATGTTGCACAGGGCGCCGACCGGCCGCTGCCGCGGTCGGGTCACTCGAGCTGCTGCATCCGCGAGCGCGTGTTCGTATTTGGCGGCGCCTCTGCGGACGGCGTGCTGCTCAACGATGTATGGATGTACGACCAGGACAGCTGCCAATGGAGCCACATCAGCACCTTTGGCACAGTGCCGGCACCTCGCACGGGTAAAGCGGCGGTGGATGCGACAGGGCGGCGGCACTCTTCATGTGCTTGTGTGCTCACATGCGATGTACACCCGCACGCCTGGGAGTTGGGAGCTGCTCGTGTCCTTTTGCGTCTTGTACTTATGCCAGCGAATAATGCGCTTCTCCTAATCCCTGTTGCCTCTGCACGAAATCCGTGCAGGTGCGGCAGCCACGTGCACTGATGACGGCAGACGGTTGTACGTCTTTGGCGGTAACGACGGTAGCCGCTGCCTGAACGATGTCCACTACCTGGACCTAGAGAAGCTGACGTGGAGCCCGGTTGCGGTGCACGTAAGTGTAGCTGCGGTACGGGCGCCTTGCAGGGCTGCTTTGCCACCTGCCTATTACCTAAGTTCGTCGCCTCTCCAGGGCCCCTAAGTTCGTCGGTTCTCCAGGGCCGCGATTTATTCTGTTTTCACGGCTGGTGTCAACCGTAAGCCTAACTGGATGCCGCTTTATCCATGCGCCATCCGTCCGCAGATGGGGCAAGCTCCAGAGCCTCGCGAGTGCGCGGTGGCCCACGTGACAGGTGATCATTTGGCTGGATACTTGCCTTTCTGGGCTCTAGGGGTTGTGCCTGTACGCTAGCCCGGACGATTCAAGTTCGCGTTGTGTGCACGTATACATCCCCCCCATGCACCACGTACATGGCCTCTCTCCACCAACGCCGCGCATGCCCATGTGGGCTCCTGTTACGACATATCCTCTTGCGGTCGCCGTGCAGGCAAGTACCTACTGGTCGCGGGCGGCTGTTCCGGGACCGGTCGCTGCATGTGCGATACACGCGCTCTGGACCTTTACTCGCCGCGGTGGGAGACGCTGGACGATGGGGCCTGGGCAAACGGCGTTATGTGGCTTAAGCCGCGCGCCGCGTACATTGCCTTCTTTGGCAACCGGCAATTCACTATCAAGCCAAGCATGCATGAGAAGCTGTGGGAGCTGCAGGTGTGATGGGATTGAGGCCAGCAGGCGATTGGGGATTCAGGCAGCTGTAAGGGCTAAAAGTACTAACGGTTTGGCAAGCGGTGTTTGATGGACGGGATTGCAAGGTGACCAGGAGTAACGGAACAGGTGCCAGTCGCAGGCAGCTTCCCTCGCGCTGTGCTGACGCCTCGTTGAGGGCATCCGAGTCATATTGATTAAAGGCGTCATTGAAATGCAAATCCAGATTTTGGTAGTCTTGTATGTTATGGACAGGAACGCTCCGTAACGCGTCCTGCAGACCCGGGCAGACATCCTACCTTGACCTACCCACCCGTTTCCTACCTTGACCTGTACTGGCTGACAAAGTTGCCCATGGTAACACGGATCCCTCTCCCTCATATCTTTTGTGTTGTTTGGCGTATCCTGGGCATTTCCATCCCCACCGATGTGGCCATTGCAAGATTACTGAGTGGTCGTTGCCAGAAGACATTGAGCGGCTGCGAGCCAACCGGCGCAAGGACATGGGCTTCAGCGAGAAGCTGGAGCTGTCAGATGATGCAGGTGCGGGCGGCCGAGGAGAGCTTGCAACTGCTTGCTGGTGTTGCATGTTTCGGACGTCTTTGGGCCACCCGTCTGGGGAAAAGGCTAGAGAGTTCGCGATGGCTGACTTCGCGGCATCCATTGCATGCGATAGGCACGCTGTTGCGTTTGACCATGCTCATGGCGTGCAAGTTTCGTGCCCACAAAGCGCAGCCTGTTCCGATAGTTGATACCGGCCATACCGCAGTTACCATGGGCTGCACTCGTCGCGCATCACGTGCAACATGCGATTTCAGACTTCTAGCCTGCCCAATCCCAGCCATGTGACCTTCTGGGTTACTTTTGTCCTCCAGTCCATCCCTTTCTTGCACCCTTCTTCCCTTTCTTGCACTCTTTCATTCCATCCGCCCGCCGCTTCGGCCTCACGCCACCCGTCCCAGTTTGCGGCGTGTCCTTCCTGGAGCTGAGCTGGCGGCCTCCCACCAAGAACTCGGACCGCATCGAACGCTACAAGCTGATGATTGCGACGGGCACGGGCGTGGTCAAGGACGTATACCAGGGCAGGGAGAGCCGCTTCCGCGTTACTGGCCTGAAGTCCAACACCGAGTACATCCTGTGTGTCAAGGCGATCTACGATGACGGCTCATTCTTATGGAGCGAGTCCAAGGCCTACCGTACACTCACGTGAACACTTCCAGTGTATGACATGATTGGATGCATGGTGCAGATCCCGCTTAAGCATGGCGACGTCTGCTCTGGTTACCCGGAGTGTGGGAGGTTCCCGGATCGCCGTATGCATGATCCTTTATCCCACCCGTAGAAGCTTCCGATTGTTTATTTGGATTTCCGTTCTGCTTCTGTGCTCGATGCCGTCGCCAATATGTCAGGGTTCATGGCGTCTAGGTCGCGTGCACCGGTGGCTTGCTAATAGGGGTTGGCGTTTGGGGACTGGGTAACCATGACTGACTTCTACTCTCTGTAATAGCCGCCTTGGTTTCGAAAGTATGTCCATCTCCCGTACTGGGCTGGTGTTGCCTGTGGTCGGCAGGTCAAACACCTTACTTGCCCTATCACTTCTACCGTGTCTGGAACAGCTTCATTCTTGGGTACCCACGGCGACTAGTTCGTAAACTGTGATTGCCATGGCACTGTTCACTCTTGAGACTCTTTCGCGCTTGCATGAAAGCCGAGTGAAGCTTTCACACACCATGTGCCTTAATTACCTCGTGGTGCGTGTGCCTGATATCGCACAGGAGCTCCGGGCTTCCAATGGTTGCCTGAACATCCTAATGATGCGCCCTGCTGAGGTGGTGTGGAGATTTTTGTGCCACTAGCCCCATCCCAGCTGGCCACTGCTGTCCCACCCCTAATTCGCTGTAAGGGGACAGCTTGACGGCGTGAGCAGCAGGCCGGTGACACATAGCAGCCCCAAGAGGCTGGAGCATAGCATGCATGCGCATAAAAGTAACTTAAAGGCGACGAAGGGCCCTACCCTTCAGAGAAGTTCTCTGGGCCCAGCATGCCAAGGTGTTTGCAGAATTGAATTAATGTATGAGAATGTCTTTAAATAGGTGACCAAACCTAGCTGTCAATGTTATCGCATTCCGGGCCTTCCTCATCGCTCCATGCCAATATTAGGGGTGGACCCCTCATCTTCAGCGATACATCGTACCGATTGGTTGTGTTTCGTTTTATGGCCACGGTACCGGCGGTACGATAACTAGCTACCGTACTCCCCATGAGAGTCAAGTTTTCACGATTGCACTCGTTACCGGACGGGTCAAAGGTAGGGAGCAAAGTTAGGAAATGGACGGGTCCAGAAACTATAGGCTTGACCTCGGTGGTGAAGTTGAGGTTAGTGGACGCCACGTCGGTGGACGATGACGATGAAGGCGATGACGAAGGCGACGACGACGAGCAAGGCGAGGCGGATCACCTAGGCCAACCGGATACCAACTGAAACGGAACAGGACCACTCCTTAACGCTCATGAAGTAAAAGCTGACTTTCCTTGAATTCTCGACTGACTTATGATAAGCCAAGAGGAACAGGGCGCTTCGAGGTAAACTTAGACCTGCAGTATTCTACAATTGGTCCGCTTAGTAAACCACACTCTACGCCCAAAGTTCTTCGTCGCCTTTAGGGGAACCAAAGTCTCTTCTTCGTCTCCCCTTCATCTCCCTTTCGTCTTCCCGAAGGAAAACACACACACCCCAAAGTCTCTTCTTTTACTACGTTGTAGTAGGCCTCCGGCCAAAACTACGTAGCTGAAGGCCTAGTATATCGTCTACATTAGAAGGCTCCCCTTTAGGGGAAGAATTAAAGTTCCCAGAGGGGAGGAAGGGTAATCCCTTGTCCCCTTTGGCTCATCCCCTTTAGTTCTTCCCCTTTGGGGAACTAAAGGGGAAGAACCGAAGGGGGAAGGTTGTCCCCTTAGTTTTCCCCTTCTTGTTCTTCCCCTTTAGGGGACAATGACTTTGGTTCCCCTAAAGTCCCTTTAGTTCCCCGAAGGGGGAAGACGAAAAGGTCAAAACGAAGGGGAAGAACTAAAGGGGATGGAACCCGAAGGGGACTTCCCCTTCGGGGATCCCAAAGGGAAAGGCTTCCCCCTTCAGGGAGACGAAGAAGGGGACGAGCTGTTAGTGGGTTGAATTTATTGTGGTATTACTTGCTTTTTATTTCCTTTTTGGGTAGGCCTTTTTAGTTGTTTATCACAAGCCATTAAAGGGGAACCAGAGGGACACCTTTGGGTATGTCAGGGGAAGACAACGAAACCCAAAAGGGGACAAGAAAAGCGCTGTGAATAGGGACGATGCATTAGGACTAGGGTTGACGCGCTCTTCACAACTATGTTCGGCTACCATATACTTTATGGATTATCTGGGGAAGAACCAAAGTCTTCCCAAAAGTCTCTTCTTCGTCTCCCCGAAGGGGAACACCCCTTCTTCCCCACCGAAGGGTTTTCATCCCCAAAGGGTTTCCGAAGGGGACACCCTTCTTGTTCTCCTTCTTAATACCACACAAACAAATAACAATAGCAGGCGGCTGGCAGAGGTTAAGGCCTGGCTTCTGCTCCCGACGCGTCTTGGCGCGTCCGGGTTCAAATCCGCCTGCCGACCTCTCTGGGTGTTTGAGAGGTGATGAAATGGGAGGTGGCCCTCCATCTTGGTGACGGTGTAGGACGTGGTATAATCAATTCGCGAGCTGACCAGGAGCTAAGTTGACGCGCCGTTGATCCGCTAGATTTGGTTGGATGCTGGTGGTGAGTTGCCAAACTTAAAGAATACTCTCTGAAGTCGGATGGGGTGAATGGCTTAGGGTGCCCCTCTAGCAGGGGAGAGCAGGGAATTGCCTCGGGAAGGAGGCCACTGGTGAAGCTTAACCACCCTGTAACAACATCAACAACAGTAAAAAATTCTGGCGTAGTAAAGATATCATTACAACGCACCCTAGCAATATATAGGTTTACTCCAATCAGCCAACGTACACGTTTACGTGAAGTTCTTAAACAACCTCGAGCTTCTCCGTTGTTATTAGAAGATCAAGTAGCTACAATTTATGCCGGAACAAACGGTTATTTTGATTCTTTAGAAGTAAACCAAGTTCGTGCTTTTGTTTTCGTCTCCCCTTCGTCTCCCCGAAGGGAAGACATCCCTTTAGTTCTTCCCATAAAGAGGAATCCCTTCGTCATCCCCTTCGGGGAACACCAAAGGGGAAGAACTCCCCCACGGTTCCCCTTAAGGGGATGAAGAAGGGATGTGTGTTCCCCTTCGTCTCCCCGAAGTTGAACACACACAACAAAGGGGTTCCCCTTAAGTTCATCTTCTTTAGTTCGTGCCCTTTAGGAGAACCAAAGGGGTGTGTGTTCCCCTTCGGGGAGACGAAGGGGAGACGGCTTGCCCAAAAGAGGAATTGTCTTAGTCTGTAGTGGGTGCATTTGGGGGCGCTGCAGTCTATGTTGTGATGAGATTTAATAATCTGTACGAGCACTGTGAGTCGAATGAGGTGCTATAATGGATTGAAAGCTTACAAGGAGCAACGCTATTGGATGGGTTGTGTTCATACAGTAAACTTCACTCTCCTCAGGCATGTCGAAAGGCCATCATTTTTCCCTTTCTCTGTGTGGGACAAGGGGGTCATATCTTCACCCTGCGGCCGCTACCCGGCAGACCGCTGCCGTCCCCGGTATTTCGGGGCAACCTCATCCAGTCACCCTAGCCAACTTCTCAGTGGATCGCTCAGGTACCGCACCCAACACCGGCATCCAACGGAATCTGCCGCATCAACTGCGGCTCATCTCCAATCGTGGTCAGCTCGCAAGTCAATTTTATCCCAGGTCACCACCGTCCATCGACTAGGAACTTCAGCTATGTTACATATACCAAATGCTACAACAATTGCATGCATTCACCCTTATACATCGTAATCAATATGGCGAGCAAGAACGGATTTTTATTTAAATCGCTCTTAAAGGGTATGTACACTGACCACAGCGACACTGTCGGCAAAGCACACCATTTTGACATGTCTTGTGTTGATTTCATGAACATGGAGTCCCCAGAAGGGAAAGGCACTCCTGGCAGTTCGTAGTCGCCCCTAACAGGTGCCTTGTCGTCTTTGCCATCCCCTAAAAAGTAAGTTTCATACAAATTGCGAGCGATTGTCATCACCAGTCCCAAATTTCCTATCTCATCTTGCCCATCTTATCTTCTCCCACAGAGCTCCAGTGGAGCTGGTCATCATCCCCACTAAGAATGTGGGACGCCACGCGCCGCAGGCCCTTTTAAACAATTTACCTGACCACGTGATGAACAACAGAACCGACATGCTGCTGCTTATAATGCGGGTGCCTTCAATAATGACATCGCCCTTCGTGGCGGATATGTACCAGGCAGTATTCTTTGGGGCAAAGAGCCCCTTGAAAATCAAACCACCGCCGTGGTATACAGGTAAGACCACGAGCCCACAGTTAGTGTATTTCACAATTTTACCAATGACTCTCACATTGTAATAAGAAATTTGTGCCACTGTAGATATCATTACAATCAATTAACCTGTCGATTGCGTGGTGAATATCGAAGCATTGCCTGTTCAGGCTGAAATACCCCAACCAAGACGACGAGATCATCAGGGTGTTTCGTGACATCCTGAAAAATGAAATCCGATTTAATAACAGCGCTATCCTCTTTGAGCGCGCCATACCGCAACTCATCCCGCCTGGTCAATTTGCGTCATAAGTACTTTTGTAACCGCCCTAAGCTCGGCCACTTCTTCACACTGCACATTTTGCGGACTTCTGCGGAGCTGGTGCAAGCCGATGCTGGTGCCCGAGCGGAAGGCGGTTCAGCTGCATCTAGATAGCCGCCGCGGAAGGCGGTGCACTTAGGACGAAAGCCGCTGCTGCAGTCCGCTAAGTGAGGCACGAATGCGTGTCAGGCAACAGGGGGAAACAGTTAGCTCCGGAAACCCGCAGCGGCAACCTGTCGGATTGAAGGCGGTACGTGTTCGTGAAGGTAGCAGCTCGGAAAGGCGGTGCTTGTGGGATTAAAGCAGCTGAGGTGGTTCACTGAGGACTGTCGCGTCCTTTCCCAGCAACCGAAGGCACGTGGGGACAAAGGTAAAGTGAAAAGCTCCCAAAAGGTAAAGTAAAAAGCTTGTCGTTGTTCTACGCAAACGGCCGCAGTTCTAAACCATGCTAAAATGCGTAAGTGACCTTACAATTACATTATTTGACAAAAATACAATAAGATCAGCCTCTTGTTGGACAAATAAACACTTAGCTATAGGACACTTTTTTCACTGGGCTAAAAAGAGCATCAATAGTTAAAACGCCTATGGGCACTGGGTTTCTGCAACAGGATAGGCCCCGGGAAATCGGCACTAGCTCAGCCAACGTGCTTAAAATGCGCGTATATAAAGCAATCTGGAGTACGCTGCCCCCGTCGAACGACGATGGCCACCGTCATAAGCTGCGGCCTATCTTGACCCCTTAGTAGGCCGGCGTGGGAGATGCATGCGTGAAATGTGGTGATGGCCTGGGCGGTGCCGCCAGCTTCTCTTCGTTACCAAGCGGCGATGACTAACCGTATCAGGACAGTACATGCACTTCCGAGCCCCCTGAGGGACATCAAATCCCAGTAACTGCCTACGAACACGCCCACAGCCACATGCCGCCATGCAGCAAATTGCGGACAACCTCCCGCCGTACCCGTGTCTCACGCAGCGTCAGAGAGCGCACGCCCGTGACCAAGCAAAACGACGGCACTGAGCAGCGGAACACGACACTGATGCCCGTCACAGGCCCCCAACGACCCAGACCGCACCCCTTCGGCGAATTGCTGGCAGCTCCAACGAAACTCGGCGGCGGTGACGATCAGCAAGGGGGCAACCGAGGGGTAGTGCCACATGCCGGGCATCACCAGCAGGCGCAGTGGGCAGAAATGCCAACCAGTGGATGTGCTGGGACGTCCCCCTCCATGAGCCCCATAGCAAACTCCTCAACCACTATACATGCGATCCGCGACCTATTGCAATGTCCCAGGGGCGTCGAATGGCCGACGGGAGTAAACAAGAGGAACACCCCGTCAGTTGTGTCTCAGGTCCTGCACCAGGCTCTAAAGCGATCGCCGCCTACAGCCCCACCACCACGAAGCCGACCGCCATGGACAGGGACAGCAGCGCCACCAGCCCCGCCGGGAAGAACTTCTTGCTGTTGTTGAAGCGGCTTGCCATTACGACCCCCAGCATCGTGCACAGAGCTGCGGTGCTTGTCAGGATACACGAGGGCCAGAGGCAGGGAGTGCATTTCAGGGGGCATTCAGGCGAACAGGAAAGGTGCTCAACTTAATCGTAAATCCTCAGAGCGGCTGCTTTGGGGCTGCAGCATGAAAGCGCTCTGGAAGGACCCCGTGGCTCCTTCGCTCCGCTGTACCACCGCGCTACACAGGCCCACTGCTTCAACGTGATATGGGTTACATGTGAATGGGGCTCTGTGGGAGTCGTGGTCGGGGATTGAAGGGTCACCAGACAACCCGTTGCCGTCGCAGAAACCCCCAGAAAGTGCTGCACCCTACCATTATCCTGGCTCGACCCCTCCGGCAAGACGTGCAGGCTAGGGGAGTGATGAACCCTGCCTTGGCCAGACGGGCTCCATTCCTCCCTGCGTGCTGTGTGCTCCTCTTCCGACAGCAACCCTCAAGCCGGTACCGTCCCATGGGGCACCAGCTGCCCCGCCCGGGCTGAGCACCCCCGCCCCCGTACACTCGTTCCTTGGCAGCAGCTTCACTCGTTCGTGGTTCGTCTTTCCCCCGGAGTCCCAATGACCGCAGTCCCCCGGAGCCCCAACGGTCTCATCCCAGCTCAGACCCGGTACCCACCTAGCACACCCCGAGAGCACCCGTGACTGCAGCCGGAGCCCTCTCGACCCGCACGGGGACCACATGTTGCCGCCAAGGCCTCCCCACCCGAACCCTACCCACCGAAAGCCACTCGCGCAGGGCCCACCGCAGCGGTGCCCACCATGGAGCGAGCACACAAAGCCAGGATGAGCGCCGCACCGGCCCCCGCACCCAGAGACTTGCCGCTGCCTTTTCGCGCGAAGGCCAGCGCCCCACCCACTGCGGGGGAAGGGGGGGAAGTTATCCGGGGGTTCCAAACAGGCAGTGGACGCACTCACTTTGCTGCCCGTGGCCACTTTGTCAGCAGGTAACGGCAAGTTGGTGTTGTTCAGTAACATCGCTTTTCAAACGATATCCGCTGGAGAGTGACATCACGAGCTACACATCCCGCCCGTTGGAGTACGGCAACACAGGATCGCACCCGCTTATGGTTCTTATGATGCGTTATCGCCCACCAACTCAACTCCTGCAGCTGCCGGTTGACGGAAGGAAGGGGAGGTGCATGCGAGAAGGCCAGGCGGCTCGGGCGGTGAGTGTTCCCCAGTCATTGGTGCAACCGCCCATGCACGGCGCCATGCCGCGGGAGGGATTACAGACGGGTTCCAAACAGCAACACAGCTGCACGGCTCGGTTTGTGGCAGCCGCTCAAACGTGCTCATACGTACGACACAGCCTTACCTGCCAGAAGTGCGGCAAACGCGAACGTGAAGTTGCGCATGGGGTGGGGCTGTGAGCCGCCCGCATCACCGCCGCCGCCACCGCTGCCGCTGCCCCCACCGCTGCCGGCCCCGCCCCCGCCGCCAGATCCGCCGGTGCTACTCACATCGTTAATCAACGCCCTCGTCGTCGCGTCGGTGACGCAATTACCGCTGGTCATGCCTGCAGAACCCCCGGACCCATGTGCTTGAAGTGGGTATGGTGGTCTGGCTTATTGTGTTTTTTTCCACCAAGTCCCCAAGGCAACCGCGTAGCTCAGATGTCCGACAGATGGCACGAGTTCTTTGAAAATTAAGTCCACCTAGCGAATTTCCGCCATAGTCTCTTCATGGCTGAGGGGTATCTGTGGCTCCTACACACACCCAGTATGTGCACACGGATGTACTCATGTCCAGGATGCGTACGTTATGGGCTTTTGGGGAACAGTAATCCGGTGCGACGGTATTTAAAGTGGGACTTTTGCGACACTTTCTGTCGTACTTTTGCTAACGGAGAAAACGGCGACCCGGAGATCCTTGTCCGTGTAACAGTGTTCTCCAATGCCAGGATTTCTACTATCCCTACCTGTCTAGAGGTTATACAAGGATTGGCGTTATAAGATTGCCAGGCAGAAAGTGCTTACCCGGGACATCATCAGCAAAAGCACGTCGGGGTAAATAACTCCTCCAAAGCGGACGCACACCATGGCGCCTGCAGATTTGGCCATCTTCCAGTGTAATGTCGAAATGTTAAGGAAAGGGATCCGCCTGAGGGTGCACACCTGCTGTAACTTCGCGACGGGACCGAGGCCGTGATTGCTGCACGTACCGTCGCCATTTGTCCACAGTAGCACAATAGTTTCTGGAAGATTTAGAACGTCCATTTTGTGGCAGAAGGTGTACTGCAGCAGTTTACGACTGTCCGCAAATGCGGGGTAAAGACATTTTACCTCCGATTCTTTCGTAGCACTTGGCACAAATTCAAATTTCATATCCGTGCTCCATAACACTGTGGCGTTTAAATGCTACATCAAGGCGGCTTGCACCTAAGAAAAGTCTTGCATACATGGATGTTCCTGGCCGCATTGTGCGCAAGTCCAAGTCTGTTGTTGGCATGCATGGTAGTCAAAGCATCCAAGACGTCGAGCGGGATGGAAGCACCAGCCGCGTGTTCCCATCTGCCGTCCCAAATGCTCCTGCTGCTGCTGCTGCTGCTGCCTGGCCATGGACCAGGACGTGCAACCTGCTTCTCGTCGTCTGTACTGCTATCCTCCTTATCCTATACCTTCGAATTCTGTGGCGAAGACGGCGCTTGAAGCAGGCACAGTTAACGGATTACGGTATGTAGTTTATTACAGCTGGCCGGCGGCTGAGGTTTGTGCGGACATGGCGCTTGCAGCACGGGTGCGCTGAGGAGCTGGGTGCTGGACAACTTTATTTCGCAGAATGAAATTAGACGAGGCCGCTAGCAGCAGTCTATCGGCCAGTTGTTGAGTTTTCTCCGCCCGTTGATGATGAGCTGTAACCTGAAGTTTCATTCCATCCACCGGCGATTACACTACCTCCCCTGTCAGTTTCATCTTGGCCTTTTGCTTTTCGCCAAGTCTATACGTATGCCCGCATATATTCATGTTTGTATGTCTGTGTGTATGTATGTAGCTGCCGAGCTCCAAATGAACGTCACAATCCGGAGAGCGCGCGCCCTGGAAGCGATGCAGCGGGAGTACGACCGTAAGGCCCGGGAGTTCCAGGAGCTGCAGGCCATGCATGACGCGAGGACACGAGGAATTCGTACATCGTGCGAATAGGTGAGACGCTGGCTTCGTTGAACTGGCGTACACTGAATCAGGGTAGGTGGCATCACCCCGTCCGGGTCCTAGGGCACAATCATGTGTTCGGTAAACCGACGTGTACGTCACAAACGAGTGGGCGGTATGCGTGTTGGGTTCTGGCGGCCGCCGTGCCGTATGGGTGAGATGAGTAATGTGATGACTTGGCATTTCTGAAATATTGGTTTGCATAATTATCCTTGCTTGCATGCGGTAGCCTGCGGCGACCTGCCTTGCTGAAGTGGACGTGTGAAGTGGACGTATGATGATGGCAACGATGAACGGAGAAACTCAATTTGCGTGTCGTGCGTATTATATGCATGTACGGCTAGCGTGCCATGTACATGCCTATGCCTGGTCGTTATGCTGTCGTGAATGTTTGCTGAGGTCGTACCAGCACCATGCACCGCAACCTGTCTGCATATTGGCCTCTGTATCCATCGTGTGAACGAAGCACATGCGCATACGCAGCCACTGTATGTACTTGCAGCCGCAGATCCGTCCCGAGGCTCCCTGCCCACACGAGCCTATGAATGGACGAGATCCACGTTGGACCGAATTATATCAAGCGTGATGAAATAATGGAAACCTACTATATCTAATGGCATCTAATCTCCTTGCCTTGTTGGACAGCCGGACATTAAGTGACGTATACAGCGGAGTGTTTGCATGGACAGTTCCTGATGTCTACATGCATCAATGGACGCATTTGGGTTTTGAGTACGGTGTAACTGAGGTGCACTGTACGTATGTATGTATGTATCCCAGCTGGCAACAGATGAGTTGACCCCTGGTGTTTATCACACGTGCGTTCTCCTCTAGATGACAGGACAGAAAGTGGAACCAGCAAGCGGCACGTGCTTAATATTGATTGTGTCAAGTCGTCCGGCGATCGGCTGACTGACAGCAGGCAGGTAGCGAGCAGGTATGTTTCATTCATGTGTGGCTGTTCGCTTGCAATTGGCGGTGCCTTGCATGCGAGAGCGTGGCTCACGTAAACAGTGGCTTAATGGAATGTATTGCAAATAAGGGCTCTGTAAATCCCGTGTGTGCTATATACCATCTGCGGCTGGACCGTTTTGCGGCAAGGCCGTTCCGTACCAGTAACAGTACGTGTGGTTATGAGGCTGGGTAACATGATGACGGTGGAGGGCAAGTTATTACTTTCAGTCGTTTATGAGGTAGATAGGTGGCCTTGAGGTGAACAGACGGTACCTTTAATTTCAGTCTCAGCCCGTGTAATGGATCAAAGCAGTTCCTGCTGCCCACTGTGACATTAAACAGCTCGTACGCGCGCATATGCGCCTGCTGGCTATTCGCCTACCTATACCAATCCGCACGAGCAATAAGCCGTATTGTGCTAGCACGTTCAGCAACATATTGATCTGCAATGTTATCAGCCAAACGAGCGAGAGCACTGCTTGCGCCCAGGTAGCCGTAGATAGCTACACGCACATACAGACTAACGCAATCACAAGCTATGCCGCAATCAAACAGATGCGTATAAAAGGATCATCATGGGCACATAAGGGCATGTTCTTATTTAAACAAAACATTGCAATCAAACGCCCCAAGATGAGCGACAGTGAATGATACACGATCTTTCAACCACGTGCAGCCGAGTGACGTGACGCTGTTGAAAGCCTTGCGCGGCTACAAACTGGCCGCAACGCTTTGACAAACACAAATAGCAAGATGCAAGCCAGCACAAGGACACGCACGCACACGAGCAGCTGCTGCTGTTACGGACGTCGGTCAAACGTCAAAGTGACTGTACATACACTAAGCAAACAACCCAACATCGGGATAACACGACGCTCTCCAATATAGTTGAAGCCAACTCACCACAAAAATTCTTCAACTAGCTATGAAATTTACACGCCGCCGTCCATCACCCCAGCTGACCCTTAACGAGCGCCAAAATTCAGCACTTCCCGCAGCTGACGCACGCAAGCACACAATTAATTACTCAGAGAAGTGTGCCGTGATGGCCAATCAGGGTGGGGCCGTGTACCAAGCGCATACACAAGACGCAGCAGCCCCGGAGGAGGGGCTCCAAGAGGTCATGTGGCCACAACTCCCACAGGAGGGCAATCAAATGATGCATCCACTCGCGCAACAGCGTCAACACATTTGTCAACGTGGGATGAATTAGGATGTACGTACGCACGTGACGGGCAAATGCATATCGCAGCATCTACACTGAGTGTCATCGCTCGTACTATCCATACTTTTCGCTGCTGCCTGGATAAGCAACAGGCGCGGCGTGCTGGCCGAACGAGCAGCAGTACGTATCAGACGGCGCGACCCCCAAAACCAGCTAGACGGCCTCACTGCTGCCGGCGCATTTTTCGCACGCAAATGTACGTGCGAAGCATTTCAGCTTGATATCGCATTGCGCAGCTAGCATCGTGTTCTGTTTCTAGCCCAGCCTCCACTAAAAGCAGAGGGCCACTATAAGGCTACACATGTAGCGCTAGCCACGGATGGAGGCACCATAGAAACAGATGGCACTAAACTACGCGAAAAGACGCACGGTGCAACCAGGGGATGAGATGAAGCATGTTGGATTGATTGAAATGCCGCGCACCCCTGCTGCTTACCACCGCCAGCCTGTAGTGACGAAATGCTGGGCAGTACAACGATTCGCGCGCGGGATGAACGATTCCTGTGCGTTCGCCTATGTGTTATATGGTAGTGCATTATATGGTAGACGCTGAATGCGGAACTCGTCTAGACGGCAGCCATCTAATGTTACGAAATCGCAAATGTTGGTCCCACCGTGCTCGATTGAATTCAAAGTATACTTTATTTGGGCGGACGCACCCACCGCAGCCATTACCACGCGGGCCGGAGCCTGACGTGTGTCTGTGCGCGTGCATGGCGTTTGGGGTTTTAGTTTGAATTGGAGCATTTGGGGCTTCGAGAAGCATTCCTGCCTCTGCATGCTTGGCAGTCCCCGGCCGCAGCCGTCAGCCAGTCACACAACCTGTCACACAACGCGCGATTCATGCCGCTAGCAATACCAGCTACGCGTCATTTATATATGTACAATGCCGTGCAGGGCAATGGCAGACAGGAAACGAGAGACCGACCGCGTGTTGCCCACATGCATGCTCATCCTCACCACTTGCTAGGTGGCAGACCAAAGTCAGCCAGCTGCTTTGCCGTGATGGCTGTTGCCCTCAGTGGTGAACCCCCTGCTCCGACATCCTCCCTAGTGCTGCTGCTGGGGTTGACGTCTTGGCCGCGGATCATGGTGGCTGTCTTGTTTATTGTTGACCGCATCAGTGACTGCATGAGCGGACTGCCCGGCGCGCTACCGGCAAGGCCACTCAGCCCACCTCCAGTCCTGTTGCTTCCACTCGGCATACTCTGCGATGCGGATAAAACAAATAGGTAATCAAGAACGCGAAAAGCAACGGAGCAAAGGCCGTCACTAAGGTCGCCTGTCCTACTTAGCTATCTTCTGCTCCATTATCAACGCTCATGCACGACATAGCATCATGAAAGGTCGGCGCGACACGCGTAGTGCACAGCAGGATCCCATCAAAGAGGACATGCATGCATGATCTGAACATGCTCATGGAGCAAGAGCATGCACGTATGGCACTACGCACGCACTAACCTGCTGGACGGCCCAGCCGCCGGAAGCTACGGATGAAGCCATTGTGCCGCCCAGGCGTCCACTTGCATTATTGGGGTTACTCTCTTGCTGTTCGGGAGCGGACCTCTTGTTTCGAATGGAAGTCATCAGGTTTTCTTCTTGCTGTGCGTGTCGCACCACCGGGCTCGCGCCAAGAGCTGATTGGGCTGGTAACCTGTAGATGTGTATGGAGACGCGTCAAGATGCCGCCGCAATAGCAGGACACGGACGTGCTTCAAGCATGGCTTGGCCAAGGACACAAGCAGACCGAGACCAGCAGCATAAGGTAGGAGAAAAACAAGCGATGCAAGCGAAACGTACGCTCGGCAGCACTGCAGGCGCGCTTGGTGATTGTGCATGTTTACTTGCATTATGCTTTTCATCACTAAGAAGCCACCACCGCCCTAGCTTTGCTTCCCATGGCTTGCTGCGGGAATTTACAGAAGATTTTCAACCTATGGGTCGGGGTTTTATCCATACGTGTTCAGCGAGGCCACAGCCCACCGCGACGCAGGTGACGAGGGCGCGCACCTGGTGGCTGTGTTGGTCAGTGCTTGTGACGCTGGCTGCGGTTGGGCAGCCGTCGCCGCAACAGCGGAGGAACCTTGCGCGGGTGCTGCTGCTTCCCCTTTCACCTGCTGTTCCTGTTGGGCAAGGCCCATGGCTCTACCAGGAGCAGGTCTATGGCCCGCAGCCGCATCAGCATCAGCAAACCCTTTTCGTCCCTCCTTTCGGGCCTCCGTAAAAGAAACCTGCGTGTAACGGCAGCAGGCGACCGAGGTGCGCGGGCAGTACCGCGTAGAAAGTAGGTTGCATGCAATTTGTGGTGAAGAGTAAAGCACATGCGTGAAGTATTGCTACATGATTCAGGTCCAGTAGACCCAGCTGTGCCCCACGACTCGTGCCCGTGCTCCGTCCATCTACTGCCTAAGCGTCGCACCGCACTGAAAAGCCAACGGGCGAACAGGCCTGTACTGCTGAAAGCAAAATATACAAGGGGGAGTAAGGGAACTTCCGTACGCCCATGACCTGGGTCAGTCCGTCCCCTTGCCGTCACGAACCTGTACTTGTGCGCGGACGCTACGTGTAAATAAATTAATATAAGAATAATCAAAAATAAGGAATTGCGATGCTCGCACGCGTAAGCACATACTTATGTACATACATACATACATACCTGCACCTCAGTTTGGTGCTTGGGCCTGCGCAACGATGCCATCATGCGCTCCATAAGGGTTGCCTTCCCACCAGGCTTTGATGGCCCTGCATACGTGCAAATTGAAGTACCGTTATGCTTTAAATCACACATGTTGCATTAGGCTTTTGTGCTCGTTGCTGAGTCACACAGCTGAACCTATGTATGGGTCCGTTCGTTAAGTCGGTCGATATACGCATGTCAATGTACAGCAGCACTACAGCAGTTGACGACCCTCGATCCCACACACATGGCACATGGTTAGGACCGAAGTCAGGTGGGCATTATGTTTGCTCCTCAGACCTTGCAACCATGTGCAAACAATGCAAGTAAGCTTGCAAGTATATAAGAGCAATAGGCAATCAAGAGATCTGGCTGAGCTATACAGATCCGGTATGCACCTGTTGTAAAGGGGAGATACGATGTGTAAAAGGCTTCATATGGTTCCAGCCAACCCTCTTAACTGTCTATCGCTCTCACATACTTACAAGCTTACTTGCATTGTTTGCACCCCGGATTATATGAAAGCTTACCGGCTGCACTGTCACCGTCGCCAGCTGAAGGCTGGGGGCTGCTGTCATGCTTGTTGCTGCGTTGTGTACCCCACATGACCTGATCCTGCACCTGATCCACAGATGCTGATGCATTACTGTCCTGCGGCAATAGTGCTCCGACAACGGTGTCGCCGTGGCCCTCACTGTCAGACTCTGCAGCGGTAGCAGCAGCAGTAGCAGCAGCAGCAGCTCTGGCGCCGACTTTGGTAATCTTGTGGTCCGCGATGGCTGCAGCAGCTGCGTTCCCGCGCGTCCTGTATGAGCAGAGTGAAACATACAGAAAGCAGAGAAGCTCGCTGTTATCACGTATATGCATCCGTCCGCACCGCAGGCCATGCATGCAAAGCAATTCATTTGCTAACGAATGAAACTCATAGACAAGGAGCTAGTAGCAGCAATGAAAACAGGATTTGCGAAAAACAGAATGCATGGATGCTGAAGCAATAGGCCTGTATGCGTTGAGATGCACAGGATGCGCGCGCACCTTGTCATTGTGTTCTTGAGCCGCTCCAGAGCACCGGGCTTGTTGTGCGGCAGGGAAGCATCTGACACGCCTGTGGCCGCAAGCTGCTCTTGCTGCTGCACCTGCTTAGCCTCACTGGATTCGCTCCCTTCACCGCCCGGGCCGGCGGCCTGCGCTAACGTGTCCTCCTGGCGAGCTGAAGTGTGAACTACGGCTGTTGCTCCTGTCGCCGCTGTTGATGAAACGCTTGCGACTTGGACGCCGCTGCGGCTGTCTTGAGCAAGGGGAGACGGTGAGGCCACACCTGCTACCGTAGCCGCAGCACGCTGAGCATTCACGACATCGGATAGCTTGAGCAGCTTCTGCATGAGCTTGGCTTTGGGGCCTTGAGGCGGTGGCAGGGCTGCTAAAGTAGCTGTGGGTGATGACGATGAGGACCTCTTGCCCGCCTTCTTTGTACGTTTCTGTGCAATGCGGATATAGAGGTGGAGCAACGGCCGATTGATTGCTTGGCTGACACACAGGAGTGAGGGCGACACAGCAGACACATGCAGCGGCATAAAAGCAATATGCCGGTTCGGTTGTCGGAATAATTCAGTTGTACCAGCATTAGGCTTGTGCATGCATGAAGATCTATCTAACCACAAAAATACAGCGATGCTTTGCACTTAGCAGGAAAACGACATGCCCATCGCACAAAGCAGCAGCCGGACACAGTCCAAATTACAGCAGTCCACTGTTGGCCAAGACAGATGCATATGACCTGGGCCTAAACCCGGGGCCCTGCTCGAGATTCCACAGGAAAAGATAAACCTGCTCGTCAGTTGCGTGACCTTGCCTTCACCCGAGCAGGCGTCTTTCACATGGCATAACTTCAGAGTCCATACCTGCAGACATAAACCTGGACCCCATAGCCTAGGGTAGGGTTTAAAGTGCGTGCTTACCTTGCCTTTGCCCTTCCCCTTCACACCCTGGCTGCTGCCCGGCTTGTTCGCTGCGGAAGTTGAGGAGCCAGCCTTTGCAGCAACCACTTGTGCGGCCGCAACTTTAGCCTCAATATTCTTCTCGGCACCAGTTATCGTGGCTTGCAACTCAGCAGATTCTGCTGGCATGGCTGTCTCAGGCAACTCAGAACTGCTTGCCACAGATGCTGCCATAGGCGCTGGCTCAACAGCCATTTCTTCTCTTTCCAATGTGGCTGCTGCCAGTTGCTCCGACGCGTCATCAGCATTTGTTTCCTGCTTGTTGGCATTCCTAGGCTCATGCTGCTTGCCGATATCGACAGATGGGTGTGAGCCACCTGGCCCAGGGGCAGTTGTAGTCTTTAGCCCCTCACCATCAGGTGCCCGGGTAGTGCTGTCCAGCACATTTTTCCCGCCAGCTGCTGTTTTATTCCGCATATGTTGCACATTATGGCTACTGCTGCTGCTGCTTCGATGTCGTCCAAGGATCCTGGCAAAGAGGCCACCAATGGCATTGCTCTTGCGCTTCTCGGATTTTCTTTCTGTCGCCTGATCGCCCCTATCACTCGCGGGTGGGCCTTCATCATCCTTAGCTTTGTCAAGCTCCGCTTTAGCTCCAGCAGCTTGATCCGCTGGCAAGCTGCTGCTGTCGACGCCATCCACTTCACCCTCGCTGTCCCGCTGTGATGCTACCGCCACCAAGGTGTCACCCACTGGGCCAGCTGACGCACCGTCCAGAGCAGTCACCTGGTCGGTGGCAGCATGCACGGTTTCATGATCACCAGCAGGCTGTTGCTTTGAGGCGGCATTCGTATGCTTCTGCTGCTTGCTGTCAACCTCCCCACCAGGTTGAAGCCCAGGGGCAGGGCCGGCAACTTTGGGCTGCTGCTTAGCCTTCGGCAACCAGCCGAGCATTGAGCTGCCAACCATACTGCGAAACCAGCTGCTACCGCCACCGCTCCTTGTCCCAGCTGGTGTTGCGTCTCTGCCAGATGCTTTCCCCTTCTTGCTGACCGCACTACCAGAGGCCTTGCCAGGGTCGTCATTAACCACCGGCGATGCATCAGCCATTTCCGGACCAGCAGTATCTCCAGCAATGTTGTCTTTTACCTCCTCCACCTCTACGTGGGTATCTCTGTTGTCTGCCTTCTTGGGCCCTCCATGATGACTTCCACTGTTAAGCTCAGCTTCCTTCAGCAACCTGCTTGCCTTGCCCCCCTTCCTGGCGGACTTCCTCGGACTGGCTTCATCAGCAGAATCGCCTGCTGCCACTGCAACAGCAGAGGCTTGTTTCACTGGCTCTTGGGTCCTTTCCGCCGGTTCGCCTGTTGATTTCTGGTTGGTTGGTCCTCCGCCTTCCATTTCCACAGCCGGTGTACCTCTGGCCTGCTGCTTCCACCACCAGAGGCGAAAATTCCCGGTCTTGCTGCCCCTGCTACCTTTCTTAAGCCTAGACCCACCGGCAGGCTTTTTGGTAGTGCCATCAAGGGGGCTGTCCTCCCTTCCAGACTCGCCGCCGTGACTGTCCACACCATCTCCCATCCCACCAGTGGCTGTTGAATTGGCAGCTGTGGCGGCTCCATGTGACTTGCCGGTAAGCACCCCCACGGATTTCTTCGATTCCTTCTTGACCTCATCCATCCCTCGCCCGTCAACAGCAGCAGCAGGTGTGGCCGTCGCCACATCACCAGCCGCAGGTTCACGCAATTTGGTAGGAGCCCCGGACTTCCTGGGCTCCTTGCCATTAGTGTCAGCAGCTGCTTTCCGGCCTGCATTAGCACGTTCCTGTACCTTGTGAGCCTTAGCGGCCCTAGTACGTTTCTTCTGCCCTCCCACTCTATCTGTCTGGCGTGCAGTTTTGCCTTTCATTGTAGCGCCGCCACCATGCGCACTACTGCTTGCGAGGGCATCCTTGCCCTTCTTCTTCTTGCTATGTGGCCCGGTGTGAGCAACAGGAGGGGGAGTAGCATCACGACCGTTACTGGCAGTAGCAGCAGCAGCAGCAGCAGCTGTACTGACAGGAGAGCTGCCACTGCCAACAGCGGGTGTTACTCCACCATCGCGAAGTGTCGCAGCTGCTGCTGAAACAGTGCCATTGTCAGTGGAATCCTCGCCACCCTCATCACTTCGCACATCCCTGCTGTCAGCTACCTGATGACTTGCTGATGCGGCCCCTCCAAACGCTGCGGAGGAGTGCCTTTGCAAGGGACCACCTTTGCCACCGGTAGCGCTGCAGGTGGCTTGGTCTCGCTGATGCCTCCAACGACTGAAAATGTTCATGTTTCTTAACAGTTGTTGAAACATGCTGCCTTTGGTGGTGGCTGCCCTGCTGCTGGGATCAGCTGGGTAGTGCTTATCCATGGTACTGGAGGATGGTGACGACGCCATGCTGTTGTCGTCATCACTTGACACCGCAGAGCTCGAATCAGCACTGACATCCGTTCCAGAGCCCATGGCGCTGCTCTGCTGGCTGGCTGTGCCCAAGTCGTCGTAATTGTCAGCAACCACCTTGGGACTGCACTGGTCTGTCTGTGTCTCAACTTCAGAGCGGCCATGGCCATTCAGGTAGGTGATGGTCACCTGGCTGTTATCAAAATCCACCACAAACACGGGTGCAAGCACGGACTCCATACGCTTCCTGTCCCATCTCTGCGGTGCTGTCTGTTTCCCCAGGAGTTGCTGTGTTGCGGACGTGTCATCATAGCCAGCAGCGTCCATGCCGCCATTTATTGTTGCAGGTATATCTTGCAAAGGTACATCCTCGCAAGCATACAACGAATTGCTCGAGGAGACACGTCCAGCAGTGGGTGCCGCAACCGGCGATGTCCATGTAGGAAGGTCCTCACCAGCAGCTGCGCGCTGTGCCGCCCATGCCGCCTGCCAGACAGCAGCCTTTGGCACGGATTCCAGTGCCTGTTTTGATGGCGGCACATCGCTGCTCACTCCACCTTTAGCCACATGCTCCGCTAAGTCAGGCATGTATGGTAAGCACGCCAGAGGCTGTCTCCTTGCTTGACCGCCCAACAGCTCCTGGGAGCCATCCGGCCCTGTTAAGGCAGGACCCTTCGGACTCATGCTTGCGGTATTTCTTCCGAGCAGTTGGTTGTACATGTTGTACAGTCGCTGTGTGCCACTCGCCATGACTGCATGGCGATTGGAGCCGTGAGGCTGGCCCCCTGCCCCCAGAGAGCTACCACCGGAAATGCCAGCGGCCATGTTGGGCCCTGGTGGCTCCGGAGGCTGCAGCTGGGTGAAGTGGTTCCCTTTGCCCCAGTCCTCACCATAGAGCAGGTTGGTGTACCGCAGAACAAGCTCGGGTGTCAAGGCGGTGTCAGCCTGATGAACGAACGACAAGTGTGGGTGAGCAGCATAGTTATGTCACCGAGTCTCCAGCAGCATAGCGACATCACACTTCCCGAGGCGGCCAGCCTGGTCCCCAACCTTGTCACCAAGCTGGGCGCCAATCCTGCTACCAATGTCCCTGCTACCCTGCCAGCAACCTAGACATCTTCTTCGTACCAATCTCGCCACAAACCTCGCTGATACTCTTACAAGCTGTGGATTCATCCGTCTTTATGGTTGTGAAGAATCTCTTGGATGGCTGGAAGGTACGTGCGTCATATGGTCTGTCCTCAGCTTCTGTCTGTTATACAGCAACCACTATAGCACCGCTGCTGGTGATGGAGCTACAAATGGGCTACACCAGTACGCAAAGCACCCCCTTTCTACCCTTGCGATCATGTTGCTGCTTGCCGTTAGATACCCCATGTCCCTGGACAACTCCGTTAAAATTATAACTTGAAGCTTTCCTATATTACAACTAACACTCCCACCGCGTTGCAAATGTGTCCAGTACGGCAGAGGTTTTTAACTGGCAAGAAAAGGTCTGCGTGTGTCTGTTAAAGCACCGGAACCCACCGGGTGGTATATGTGCGCCTTCATCGCCACCCCCGATAGCAGCGCTGGTTGCGGCGATTGAACGTGCAGCTTCGATGCCGTTGCAGCCGCCACCGGAGGCGCGCGTCGTGACGCTGGGCCCCATAATGCCGCTACGTTGTTGTGGACGCGGGCCGCTGGTGCTGTTGTCGCCGCTGTGGCTGGGCCCCCAGCACCCGTCCTGCCCAACGAACTGCTGAATACCGCCGCAGTGGCAGCACGTTGCACGGAAGTGGACCTGGAAGGTAGGGAGGAGGGAAGCGACAGTACCTATCGCACCCACCACACCGTACTTGGGTGCGAGGCGGGGGCACTCGGTACAAATGTGCAGGCAGGCCGCGCGAAACATGTACGTGCATGTCGAAGTCATTAAAGTGCATAACCGATCAGTGCTAGAAGCAAGCCGAGGACTATAAGTACAATCGTGCCAGGACCTTGAAGAACTTTGATCTATTGCAAGGACTAGACAGTAAGGCATGCACGGAGGATTTAGTGAACCTGTCCGATGTACAAATAGTTGCGGGTGGATGGACGACTGAACAAACATGCGAAACGCCCTCCGCGCAGGACGCATGCGTACCCTGCATCTACCGGCACACGCGTACCCACCATGCCTTTGCTAGCGCCGCCTTTGAATGGTCTGGCACCAGCAGCAGCCACTGCTGAATGGCCGTAATGCTGTTTGTACTGTACGGTGGAGCGGCGGGGTTTTTGGAAACAGGTTCGGGACCCCTGTTGTATGCTGGCGTCGTCAGCGGTGCCGACGGGCCGCGCCACAGTATGCCCTGCAGCTGATACGGAGGGTAGTCCAAGGCCGACGTCCACGGCCGATAGTCCACGGCCGTCGAGTTGCCGTGGTTAGGCGATTGCCGCTGCACCTGTTCTGCACCAGCGATACCCGCCACGGGTCGTTGTACACGGCTGTCGTGTGTATTTGCTACAGGCCTGCTGGCAGCAGGGCCGGGGAGCGCGACAGTGTGCAGCTCCTGACCGCCCCCAGCACCGGTTGTGGCACCAAACTCGACAGCAGCAACCGCAGCCACAGCGGCTGCTGGCGTTAGTCCTTCGTGCACCGGCGCGATGTACCCCCCAACGTCACCTGCTGCGCTTGTGAACGTGGGCCCTCTAACCATGGCACCCTGCTGTGCCGTCCCGAAGTACATATTGCCCGTGCCATGTTGATGCTCGGCAGCGGGCCGCGCTGATGCAGCTGCGGTAAAGGCCGCTGGCTCTGTTGCTTGCCAAGCAGCTGGCTCCACAGCCGAGTACGGTGCGTATAAGTTTCTAGCAGCAGGACCGGGCGGACCGTCCGGGTTTCCCTGCGACATGGATGGCACAGGGAAATTAATGCCTTGCTGTGGCTGCTGCTGCTGTCGCTCCGGCAGGGACTGCTGCAACCGGCCATCGTGCTGTCGCGTAGGCGGCTGGTCTGCGCCATAAGGAAATGGAAATGATGCCAGAGGCCGCACCACGGTCTCTGCAGATGAGAAGGAACCCAAAGGAATTTGCACTTGAGGGCCCTTTCCTGACCTCCCGCCCTCCTGCTGCATCCATGACGTCGGGACTTCCGTATACTGCATGGCCACGTATCGCCGCAGCGGAGACACCTGGACGCGCACAGCAACACAGCGGCGTGACGGGAGTTAAGTGGGGCACTTGCATTAGAGCTCGGATGATCGGCTAGGAGCGGACCTGAAATTGAGGAAACTTTTACCGTGTCAAAGGCTGTTTTGGGGGGTTGAGACGTCCCGTCGGTGCGTGAGGTGTTGGACCTTCAACGTGCAAGTACCGTGCGCACGTGTTACCCGCACCCTGCCAGAGTAGAAACGAAGACGATCGCCCATGCACGTGTACGGCGCGGACTTTGTGAAAGAGCGCCGCTGAGATGCGTCGAGGAGAAAGCATGCAAGCTAATGGCAGGTTGCAACGATGGATAGACCTGGCTACTACGCCTGTGTGTTGACCAAACACGGGCAGCCCCACCGTTTGTCCCCCAACAGGAAGTAACGGTCCCTCATTTGGGGTCTCATGCAGAGCAGTAAAGAGCGCGCGAGAATCCGCCAATCGGTACCAGCGCGTGGGCTCCTGTTCACGTTGACGACTCTGGTGCATTGAGCCTGAGTCTTGTGATGACCCTATATTCAGCTAACGGAGCATTTTCAGGCTTGCATTTTTGCCCAGATTCGCTTCTCCTTAGCACATTGCATGGTAACCGCCACCGGGTAAAGGAAGCTGCTTATTTGTATACCGTTGTTAAAGCTAGGGTGAAACGAGGTTTATAACTTGATTACGCTGTATTATACAATTGAGTGTTATCGCCCATATCCTCAATACAGTTCTAAAACGTTTCTATGCCATGCGGATATAGACAGTTGGATACATGCTGTGCTGGTTTTCTCATTGGTTGCTCAAGCGAGACGTTGTCCTCAATGGCAATGGTGGCCGTACGAGCACCGGTTCTTCGCTGCACCTCTCCATTTGTCCGCGCTTCATAGCCGCTGGAAATGGTACAATCTCTTTCATCAGACTACTAGGTTTAAGATTTGCCTTGGGTAGTTAAGCAAGAAGCACGGACTGGAAAAGAATTCCGCTCACGACTGTCAGGGAGCCAATTGCTGCGTAACCTAATTCGCAAGCCCTGCAATCCGGGATGACGACGCTTCGTCGCTTCACCTGTAATGACCTCTTCACATATAATAATGTGAACCTCGATATTTTGACGGAGACATACAACCTACCCTTTTACCTTACGTACCTGGCAAAATGGCCAGAGTATTGCCTCATGGCGGAAGCCCCTGGCAAACAAGCTATGGGGTAAGCCGCTTGATCCTGTTCAAGGGCTTTGGGCATCGTACTGATCATACATCCCCTCACTAGTGTAGGTACATATTGGGCAAGGCTGAAGGGGATGGCGAGCTTTGGCACGGCCACGTCACAGCGGTAACAGTCGCTCCTGACTTCAGACGCCAAAACCTTGCACAGAAGTTGATGCACGTCCTAGAGGAGATCTCTGAGAAGGTCCATGACTGCTACTTCGTTGATCTGTTCGTGCGCAAATCCAATTCAGTTGCAATCAAGATGTACCGCAAGTTTGGATACATAATCTATCGGACGGTAGTGGGCTACTACACTGGGGACGAAGACGCATACGACATGCGGAAGGCGCTGCCAAGAGACGTGCACAAGAAATCTATGATTCCATTGAAACGCCCCATTAAACCAGAAGAACTGGAGTGGGAATAGGGGGTTTGTACTGCTGTGTGCTGTACGCAGTCACCCCTGGCAGTCACGTTTCTCCATGCTGTAAGCCGCCGTTCAGATGCACGGGCTCCGTGCCATATAGTTGTGTACCCATGCCTAGGTACAGGGTGTGCCACCCGACGCTGTATTGCCCCGATGTCATCGAGTTCACGGATGCTCGTTTTATGAGCAAATAATAAATTATTAATTTTATAACCATCTCGTAGGCCGATTCTAAACATGACATCGCGGATTAAGCGACACAGCAGTTAACTCGACAGCAGGTATACACACTGCTTATAAACATGCCCTGGGCAATATCTTGCAAGTATTCCACAGCCAAGCTGTCCGTAACCGTATTGGCATAACCAAAGCTTAATCTACAAGCACATCCGATACCACAGCATAAAACAAATTCTGCTGCATAACGACCATAACGCTCTCGCAGCGCACCACGCCATGCCTCGCTTCCGTGCAACCGTGCCCAGATGGCTTCCAAATACACGGCCCCGACGATATCCCTTACAACACGAGCCAGATTCATGTAAGGAGTGAAAAAACGTGCGTGAGCTCAATGGCCACACCCACCGCATAGTACATGTCCTGTCCCGGAAAATTTGCTTAGGTCACGAACCTCTACACCTAGCGACCTTCCTACACATACATGAAACGAACATAGCATGACACGGACCGGATAGATAACACGCGCTGGATAGGTACAACGGGGCATTGACAGCGGACGCATCTTCTCGCAATCCGCAACTCAGCAATCGGCACCCCTAAATTTCCGTATTAGTATACACGCGAGACCCCTTCCTCACAGGTACATGCGGCCATATGCTCGAGAAGTTCAGCGCTACACAACCCCTGTAAAGCCAAGCGCTTCGACAGCGTTAGGTAGCGCCAGAACATACCAAAGCCCCAACACCGTCGGTATCGGTGGCGATAAGTGGGATGCACAACCAACAGTTACATGTCACAGCTTCGGCAGCATCCATAGCATACTATGCCGCTGCCAGTACATACTTATTTGCTCACATAAAGCTTTAAAAATGTTTCATAGCTTGGCGGCCGGCTGGCGGTTCTGCTGCCCAACCACGGCCGAGGTGCGACCGTCCGTGGTAATCGCCAGTCTGTCATCATAGAAAGACAGACTGGAGTCCGCCAGGGCACGGAAGGGGATTTGGCATACAAAATGGACACAGTAAGGCTCGATTGTGAGTCAACAGTATGCCTGATGCAAGTGCAGGGCTCGACGGGAACAGAACAGCGCCACCATGATAACGTTGCAGCATATATCGTGTCCATTGCAACACAGTGGCATGCTAAGTGAGGATAGGGTTGCAGTCATGGACAGCATACACTGTGTGCTGTGTCAACGCCGCACAAATATCCGGTTCCAAGGTATAACATCAGGTTCCAAGGCTTACCTGTCGGGCGCGTGGCTCTCCTTCAAGAGATCGAAAAATTCCTCCCGGCTGATCTTCCCGTCGCCATTAGTGTCCGCCTCACGAAGCATTAACTTGGCCTCCGCCAGGCGCTCCGCGTCGCCGTCGTACCCGCGGCTGAAGCCCAGTGCAGCCGCTGCGTCCGAAACCACCTGCGCCAGAGAGCCAACACCTGGCGCGGGCCGCAGCGGGGGCAGCTGCTGGAGGAGCTCGTCCAAGGAGATGTAGCCATCTCCGTCGTGATCCATCTTGCGGAATGCGTGATCCAAATATACCTGCGGAAATGATGCATGTGCCAGTCCCAAGATGGGTGACCCCACGGCTCATGCCCAAAACGATTGCGGTCTCAATTGCATCAATATGCCCTAGCATGCATGATGCAGTATGGACTATCAATTTTGTCGGAAGAGCCACAAGCAGCACCAAACGGGGTGGATTGCCATAAGCCAAGTACAAAACCGTCGTACCTGCCAACCTTGCTCCGCCTGCACCTGATCCCAATCCATCAACGTGGTGATGAACTCTGACAGGTCCACGGTGCCGTTGTGGTCGAAATCCACCCGCCGCATCAGGTTCTCAATCTCATTGTCAGCCAGGACGTAACCCTGAGCCGCGACGTGAGGGATAACATCGCCTCCCATAAATCCAGAGTTGCAAAGTCGAGATGCCATGTGGGTGACATTCCTTATGTTAAAAGAGAAACGGAACGTAGCGTATGTTAAGGAAATTGCCCATGGCTTTACAGCCAGCTGCCAGCGGGTGCCCTCCATCCAGAACTCACCTGGCGCCGAAGCCCGGCTGACAGTTCCTCAAGCGTTATTGCACCGCTGCTGTCCGTGTCGAGCTCGTTGAAGAGGTCCTGCGGATGACATTGACGCAGGGATGATTTATGACGAAACGCGGAAGCCGTGGCAGTGGACGGCGATTAAACACAGCCAGGCACAGACTGGGTTTTGCTTCACCTATAAATTACAAACCAGCAACGCACATCACAGCGTTCTCTCACCTGCAGGTTCCCTAGAGCAGCGCGCGCCTTGCGGCTGGCAGGCGCCTTGCCCTGCTTGCCTTCATCTTGAATCTCGTCAACAATCATCTTCAGCACCAGCTGCTTCAGGTGGCCAAAGGTCGAGAAGCGCTGCAGGCGCTGCGGGCCAGAAAAAAAACAGTGTACATTGAAATCAATGCCGTCACAATACAAGGGATGGCGTGCCCAAATGCACGACTCAACAGATGGTGGCATGGAAAACAAACATTCGTTCCTTTCCCCCAAACAAGCTTCAGGGGACACATTGCAGTAGGTGCCTCGCATTCCACGGCGACACCAAAGCAAACGCAATCCCTTTTCATCCAGGCCCACCTGCACAACGCTGCCTTGCAGCGGCAGGTCCCTCGCCCGGCCATCTTCCGACAGCCAGGGGTGCTCCAGAGCCACGAATGCTGATGGCCGTTGGGCGGGATCCCGCTGCAGCAACCTCTTGAGCAGGTCCACGGCGCTGGGGGACAGCTGCTTGAGCTCCTAGTAGGGCACACGATACACCAAAAGCGGACACTGACATTGACATAACCAAATGTCGTGACTGAATAGAACGATACACGTGTGTTGATGTAATACCCTGACTTGGCGTGGCTGTACTTAAAACTCAAGCTACCGATCGAATTCCTGTTTGGAAGGCATACAAGGCCGCCATCTGCCGCCCACGTCATGCCGAGCCAACAGCAATGAGCGATAGCACAGCTTCCGTATTGACCGTAATCGCCCGCCTTGCTCACCAGCGCATTCCAGTTGACGTCCTGAGTCAAGATGGCCTTCCAGACATCGCTCAGGGTTTGGGTCCGGACGTCCTCCCAGAAGGGAAAGCGCCCCGTCAGCAGCTGCAGGTCGGAGAGCGCGGCAACGCTGTCGTGAGATTTACGAACATGACAAGATATGGCAGTCCACAGTGCGTAGCAGAGTGGTTGATCATAAGAAATTGAAGGAAGCCAAAGAATCAATGCAAAACATGTTTTCCACTACACAGCGCAGGATGGCGTACCTGGTACGTCAGCATGCCCACGGACCAAATGTCGCACTTCTCGTCATAGGACTGTAATACCAACTCGGGTGCCATGTAGGCGGGGGTTCCTGCCACAGGAAAGAACGGGATAGGTGCATGAAGAGGAGACGATTGGCATCTGGCCAGCGAGAATCCCTGCGGGCTGAGCAAGTGCTCGGCCTCAACACCTGCACGTCCAAAATTTAAGGTTCCTCGCTTACCAGAGCGCGACGTGAGCTTCGGCTCATCCGGCCAGTGGCGGATAGAAAGCCCGAAGTCGGTTGCTTTCAGAGGAGACTCGTCGTCGTGCCGCAAGAACTGAAGGGATTGCAACAGGTAGTAACAGCAGATCAGTGTCTGCGAAGCTGCTGCTTGATTGGTCTACCTGTTTATGTTTTTTGTCTTTCTCGTAGCTTCCTTCCTACATGAATACACCTAACCCTTACACTACAATGCCTTTCCAAGCTCGAGTACAGCCCAATAGTGCTCACAGTCCATTCAGCTATCCTAAATCCCGGAAATCATGGCTAGGGTTAACTTCGCCACTGGAGGAATAGGGGCGACTCTTACACGACATACCCACCAGAAAGTTATCCGGCTTCACGTCTCGGTAGATAATCCCTTTCGCGTGGCACTGGCTAATGAAGCGAAGAATGCTGCGCGTGAGGCGGGCGATGTACTTTTCCGAGTACCTGCAATGCAAACGCCGATGTGGAACTCAGAGGTGGCGTGTTTAAAATCTGCTCCTTACATCCCTTGCGCGCGGTGCTCGTAGGCAGAGAACACCAGGTTGACTGCACCGGATGTACAGTGCATATGTAGCAGTATACATTAGCAGCTGCATGTCCACCTGGTTTTAACTGCCTCCTGCAATAATAATTGCAATGCAATTACGAGCGTCCAGGACTCCTACTTATACGGCTCTTTATTGCCAGACGTCCGATCTCCAGCCAAAAGCTAGTCAGGCCGTGCTTACAATCAGCCTATCCCTTGCAAGCTACCCTTGCGCCGCTTACCATGCCTTCCGTTCCTAGGGCTTCTAGTCGCAAGCCAACCGGAAATCCGGAACCCTTACTTGTGCGACTCAATCCTCTCTAGCAGCGCACCACCCTCGCAAAGCTCCATGACCAGGTGGATTGCGTCATTGTCCTCAAACACATCGCGTAGGTTCACCGCGTCCAAGCTGTACCCCAGTTGCTGCATGATCTCCACCTGCAGGGTCAGTAACCAGAACCACACATGGTCAGCGCGAATAGTTTTGCATGTCACCACCGCTTTCCTTTGGTGGACAATCATCACATACACCACACAACTGATGTGTTCTGCTTCCCGAAAGCGCGCCTGACATGAGTCTTCACGTCCAAAATGGGAAATGGCTCTCAGATATCCTGCTCTGTAGCTGTGGCTAGCGATGAGGCTCTATCCCCAGTCCACAGAGAGGATGTTTTCGTACATGAAGGTGGCGCCGCGCTCCAAAGGCTTCGTTCCTGCAAGCTCCCCATGCAGCCATTTCTAATCTCCTTTACAGATCTCCCTTACTGAGGTGTAGGCCATTAGGCCCCCGCCTACCTCCGTGCGCAGCTTCAACAGGTAACGTGGCGTCGGAAGACCTCGCTTCGGTACTTTGGGGATGGTCTTCACTGCATTGACGCGCCCCGACGACTTCTCCACGCATTCCCGAACAACACCGAAGCTCCCAGCACCTATGACACGGCCAAGATGATATTTCTCCTGCGAAATGGTACACAGAAACAAGTCAGCACATACGCCGAAAAAACGAGAAGTGTGTCCAGTCCATCCTGTACGACCACCGCACTGTACTGTTACGGTAAGGCTTATGGGCAACCAGAAAATGGTGGTCCGGCCGTCATACCCCAGTTGTGGGCAGTCGCCGCACGTTCTTATGGATGAGATCCTAAGGATTATTGTCGCCCAAACACGGAACTTACGTGAAGGTTCCGGGCATACCCAAAAACGCTCGTGACCTGCGCAGCAGGAGGAAGGGATGCCGGGCACAGCAACCGTGGATGCGTAGTGCGTGCCGCGGAGGACACCGGTCAGGTCAGGGGTACCGGGCCTCTGGGAGGCTTAAGACTGCTGTTTATCCTGACAGTACGCGGGCAAGAGGCTTCATAGCGGAACAGATGAAGGCAAGAGGGTAGGTTCGGGGGTTGTTGGCACTGCAGTAAGCAGGTCGTACCATCTGGGGCTCAAGCTCTGTGCGGCCTGGGAGACGGAGAACCCCCTCGTCGCTTGCAGAGGCAACATAGTCAGTAGAATTGGCAATCACGGAATGTCCCCGGTGTACAACCGTACGCCAAACAGGTGAGCTGGGCCGTGAGCCCCTCGCAGCAGGGCCTGCCGTCCGACCGCTGAACTCAGCCTGAGAAGGCTGCAGCGGCGTTGCAGATGCGGCATTCTGCTGTGGCCTCACTCCATATTTATTTGTAACAAGCGCAACGGAACGCCCTGCTCCGGCTGAACCTCGCGTCGAACTGTGCCGTTGCCGACCACCTTTCATGGCCAACAAAGTAATCCTGTATTATATAGTTGGGCAGACGATTGTAGTCAGGCGATTTAACCCGTCATGGCTCCCTGAACGGTAAATGCATCCTTGCTGGCTAGAGGATAAGTAAAAAGCTTGCAGATGTTCGTGCGCACCTCCAAAGGCCCACAATCTATAGACCGGCAGAGGATTTGGCGATACAGGAAGTCGTCCTGCTGGCTTTGCTAATGACCCCGACGACAAGGCAGCAGGCTTTCTGCAAATAAGGAGGAGCCCCAAAGCGTGTACCGTTACTTAAAAGAAAATGCATCTAAGGGAATAACAGGGGTACCACCTCTTCATAAAACACTAAAAGCTGCTTTTGTACGGGACATCCTGACCCAGGCGGTACCTTCCCAGGACAAACTGCAGCTTCGAGGCCCGCCGGATTTCAACAGTCGGCATGTATACATGCAAGCAAGCGTTATGGATAATTTGTCAAGTTCAGCACCAGTCTGCTGATGTGTGGACGGCTTCGAACGACTCCTCAGCAAAAGCCCATAGCTATTAAGGTATACGGGTTCAAACGTGAAGAATTTTCAAACGATTGCATGTCCTCATCGTTCGTTAGTAGTGGACACTGTATTCTTGTACCGACATCAGAGAACAACGCGGGCTCTTCCGTTCCGATTTTCCCGGAGCAATTTTCTGTGAGCTATCATGACCTTAATTTTGCTGGCTTGTGATTAGCAGCTTCACAAAGTTCATTTGATGCCATCTTGGGTGTTGGGCCATCGCGGCCCCTGCAGGCCTGTCTATTACCTGGACAGGTCGGGAGCTGTTGGGGTGCAATGGAATATGACTGACCCAAAGGCTTACCGGCTCCTCTCTTTAACCATTACACCAATACGCGGACTATGACCCAAGTTTAAGTTAGAAGCCCTCGCCAGCAACATACTAACACCAGCTTACATTGCCGTACATGATGACATTAAGCTTCGGGCTTTACAGTGCTTTGCACAGAATGCACCTTGAATCCTTCCAGGTCCTGAGAACATGAAATCCTGATGGAGAAAAACTATATGTATTATTTTGTTGTGGACAAGCAAAGTGCTGTCAACAAGGACGGCAAAAACGACGCGGCCCTTCCCAACGATCCTCAGGGACCCATTCCAAGATGGGCAAATTACACCCGTGGCCTGCATCCTATCTGGCTTACTGCACAAGCGAGAACATTAGCAAAGGCTAGTTCGCATCGCGAATGTAAATCAGCACAAGCAGCAGGGAATGCACCAGGCTGATTGCCGCAGACCTAAGAAGTCGCAAAAGGAATGCACAGCCTAATGCAGCTTTATATGTTGGCGCTGCAGCCTCATGGTGTTCTGCTGTGTAAGCCATGTGATGGGACTAACAGCCAAATGGTTGAGCCAAGGGCAAGTGCCACCGTGGCCCCACAAAGGCTGTACGCAGCACTGCCCGTGGGTCACTCCTCGGACAACAAGCCTACTGACTTCCTGTCAGGCTCCTGTCCTGGCGACCATTGTCATCAGAAGGTCATGCATCAGAAGCCCACGCGGGTATTCCATGGCTGGCTAGCAGGGAAATTTTGCTTGAGCTAGGGTTTTTGCCCGCACTTGCTTACCAGGATAGCGCACTATCATCCCCCGGCTCCATCGCCGGGTATGGTTTCTGGAAAATTGGTGGTAACCTAGTACACAACGGCTCCCTAAATTGACATCCGTGCCACAGAGCGATAGCTTCACCTCAGTGAACGTTGACAGTGCGCCTGCATTAGCTTTGGACGTAAACTTGACCGCAGCTGAAGTTTGAGGTGGTTAATCCTTGTTCGGGCGTGGTACGGCATCATAGTTTGCCGTGCAAGAGAGGTAAATGGCTGAATTCCTATGAAGAAATATAACATTATGTTTAGCCAAATTCATAGCTCGCCAACGTGGAGGGATGAGCGCAGGAGTTGAGGCCCGTGCACTTTTTCGTGCGTTCCTGCGAGAAGGCCGCCGCTTTCCGAATTACAACATTCGCGAGTAGGAACTATTGATTGCAGTGCGATGATCGATGCATTAAACGAGCCCAGTGTTGTGACAATGGCCTCCTCCTACAACGTGCAGATACATACAGCGGCGTGCAAAGGAAGGCTTTCAAGAGGCAGCTTCAATTACAGATATTACGGCTGTTGATGCGCTGCTGCAGAGTGGGCGCCAGGAGCTGGAGGTCGTGAAGCGTCAGTCGTTAGTGTACCGGCTTTATGGCCGGAAAGTCAAGAATGTCCTGGTGAGCTCTTTGTCTGCGCCAACAAGCTACGTCCTATGGGTCTCGGGACGAGACACATATGTGTTGGTGACGCCATGCTCGCAGGAGTTGGACTTGGCGTTTAAGCCCGGGGTGAAACCAGGAGACATGAGCGCGTAATTAACGAACTCAGCGACACCAACGTGGCAGAGTGCGCGTTACCCTGTAGAAGCGGTCCCTGTGCAGCGCATTTGATGTAGTAGAATGAGGAGCAGCATGCGCATACGTACTAACCTATGGCAGCTGAATACAGCCATTATTGCTGCCGGTTCTTGGCAGCCGGTACGTACCAACCCTTTCCCAGCCATTCCCATTCAGCTTCAGCTTGGCCGCTATTTTAACGGGTATTTCCATGCTTTGACGAGGTTTGTTGTGTCCATTGTGGTTCCCTATTTCCCTATGGATTTAAAAACCTCTCCTTGAATCACCGAGCAGCTGAACACTAATTCTGTTGGTGGTCGCATGAGGGGTTGCAGTCGTCGAAGTTGAAGTTACTCGTTGGCTTATTGCTTGCCAATGAATGCCGTGTTTTTCTGCCCGTGAACACTTCGTCATAGTTCGTGCCCCATTATCAAGTAGGATCAAGTTGTGTATTGCTCTCTATACGCATGTATGTTTAGGCAACTGAGGAGCCTTGAATTAGGGGTCAGGTCTGTTTTCGAGCTGCAACTGTCGTAGTTGCAGCATGAAAGACCATGGAGGCGGGTACAGGTGTAGTTGAAGAGATCGCATTCAACAGGCATGGCATAGTTAAAGCACCGTGGATTGTTACGGAATGTGGGTAGCCTGGTTATTATGGCGCCTTTAAGCCTCTGTTTCCGCAGTCCCGCCCTCACACGCGAACATCCCGCTGTCGCTGTACAGAATTTGTTGCTTCCGTTAGTCGTTAATAAATAGTCAATGGTTAGCCTGTACCATATAATAACGGATAACATAGGAAATTAAGTGCCTGGTCCAACAGAAGAATTGCATCAATGCAATCGCAGCAACATGATGGACCGACAGCTCAGGTCAGTGCGTGCCTACGTGAATCCACTATGCTTGAATGATTACCATCAACCCGGCATTATAAGCAGCGCTTGTGTGCAGGTGCAACGCGCTGAGGGTGTCTTAGGGCTCGGCAGGCAAAATCCACCTGCAGCCAGGGAGGTTCAAGCCCCTCCATCACACGTTTCGTTGCCTGTGAAAAACAATGCTATTCTTCAGGAGTCGCTAGCTATTCTTCAGGAGTTCAGGGCTTTGGTTGATGCAAACACCGAGCAAGACGTACAAAAGACAGAAGGCTAGGAGATTTGGCAAAGAGATCATCTTATTTGTTTTTCATAGTCTATCCGCTGGTGCATGGCTACATTCAGCAAGTGGCGGTGACTCGCGACCTCCTTTTGTTTTGGGCACCTTTAGGTATCAAGTTAAGCTTTGGCTGAAGGCTAGCTGCTCATATGCCGCACACCGTTTCAAAAGTGATAAAATGATAGCAGCCGAATAGTGCCCAAGGTTTGCATGCTGTGCGGAAAGCGGTTGGCCTCAGGCGTCTGATGCAAAGCAGGCGCCAGATCATGAAGAAGCGACGTGCCGGAGCCGTTGCGTCGCCGGAGGTTGGACGGGGCAAGAGGCGGAAGGGAGCCGTCAGGCATGAGAGCTTAAATCAATCAATGCCTGCAAATGGTGAGAAACGTCCAGTGCGTGCATTCCTGTCCCCGAAGCGCTAGCATCATTATGCACGCTAACTGAAATATGTGCAGATGCCCAAGGGTGCTCGCAGCACGAAGGCTCTGGAGACTCGGCTGGGGGCCGTACTGTGGGCATGCAGCTCGACACTTCCTTGTTAGCAGTGCACGCGGAGCATGCAGACGCTACCATCGGGGCACCTGGCAGCCAGGATGCTTCCGGGTGTACTGATGATGAAGCTGAAACCAGCGACGCTGCGGATGAAGAGCCCAAGCTTCCGGATATCGAGGTTGCAACTGCACAGCTCGCCAAGCTAACGGGCATTTCACCCGAAACAGCTGTCAACGCACTCAAGGAGACCCAAGAGTCAGTCTTTCAGAACGCTGGTGGCACAGGCGGCTCCGCCTCTGCGCTGCTTACCACATGGTTGGAGGAGGCCCAGATATGGCTGGCCTGCAACATGGAGGTGCAGGATGAGATAGATGAAGTGCGCGTGGCCATGCAGGAATCGCTGCAAGAATACGAGGCTGCAAAGGCAGCGGATGATGTGCCCCTCACGGAGCGGCCGCCGGACTACCTGCGTGACCGCTTCCAACCCGCCTCCAGTGCCAGCTCTAGTCGTACGATGGGTGTTCCTGGCAGCAGCATCGTTAGGCACATCACGGCGTTCACATGCTACCGTGCCTTGTTCGCTGCCGGAAGCCACAAGGCGCCCCTCGTCAAGCTGGCTGAGCTGGAATGCAAATGCCATCGGTGAGGTCGTCTCTGCATTTCCTGTCCTTCCAAATCACTTGGGAAATTGCTTACCACAGAAATGGCTGACAGCATGGCAGCTGTTCTTTGATTATTATTATCATTTATTATATTCGTTGGCTTTTGAATGCCATAGGATTTCATTAGGTATCGCCCTTAAGAGGTGTTTCGCTATTGCAGGAGAATGCGTTGTTGTAAAACTAATGTTAACGATGTCGTTTAACCCTTGCACAGCTGGTATCCAAACAAGGGCACCATACGATTCTGGGAGGAGCTTGCGGAGGAGTGCACGGCTGCCGCTGTGGGGGCGGCAGATGCATCTGCGGCACTGAAGATGGAGGGCTGGGTAGGCTGTGACCAGGGCCCTGACGGCTGCAGCAGCTGTGCGGCGGCCCTTGGGAGGGACAGAAATGATGCCGGTCCATCCACGTCGGCGCAGGCGCTTGCACCCGTGTCATCGCCGCGATCAGTGATGAGCGCCCCAATCGGGAGTGCGATGTTGGCTGCTATGGCAGCTTTCGCGGCATGCAAGGCGCCAAAGGTGGAGGAGGACATTTGCAAAATGCCGACGGTCTCAGGGCAGATCCCGGACGTGTTTGCGGTCCTTGATGATCCGCCTTGCGATAATGGCGACTCAGACGCTGACTTTGTTGAGATATTAGATTCGGGCGCTGACTGTGGCCATGATCAGGCGTAGTTGTATGGGCGCAGTATAAGAAGTAATACGATGTATGCAAAGGCTGCTAGCAGCACGTAGGCGTCCCTTTGGTACTTCGTATACATCTCCTGTATTGGGGTTTAGCAACAGGTTCCATGGTGGCGAACTTTGGGGGCTGCTTGGAGAAATCTCGCTTCTTATGGCACACATCTTTTTGCGCGTCCACAGGATGTGCCGGGAAGAGGTGGGTTTAGTCACTGCCATTGTTGAACGGTCTTCATGCGATGACCCTCTCGAAGAACTGTACGGGTGTTACAACAGGGAAAAGGCTCGGGAAGGCAAGACAGTGCAATGCTCTCTTTGAGGGATACCCGCAATGGACTCCACATTCCAGTGAATGTGCGTCTCAGCTCCATTTGACAGTCCCATAGTCAGGGCAGTGATGGCAACGATGGCATTGCATTTGGGGTCAGAAGGTTTTTTGATGTACGCGTTTGCTTTAGGCAAGACGAGAGGCTTCAGGTGAGGATAGTGCATGCGAAGATGCTTGTGATTAGGGTTTCAGGTTTAACTTCAAAGGCCGTGCTTTTATGCGAATTTGTTATGCTATCGCACCAGCGTGTCACTACAATGGCGTTCACGTGGGTTGCAACCGGGTGAGCCTTTTTGCTCGTGTGGTCCCGTCCCAGGGCCCAGGGGAGGTTCACGCCGCTGCTGAAGTCGAAGGACGAATAGCGCAGGCGACACCGGGTATTTCGTGCAACGTGTTTGCCAGGCGGGTTTGCCAGGTGGGGGATAAGAATAACTATGGTTCTTTGCAAGGTACTCTTACCTAAGAAGAGTTCTCGACGCGGCGAAATTGATCCCCGGCCTGCTGACACTTAACCTCGCGCGTAGTAATCGCCTTGCACTAAAGCCAAATGGAGAAGAGCATTTACATTCCCTATAAGAAATGCACAGCTCGACTGCCCTGTAGGATGTTGCAGCACATTGGCGTCCATATCACGACAGCCAAGTGTACGGATCGATTGAATAGGATTCCTGCTTGACTGTTATATTTACATTACATGTTGATTTCATTGGCCGGAGCACGTTAGCCGTCTTGTAGCTTCTGTTGGCCACATTTTGTACCGGCACGCTCCAGCTAAATGGTCGTTGCGCGTTACGCGGTAACTCGCATGGGCTAACATCTTTAGAATTAACGGCTATACTGTAGGTGTGCCGACGTCTGCCTACTGTGTCCCACATTTTACGCTTCGATCTGCAGTATGACCACCGACAACCCCGACGCACTAGCGTCGCCATTATCCGTGATATGTCTCTTTTGGAGAGAATTTGATTTAGAAAGTGTTCGTACCAAGCTTGATGAAACCGGTCTCAAAGTTGCCGAACACCAGGAGGAGTCCATGCAGAACAGGCGTAAACTGGCCGAAGCCACTCGCGACTTTAAGAAGAACAATGAGGCCGTAAGCAAGACGGTTGGACCCCTATTAAAGCAGTATCAGGAGGAGATAGATCGTTTGACAAAGCGGGCAAAGCACGGCGAGACAGCTTTCCTCGACCTTTACCAGAAGCTCTATGAGGCGCCCGATCCGGCCCCCGCGCTTGCTATGGCATTTGAACATGCGACTCGAGCCACGGACCTTGAGGCACAGTGCAAGAAAATGGCAACGGAGTTGGCGGAATACAAGGCTGAGTCAGCGCAGATAAAGAACCAGGACCTCACTGTGCGAAAGCTGGAGGAGAAGGTCAGAGCCCTGGAGGCACACATTGAGGAGAAAGATAAGGAGCTGCAGGAGGTGCGAAAGAGCAGCACAGGGGGCGTTGAAGCGGAACACGGGGGGTTCGTAATACCAGTTGGGTTTCAACGAATTCCGGCGATGCTGCCGCTCCCGCTAGCCGAGAGGAATAAAGTATCAAGGAGTTTTGTGGCATCCCTATCGGTGCCTGGATCCCTAGCTCAAGGTTCATGATTGCCTGTTCCATGCCAAACGCATCCCCAGTTCCACTGTCACCTTCCGCCAAAGCACGCAATCGGTCCTTATGCAGGTGCGTCAGCGCGCAGTCGCTGAGGCGGATGCCGCGCGCGTAGCCGCCATGCAGAGCCGCGAAGCGGAGCTGGAGGCCATGCTGAGCCAGGCGCAGACCAACCTGCTGGCCATGCAGAAGCTCTACACGGGCGCGGAGAACCAGCTGTTTGCAATTCAGTCACAGTCAGAGGAGGAGCGGATGGGCCGGCAAGCGGAGCTGGAGCTGGCTTCTGCAGAGCTGGAGCGCGCCCAGGTGCGCACCGGGTTTACTGGATGGTGATGCCACGGTGGCGGGTATCTGCCGCGGTTGGGGAAGCGCTTGGAGCCGATGGAGGGGATGAGGTACAGTCTACTCAGCCACGGCAGCGATTGCGAGCATTAACATGCTTGACCTGCGTGGATGGCGAAATCTCGTTTGGGAAACGGGTTTCCCAGCCCTCATGGCAGCCCTCTGCGCCATGTGCCCATCCTTTCAGCGCCTGTGACTGGAGCACGAATAAATTACCGATGCGCCCGAAAATGTATGTTGCTTCTCTGTTTACTATGGGTATATTCTAGGAGCGACTGGTGGCGCTGGAACGTGAAAAGGAGACGCTGGTGGCGAAGCTGCAGCACGACACCGCCACGGCACCCAGCGGCGGCAGCCCAGGTGCTTTGACAGGGACTGCCGCAGCCAACCTAGAGGAGACACTGCGATCGGAGCTCGCTACTCAACGGGAGCTGGCTTTCAAGCTCCGAAAAGAGCTGGTGGGCGGGCCCTCTGTTTGTTGACGAGGCATAGGCAATATCTGGGATTCAGGAGTAATCACCGTTGCAGGGGTTGTAAAGCAACTAGCCCATCGAGGCGGTGACTCCTCAGCCAAGGCACATCTGGCTCATAAAGGAGTTTTGGAGGCCCTAACAAATTGACATTGAAGGCCAGGTGCATGTTTATCGCGACACCTACTCCACTTTACTGCAGGCAGCTGTACGTGCTGAGTCGGAGGAGGGGCGTGAGATGTTGGAGACTCGGATGGAGGGTCTCAAGGCCACGCTGGCTGCCACAGAACAGCACGCAGCGGCTCTGGAGGAGGAGCTGGCTGCACGACCGACGCAGTCGCAGGTAGATTTCCTGGCTAGGCCTGCGCAGACCCAAATCTCGTATGGAATTCTTGAGCTACCCTGAATACTCTCGTGGAAAACATGCGTTTCCCGTCATGCTCCGGGGAAGAACAGCAAGATTGTAAAAGGCCTCAATTTTGAGCCAAGAGACATAATTTATCATTGAGGTATCCATCGTGCATTTGTGCTCCTTGCAGCTTGATGTGTTGCCACCCCGTTTGCACTCAGAGCTCTCCTGACAGTCCGAGGTCGCTGATCCCCGGGCTGTCCTGCTGCGAACTCCATAAAGCCTTGATAGTCGAAGAAGCTTGCATGGCATGCAGAAGTGTATGTTAGTCCTTGACGGCCATAAACCGGGCTGCGGTTCCCCTGCAGCTGGAGGACCTCCGTGCCCAGCTGCGTGTGCTGCAAGCCATTGGGTACAACACGCTGGAAGTTGACGGGGACGATGATACATCAGCAGGGGCAGCGAGCGCGTTGAGTGGCGGCGGCGTTGCAGGCGCCAGCGGCCGCGGTATCGGATTGGGCGCGGCAGGCTCACTGGAGGCGATGCTGCTGTCCAAGAACCGCCACCTGGAGCACGAGCTAACCATGGCCAAATTGCGGGTGGTGGATGTGCGGCAGGAGGCCGATGCCGCGCTGGCGCATGCAGCGGAGCTTGAGGCACAACTGGCGGAACAGGTGAGGACCTCGTTTAGTTGATTGCTGGACATGGACAGGCTGATGTGGCGAAGCCAGCAGGTTTAAATGATTGTGGCTGTAGAAAAGCAGTCCCTGTTCGGTGATAGTTTGTTTTGCTCATCGTACACTCAGTCGTTCCTAACCTGCCGCATTCAGGTTGCTTTGGTGCGCCAGCTGGAGGAGGATCTTCTTGCTAGTCGGGCAGCTGAGGCGCGGCCGGCGGCCGGGGCCAGCTCAGTGGCGCCTAACGGTTCCGGGTCGACAGCCAATGTTGTGGGTGCGTACCGCAGTTCCAGACAAGCGTGTAGCCCCATGGCTCGTGTGATTCATGACATGTCCCCAGCGTCCCACAGAGCGGCAGAAGCAGCAGCAGCGGTATCGAAAACGCCCCAAAATGGCATCAGCCCGATACGTCAAAGCTTCGCGGCCCACCGGCTGCACTCTGCTTTCCGATTCCTCGCCTGGTGGTTGGCTGACGGTGTGCGTACGCAGCCGCATTACACGTGAGGAGTCAACGTATGGCCAGGGGCCGTCCCCTCTCCATGTAAATTCTGGCTCGCGGACAATCGCCATGATGCATATATAGCAGACATTTATCCAACTCTTCGCCTCCTTTCGTGTTTCCCAACCAGGGTTGGTAGCCTCTGCGAGTGGTGATACGGACGATGGGGATGCTAGCATGGTGCGCGTGCTGTGCGCACAGCGAGACCGGCTCCGTGCGCGCGCACATGACCTGGAGGAGGAGCTCACGCGGCTGCGTGCCGAACTGGCGGCCACCAAGAGCGCTGCGGCGGCGGCCAAAGCCGATAACATTGCGCTCGTGGAACGGTTGAGGTGAGGCGCCAGTGCGGATGTGCACATGCTTGGCGCTCCTGAGGTTTGAATTGAACTGCTGCTCTGTCTCAAGGCATTGCGTACGGCTAGTCGTATTCCATTGACTGCCGACTGGCCCTGGCTCGCAGGTATGTGCACTCGCGGACCGCGCCCGCTGGCGACGGAAAGGTTAAAGGAGGAGACTTGGAGGCGGGCGCTGAGGCGGAGCGCCGGTACGGCAGGATATATGACGAAGGCATCAACCCCTTTAAGGAGTTCAAGGAGCAACAGAAGGAGCGGCAGAAGAGCGCAATGGGTTTTGTCGATAAGGTGGATGCGGGCAGGACGGCTTGAGGGATTGGTGTGCCTGCTATCAGTTGCATGAAGGCAATGCGGCCTGCACATCTTTGTCCCACAGAAAAATTCATTCCTAAGCGATAAGTCCATCATTAGCTTTCATGTCGTGCTGACACGGGTGCCGTCTCTGATTGCTTCCTTGTGAATGGTGAACCGCTTTTTGTCCCATGCGTGCAGGCCATGTACATGCTGTCCCAGTTGGTCTACGGCAACTCAGCAGCACGCATGTTTGCGTTCGTGTACCTGGCGCTCATGCACGCGCTAGTGTTTGCGAGCCTCATGCGGATGACGCACCACTCCAGCAACCAGTTGTATACGCATACACAGGTGTGGTTGTGGTGTTGTTGGCGTGGGCGTAGGTCCTAACCCGGACTGTCTCAGGCAAAATAAATCCCATGTTGCCCGTATCCTTATATCATATTGAGACGAAAATATTTAGTCGTAGACACGTCGTCATGGCTCGCGGTTTGGAAGAGCGGAGTACCCGGTTAACCCTCTTAGCCCAAAACCTCCTGGAGCCGCGCTGACTTGGGGTTTGTGTGCTTTGCCTCTCAGGCCGTCCTCGATGACCGGCATGATACCACGGCAGCTATGCATGATGGAGGCATCCAACACGACCTGGTGCAGAGTCGACTGCCATGAACGCGGGTCTCGTCACGCGGCAACTGCAGCTAGTGCGACGGCTAGTATGTGTCGCTGCACATGCACGTTCATGAGGAGCCGAGGCTGAGTGGCAAGAGAATGGCATATATGCGCTGGGAACAGTGTTGCAAAGGCTTGCTACTAATGCACGAGGCGCGAGAACGCGATTAGCTATAGATGGCTTACGTACGCGAGTACAGAGCCTAGCGCTTCAAGTCCTGGAATTTTAGTTCACGATACATGGATGCAGTAGACGCAGCATGCAGACGCAGATCTACGGTCGCTTCAGCCGCGATCAGCAGCTCCACAATCTGCTTCATCGATTTGACCAATTCCATGGACGTGTATAGAGAGCAGTTGGGGAACAGGCTTTGACGGCAATGGAGGCAGGGAACTGGGGACACGACATGCAGTCCATGTCGGCCCACTGTGACTAAGGGAGGTGTTGCTGGTGCCATTGTGCGGTAGTGCAGGATGAACTTCTGTTACCTACTGCTGCCCGCGCCGACCCGAGCACACGTGGATCTATGCTATCTATGCTTTGGTGGCGCCATCGCATCAAGGGCCCTTACACTGCAGTAGAACACAACCCCAGCCAACCACGGCCGCGCGACTACGGCCCCTTCGGCCGCCACACCGCTACCGCGCGGCCGACAACACTCCCCCCCCAGGGGGCAACACGCGCGCGACAGACAAAACAAAACGCGAAACCAGAGGACGCCCAACGACCACCACAACAAACTCACACAACGGCGACCCTAACGTCCTGAAGCCCGAGCAAGGACACCGACTGAGTCCTACGGCGAAAGGCGCCCCCTACCAGGGCTCTCGAGGCCACGCTACTACGCTAAAAGAGCTGGTCTCCCCGCTTCCTGTCTCTACCATTCCTTGCACGGTCAGCCAGCACGTTCGAGTCGACAGAGCCATGAGAATACGGTTAAGGGGGACAGGAGCACAGAACCAGTCGACACGCTCCTTTACCCCCATGTACTCTTGCGGTATTCCGCTCCAAATATCGCACCCCAAGAAGGAAAACAGGGGTGGATTCCTTTCTTTATTTGTCATGTCGATTTCCAGTTAGGAGCTATGCGAGAAAGGAGCTCAGAGGCGGCACGCGTGTGGAGCAGCCGTTAAACTCCGCAACAGGGGGATTCCCGGTACGGGTCCTCCGACTTGATTGCCACGCTTAGGGTTCAGTAACGATTGGAACCATTACTGATGTTTTTAGGTCTCAGACTTGCCCCTTTGCGCTAGCGAGGCAGTCCTCGGCGTGGGACTCTGTCCTATAGGCAACCTGTACAGGCAATTAAGACATTTGTACACTTTCAGGATTGCCATCACGCCGGAAAAAGGGCTTGGGAAAGTCTCTTTCCAGTGCCATATCCGTTGCTATCTACTTGACGACACCACGTCAATGACCTTAGAAGCATATCCACAAATACAAGCAGTCCACAATGTACACACAGTGTGCTTAGGACGCAAACAATATAGTGTTACTAGCCTAGTACGGTTGGCGGTCAATATCAATGCTATGTACGTCCAGGTATAGCCTTGGCATTGGGTAGGAACAATAAAGAGACCCATGAACTTAATTGCTGGTCGTGCGCAAACCTGCACTCGCCTGCTCGAAGGGCAGCCGTACGTGGCTGTCGTACCGAAGCTTGAGAGTGGATAGTCGCATAGTCCACACTTGCGAACTAACGATAAACCGTGGCCCCTAAGGAAATACGCTTAATGCTTGCTGAGAGCTTCTGTCTTGGGGCCAACGGGTAGAAGGCTCTTCTTTGTGTGTCGTCTTGGCACTTGACAGCGAATCACGCTTCTCGGTCACGCACTGCTGTTGTTCCCGTAATAGTGCCAATTGATAGTAGTGAAGGAACTGTACGGTGCTGAGCTGTGGCAGCCTTTTGAGAGCTACCCAAACTCGGCGCCAAGGAGCAGCGGAGGCTTCTCCAGCAGGGGCCCTCCGGGGCCCCGTGGGACAAGCAAGATAATGACCGCAGACTGGGGTGCAGCTTTTTTATCTTTTGAGGAGCACGAATGAGGACACACTGCGCCTCAAGAGGTGAGGCATCAGACATGGTCGCGGCCTGAGTCGAACTTCCGCCCTTGTGTTGCGCAATAATTTGAGTAAAAGCTTGCCTTTTCATTTATTGTTGTCATGGTAACCGGTCGCCGTGCTTAAGAAGCGGAGTGTTCTGCCTTAAGGGTGTGCCCTACCCTCTCGACTCTGTAACCGAAGTTATATTGCCTACAGGTACATGCTGCAGCTGTTGCGCCTGCTGCTATATCTAGCAGCAGGCGCTGTTCTCTTCGTGCCCAGCGAGCAGTCCACCTACTTCGAGTCGGCTCCAAGCTGCGGATACGCAGCGACCGAGTTCGTTCACTTTGAGCAAAATACAGAGCTAACTAATGGGACATCCTTGGGAGTTTGCCGCTGGGGCTTTGACGGTCTCAGCAATACGTTGGGGCCTCAAGTAAACAAATGCGTCTCTTGCACCTTCACGCCTGCCGAAGCGCCTGCCTGTGACCAGGGCTATACTTTGGTGCCAGAACCAGTCTGGCAGCTTGCGCCGAAACAGGAATGCCAGCTGCAGGACTGCTGGTCGAATGATAGGTCGTGTAGCAATGGCATAGTGGAGTCCACGGCGTTCTGCCCGGATGAAACTCGTACCGTTAATTGCTGTCCCTTAAAGCGCTATGTCAGATGCTGCAAGTCACTGGACTGCATTTCGAGGAGCTCGCCGGCAGGGCAGTGTGTCGACGGGGAGAAGGACTTATTACCGGGGCAGCAAGTCTACGCGCTCTTGTTCGCAGTTCAGGCAGCATCCAACGATTGCTCTATTTACCAGTATTACGCAACCCGAATATGTCGAGCGGATCGCACCTTCGCGCCGGCTTATGCGTCGTGCGAAACACGGGCAGTCAGCAGAGACGCGGAAGGCTGCGTCAAGCTGCCCGGTTATGTCTTTCATCCGGGAATCCGCTTACCCGATTCAGACGCACATAATTGGCGTATTGATGACGAGACGCCGTGGAATCGGTTGGAGGACGCAACGGCCGCGCAGCAGGCGGCCGCGGGCGACATGCTGCTGATGGCCTCACGCTGCTCCGCGCTGGAGACGTGTGCGGGTTTTCAGAATACTGGTGCCAGCACAGACCTTTTTTATTTGTTACCGACAAGAGATAACATGACTACGGTGGATCACGCCGCCCCTGTGACACGGTGTCACGGCATCTACGAGAAATCCCCAACGCAACGCAGGTGCCCCCGCATAAGCGGCTACCTATTCATTCCGCAACGCACGATTGACGCAGCAGTCTCATCAGCATTCGCGCCTGCTAACAGCTCGGGACCATGCAGCACATGCTCCAACAGTTCTGCGCTCGCCAGGAAATGTACCGTCGACAATGACTGCGTTGGCTTCTCTAATTACCACGGCCTCATCATCCACAGCGCCGCAAACCCTGACCTGCTCTCCGACGCGCCCATGACCCAGTTCGCCATGACACCCTGCGTAGGCATGTTTGTCCGCACAAACAGCGCCTTCCCGCCAGAGGTGGAGCAGCTTGATCGGTTGCTTTGTGGAGAGCTCATGTACTGCACCACTACTCAGCTCCGATATCACGCCAGCGCCCCGTCCTCTACATCTGGTTACGTGGACTTGGAGGTAGACGTTTTTTCCGACCTGTCGTTTCCGCGCGGCCTTCTGGACGCCACCGACGGCAGCCTCGGGTCGCTTCCGACCGTCCGCTCCCTCACTTTCCGCTGCCATAACGAGAGCATGCTGCTCGGTGGGTTGCCAGCTGGCCTGGTGGCGTTGACGCCCTTCCTACAGGAGCTGCGCATGCAGGGCTGTCGTATTACTGGTAGGTTGCCGGCGCAGCTGTCGCAGCTGCGATACCTTCGGGTCCTGGACCTAAGCGAGAACGCCCTGGCGGGGTCGCTTCCCTCTGCGTGGAGCAGCATGACGCTGGGCTACCTGAACCTCTCCCACAACGCCCTAACTGGCACACTGCCGACATCATGGCGCGGCGTCATCACGCCGCAGGTTGTCGCGGCTCCGCCGCCGCCGGCGGCAACAGCTGCGGCTCCACCGCCGATAACGAACCGCAGCAGCGCGGCACAGGCGACGGAGGCTGGGGCGACAGGGCCCCTGTCGCAGTCAGTGTTGTTGGTTGCAGACCTAAGCGCAAATGACCTCGAGGGGCCCGTGGACCGCGGTTTTGTGTACGACAGCTGTGTGCGGAAGGAACTGCGCATGCAGCTACAGGGCGCGTCTAGGGGTTTGCTGCCCACGGTCGCGGATCTGCCAACCTTCCTGCTGCATGACAACCCGGGCATAAAAGATTGGGCTGGTCGCTACTTCGTTGCTGACGTGCGCGGCAGCAGCGGCAGTAGCAATCTTTGCGGCGCGTACGGGTGAGTTGATCCTGGGGAGGTTGCTGTAAGGTCATCCCCGTGGGGCTGTTTGGGCAGTTGGACTGGGCTTGTACATCGCTGGACAGTTCCTATCACAGGCGCATTACTGTTGGCAACCTTGGGATGGGAAGGTTCCGTCGGCAGTGTGCGATCCAGGATGTCAGCTGCTGCGAGGTTGGGGTGATGAGGCACCTTGGTTGTGTGCACAGTTGTCGCGGATTTCACTCGTAATAGGGTATGTCGGCAATAATGCCACGCGGCACACTCAAGCTCTTGTCAGTGTGCAGTAGATGGGGTTGCTACCAAAGAATTGGACGATACCTGCTGCGTGGGGGCCAAGTTGTTTTCCTTGTTGAGATTCCTGGTGATCTTAGCCAGCATACATGACGGGAGTAAGCCCTATGCAGCACTTTTTCACACCTCTGGGCATGACATAGATATGCCAATTGGCATTGTGCAGGCCGTATTTGCTATGCAGCGGTTTTTGAGGCATTGCTGCCCCATAGCTTCATTGGCATGCTCAGTCATTTTGCCGCTCACATACTGTATACGTTTGTCGCGTCGTCGATTGCGACTCCGCGGAATGGCTGTTGGTTATCTGTGTCAGTGTCCGCGGCCATGCAAGCACAGCAGGGGTATCTGCTGTAAGCTGCGCTTGTAAGCAATACGGCGCTTTGTTGCCATGCGGCAGAGCGCTCGCGCATCCCTGCTGCATTAACAAAAGAGACCTGTCCTGCCCTTCAAGCACGCTGACTTCTTTCATAACAACCGATTCCACACTGCCGGTCCGCTCCGCAGTTACAAGATTGTGCTGGGAGTGCTCTGGTCCGTGTTTGGAATGTGCTTTCTAGCCATTTCATCATGGTGGGCTTGTAAGGCCTGGAAAGCTTCCCGGGATGCGCGCCGTGGCCCTTTCTACGCGGCAGACATGGGCGGGTTGGCACCGGGAAATGCACCCGCCTTGGCATCCGCCGGCGCCGGCGGTATCGAGGGCGCCTCCGAAACCGCACCTGGCAGCCGTGGTATCGTCGCCACCAGGAACGTAGCGGTCCGCACAGCCGCTTGGGCGTCCATGTACGTCGCCGCTACCAGGGACGTAGCGGCTCGCATCACTGGCGTGGCATCGGAATTATGGCGGAAGCGCTGGGTTCGCCGCGTGACACTCCTGGCGCGAGTGGGCTACCTGGCTGCCGACGTGGCCCTGGACATTCGTGTGATTGTGTGGCTGTTCAACGACGGCGACGGCAGCTATGCAGCGGTATGTCTGGCGTTCTTGGTGGCCACACAGGCAGTGATTTCGGCAGCGGTGGTTGCCTCGATGTCGCACCACTTGTTCTCCAGCCGCCTAGTGGTCGCGCTGTTGTCGCCGCTGCTGGTAGTGCTGGGACCGGTGCTGGGTCCGGTGCTGGCGTTGGCCAACATTCGCAGCTCCGATGTGCCGCTGGTTTTTTGGAGGTGCGATCAGCTTGGCGGGGGACCTTGCCTATTGCCCGGGGGAGCTGTTTTGCAACTTCCGACTACGCTCAAAAAGGGGGACGCTAGGTGTTTTTGGGTGATTCTGATGGAAGGCGCTCCATGGCCGAAAAAAAGAGCCGAGACAGGATTGGGAATAAACTTCGTTTTCGATTTAATTTCTAAGACCCCGACCCCTGCATCGCTGCTCACTGCCTTTTCCCGCCGGCAGGTACTTGGAGCTCGTGGAGTTTTGTGTGGCGCTGCTGCAGGCTCCCGCCGAGTCCGTGACCCAGAGCGTCGTGTATGCCCGGCTCAACCAGCTGGGCAACGGCATGTACATGGACCATGGGCTCTTTCTTGCGTCCATCATCCTTTCCCTGGGGGACATGCTCATCGCAGCTGTCAAGCTCTGCAGGTGCGTTGCGATCACCCCCCACCGACCGGCAGCTTCGAATCAATGTGGCGTAGGGCTTGGGGAAGAGAGGTTTGGTCCTGGCGGGAGACCTCAGGCTGTGGCTGCGAAGGTCCCTGGACCGGTTGGAGGAGTCAGAGGGGCTCATTTGGGAACAAAGTGGTTTCCCCTGTAGCTCCTTCCCACAACAAACAGGAGCCCTCTATAAGCTTCCCCCTCTCCACTCCTTATTGCTCGTTGTTACGATTTGCATCATTTCCCTATAATATGGCCCGCTCCCGTCCTGGCAGGTATAAGCGCGGTCCATTCCGGCGCATACTGGTGGCCCTGACCCACCTGGACCGTGTGCGAGATCCCGTGGACTACCAAAAACCCCTCCTCAGTTCCGACTACGGCAGCCATGCCGGGAGCGGTGCGGTCGATTACGTTTCCAACTACCTGGACGCGCCACTCAATCCATCTGCCGGTGCCGAGGGACGGCGGTCGCCGACTGCCAGTCAGACCCAGATGCCCAGGACAGACGCAGGGCCGCTGCCAGTCTCCCCACCTGGAGCTGGTGTGGCCAACAACGATGGCGAGACCAGCGCGGCAGTGCTGGAGCCTTCGCCACGGGAGCAGCTATCACCTGTCGACGAGGGCTATGCAGCGACGGCGGCAGCGGCGCACACCTTCACGCCTCTGACGGCGCCACGCTACCGCCCGTCGATGCTTGCCGCGAGCTCGCAGCGCCTGGGAGGCGGCGCACACTCTATTGGTGTTCCGAGCCGGCTAGGCCCCTTGGGCGCTACGCGCAGCGGCGCCCTCACCGCCTCGATGCAGGCCCCGCTGCGGCCCCCTTCCCACACCCACCTGCCAGTGGCACTGGCGGCGGCGGCGCGCGCGGCAGGGGAGCAGCCGGAGGCGTCTTCTTCTGCCTCGGCGCGATCTTTGGTACCAGCCGGTGCGGAAGCGGCTATGCTGGGTGCGGGCATGAGTGATGCCGCCGCCGGCACCGCCGATCGCAGCCTCACTCGCCGGTCTCGCAGCCTGCAGACCGCGATTCCTGCGCAGTCCCTCACATCCCAAAACGCCCCTATGGGCTTATTTTCATCCGACGTGCACGGATCTGCTGCCACCGGTGGCCACGGGCCACCGCCTCTGGGCATTACGACGTCGGCGCCAGTGCAAGAGGTGCAGGGGATGGCCGGGCCGGCGTCGTGCAGCGGCGCAGCTGCTACCGCCCAAGGTCAGCCAACTGCCGCCACCGCGGCCACCGCGACGGGGGCAGCTGCCATTGCGGCGTTGCCACCTCCCTCGCCATCCAGCGACCCGAGTTATATGCCCTCGGCCGCTGCGGCCGCCAGGGCGGCCCTTGCAGACTCCATGCCGGGCCCACTGCCGTCCGCTGCGCTTCCCTCGGGCCCCTCTGTGGCTGCGCCGCCAGAGCGGCTCACCCTGGGCCCCCCTTTCAGGTCCACCTCTATATCTGGGTCGGGTGAGGGTCCTGGAGCCTCACCAGGCGCTAGGTCGCTGCACCATGTGTCCAGCCTTGCGACATCGTCTCGGAGTGCCCAAGCCTCCCCAGCGAGGCGGCGCGAGGGACCTGTGTTGTCCATTGCTGTGCCCGCCAGTCCGGTGCACGCTCAGGGCATCGAGGTCATCCGCATGACCACACCGTCCAGCGCGAGGCGCTTGGTGAGTAGCGTCTAGGAATAACTGGGTACCCTGCAGGTTGCTGTGTCGTGCGTAAGCCGCACTTATTGCTGATCTCCCCTTTCGAGTGCCCCTATTTTATTACCTTCTTTCGCGGGTAAGTCAAGAGCTAACATATCCGCACCCGGCTGCTATACCGTCTATCTTCCACGTGCAGAGCCCCCAGACTTCTCGGGGTGCACCCACACCGGTCGGCATGTTGCCGCCACCGCCACAACACCTTCAAATGTTGCTGCAACAGGAGCGTCGGGGACGGCAGCAGCAAGAGCAACAAGAGCGATCGCAACAGCAGCAACAGACTGCACAGCAGCAGGAGCCGAACGGGTCGGCTCCACCGCCGGGGCCCCAGCCGGCGATGGGCGGATGAAGGGTGCCGGTAGGGCACATATGGGGGAGAACCCCAGAGGCAAACAACCCCGTTTCACAGCGTCTCTTTCCGCCGCTATCACCATTACAGTTGCCGCGAGGAGGTGCGGTCTCCCTGCTACGGCAGTCTTGATAACACCCCGTTCCCGAGGCGTATAGACCCAATGTCATCCAGGTCGGCACAGTTGTAAATGCATCTGCAGGGCTATTAAGAGTGTTATCTTAGTGGCTTTGCGGTGGGTTGGGGTTGTGGTGTAACGGCCTGCGTGACGCCCAGCGGGAGTTTGCAGGGACCCATTGTAGAGGTATATTTGAAGATAAGTAAGGCATGGTTCGGTACGTTATGGTTTCGTTTTAGCATGTCACTGCCCTACGGTAGCGAGTTTAACCACCTGGTGTGCGTGTATCGATACTGTACAGCGGAGCGCGACGCTCCGTTGTGTTACGCATAGGTGTCAGGGCCGTCGCCCCGCTGGAAGAAGAAGAGACTTTTGTCGCGGCAGCCGTGGTTGTTCGGGCCCTGCCTACTTGCATATGTGGCTCCATCCATCCTGCGCTCGAAAGGGCGTGTCTCCGCTTCCCGCATTGGCACCGCCTTCCACGGCTCGCGCCGGCTGTTTCCTTAGCAATTTAACTACAGGCGCGTGGTGAACCCTCCAGCGGCCTGAGCGCCTCCCCAACCGACTGGTTGAGCTGGTTGGCCGGTTGGGCTGGTTGTGCGAGGGAGAGGGGTATCGGGTTATATTCCCTCTCGGAAGTTGGTGTTGGTGTATTCTGACGGTGGTTGTCGAGATCCCCGTGGTCAGTGGCCCGGAGAGGGCTGCCTTGGCGGGGCGTCGGCCTTTCCATGCGCATGTCTCTGGCACAGCTGGCCAGCCAACACCTGCCGGCGATTATGTCGGGGCGCTGCGGAGGACGGCGCCGTGCCCATGCCCGTGGCGCATATGACTTGCACGCATCGCATCCCCTGCCTAATGTCTCGCCGGTCACCCTTGCGGTGGCCGCGCGCACGATCACCCGCCCGTTTTTCAGTTCTGGAAGTATTTTCCAGGTTGCAGCGTTGCGCCTCCTGTCGGCCCTTTCTCGCGCACTGTGTCGCAGCGTTTTACTCCTTGAGGTGTAGTACGGTTGCGGCACAGATCCCTCCGTCAAACCGTCGCCTTGTTCCCAGCACGGCTGAGGTTGCGCCGGTCTGGCAGGCGCCCATGCACCCCCTGGTCTGCCGGGCGGGGGAGCCTATTATATAAGATCACAACTCTAGGGGGTCCTTTAGTGCGGGGTGTTTTCTAGACGCGGCCGTCGCGCGCGGACCGCTTCCCCGGGAATGAGGGGCCCAAAATGCCTTTTCATTATCTTCTGGAAGTTGATGAATCAAGGTTATACTCAATGTTTGAAACGGTTGGGTATTGTTACACTTGTGCGCGTATTGTGTGTATGTGTGTGCAGCAGGATTTGTGCCATGGGGACGATGTGGAATGAGCTGGATTCCGACGGGGAAGCTCGGTGGGAGTGGTGCGTGCGTGCGTGCGTGTAAGCGGTTCCTGTCCTGTGTGTCCCATCCTCGGGGCCCGGTCTTGCTTTCTTCTCCTGCCTTCGGTTCCGAGGGCGGTTTCGCGTGACACGTATGTGCACGCGTGCATGCGTGTGTGTATGTATGTGTCTCGGCGCGCGCGACACATGGTTCGTACAAGCGCAGCACGCAGGCTGATGTCGACGTTTGCCGTGTATTGTTGGACCGTCACGAGAATGATGGCGGGCAGTCTTCGTCATCGTGTTGTGTGATTCCATGATGCATAAGCGGCATCGCCGTCGTCGGAAGGCGGCAGCGGCAGCGGTCCGCAAGGACCGGCTCTTAGCAAGCGGCGGGGGCGTGTGTGGCGTGCAGTTGTGCTTTTGCGTGTTGCACTGGTGTTGTGTATGATGTGTGATATACTAAAGCGCACGCCTGATGCAGCCATGTTTGTGGGCTGGGCCCAACTTCGTTCAATTTGCAACCTGTACACACACAAAGAACACATCGTATCCATACACACAGATTCCGTACGCACACACGCCCCCACCAGCACCTGAACCGCTCGGCTCAGCGGCCCTGGTGGTGAGCCATTTCGTCAAGAGGAGGCAGAGCTCCAGGTGCCCGCCGGCAGCGGGTTCGGTGACGGTGGATGTGGCGGTGTGCGGCATACACAGCCTGTGTGATGTCGGGGTGCCGGTGGACGTCGTGTGGTGCATGTCAGTGTGTGGATGCCGGTCAGAGCATGTAGAGCTATGCTCGTGCGTGTATCTGTGTACGTTTGTGTCGCCGTCCGTCGGTTGCTGCTGTTCCTGCTATTGCTGCTGCTGTTCCGCGATTACAGGCCCGGTCGCGAGGGTTGGGCGAGGTTGTTGCGGCCTACATATGCCTGCAGAAGGCACGGCCGTGTGTGTTGGCTTATTCATAGGTGTCACGTGAAACACTTGTGGATGGCAGTACGGCGTACGAGTATGCGGCGTATGGGTGCTCCAACCGTGCGCCCCACGTGTGGCTTCGTATGGGCCAGCTGCCCCCATCGCGGGCGCCAAAGACGCGCAGATGCGTGTTGCTTGGATTTGTTTGCGCGTTGTCCCGTATGGTTGGTTGGGCAGTTGGTTGGGCGTGCGTGTCGAAAAGTTTTTCGTGTTGTCCCACGCACCATTTATCCATGGCGGTGGCGGGAGGGCCAGAGGCTTATGTCAGCGGCGACACGTCGACGGTTATGTGTGTCAGAGCAGTCTCGATCACTCTATGCTTATCATCTTTCCTCCGTGACTCATTACCTAGATACCTTTAAAATAACACGTCTGTTTGTTTCCTCCGTATGTCTGTGCGCGCCTAGCGTCACGCTGCGGATGGCGGGGATCCCGGGAGGCAGTGACAGCGGGCATACACTGCGCAGGCTCCGCGCGGTCCAGGTGCGCTTTCTTCCTATTGCCGTATGTAACCCAACAAAGTAGCCTTCCCTCTGTGATCGCAGCAACCAAAGGTGCAGGCTTGGAGCAACCTTCAGATTCATCACGGTATCACGTTACAAGACGAAACTCTTTGGGCACCCATCATCTCAGCACTCTTGAAAGCCCGTCAATCTGCTTGACTCATTTGTCTGCTTTCGGGCTGCTATATAGACCAACTACAAGCCGTATGAACTGACTGATTATTATTAGCCGTATTAATTGTCCACGGCAGGAGGAACACCTCCTATTAGCTGAGGATATGGGTTTGCATGGCATGCGAACCCCGAGACTTGTATTAAGAAGATGAGATTAAGAGGTTGAATAGCCCCAGACCCTCACCCATAACCAACCAACATCTAAGCAATGTCTCCGCAAAGCATCCAAAACTACACACAATCAGTAAAGGACTGTTCCGATCAGCAGGCCCATGTTTCGCACGCGCCACAACTCACTGTCGCAACCCGCATTAGGGACAAAAAGATAGTGTCATGCCAGTAGCAACCAACCAGCCTGCCAACATCGCCCTGCCAGCAAAAAGAACGAAGAAGTGCTCAGGAGGCTCTGGCATGGATTGCCTTCAAGGCACAAATGCCAATAGCAACTGTGTACCAGCAGGGCCGCTGGTTTGTAGGTGCATGGGTCCGGCAAAAAATGAAGTCTGTACACGTGCCAGTGATGCAGCTTCGACCGATTCCGGGGCACATCAAACAAGAACGCAGCATGCTTGGTAAGCAGCATCGGCCTCAAGCTGCGCACCCGGATGTAAATGTGCCCCCTGCCACTCTAACACTGACAATCGGTTGCAGCATCACTAACTTCAACAGAAGCCTCAGTCTTCCGCCCGCAGGTCCGACCGCGATGCCGACGCAAATCAGCTCTCAAAGAATTCGCTCAGGACTCCCAGGACGTTCAGACCGCTCAGCATGCAGCCAACGCTATCGGCGGCGACCACCAATGTCCTCGGAAACGACTTTGGTTTCAGTCACAACACCTAGTACGTTCAAACTGTTCTAAGACCCTAAAACCCTGACACACGCTGCCATGCCCTCGTTAAATTTATGTTCGCCCAGCAGCAACATCGTAACCCCGAGGTTCCCATGCCCCTAAGAACTGCCAGCACTGGTCCCAATAAGCGGCCACAATATAAGACGCAACTCAACAGCCGCATAAGAGTGATAACCATTCAGCTACAGTCCCCGAGATCCCACAAGACATACATACCTGCAAAAGGAGCGAATGATTATTCTAGGTATGCGAGGCCACAGAGGTCTGCCAGGTGCACGGCCATAACGCCCGTGCGTATGCAAATGCGAAATGGTGTTAGAACCGGCGGCCGCAGGTGTGATCTCATGCAAGCAGCCACAGACGGTGTTCATTCCTCTCGACGAGATGCACTGCATGGCTCCCTTCACTCAATGAGCTGAATCCGCTCGCCTCATTTCTTCTCTCGCTGCCCTCCCTCTAACTCACCAGTCGCAACCGCGCAGGTCACTGCTACGCAACCGCAAGATGCTGCACTGGGGCAATAAGCCCATGCATGGATGCACACGCGCTGATGGTGCCCACCAAAACCCACAGGGCAGGATAGGCGAATAATAAATGTTCACTTATAATGCCGAGATGGAGAGGGAATATTAAAAGAACTGGGAAGGCAATAGATACGGTGACTACTCGCCAAGTTGCTGCTGCCGCAGCAAGGAGTGTGCTTACACTAGTTGCGCTTGAGCTTTTTGTCGATCCAATTGCCCAGTTTCCTTGGCGGAGAGCCGAAGGCGATGGCGTAGACGGTGGCCAGGCAGATGCCGCCCCCGATGTAGTTGCCCAGGGTGGAGGGGATGAGGTTGTGCCAGATGAACTGTTTGGCGGTGATATAGTCACCCTGACACCAAGCTACGACGAACAGAAACATGTTGGCGATGCAGTGCTCAAAGCCTGCAAGGAAGATGGACTGCGTTAGGGTGATGATTTGGGGGCCGGGGCGACCCCCCCCCGCAGGCGCCCGTTCCGGCGGTGACCCCCTTAGGCTTCCAAGCGCTCCCCCAAGGCTACCGAAAGGGACGCCACAACAATACACTACGCCCAAAACCCCAGCACGCGGCTTGCCTATACATAGGATAGCCCCACCGCCGTTTCACCGACCCACCGATCATGGCAAATGCGGAGATGGGCAGCCAGATGCCCACAGCCTTGCCCGTGAGGTCCTTTAGGAAATTGGGGAGGAGGGAGATAAGCAATGTATGGTACGGATTTATGGACGCGCAATGCAAAACACCCGCTATCCGATACGCATTGGTCTTGCTGATCTATCTGGGTGAGGAAGAGGCCGTGGCTAGGGCCCATGCTGCGGCGAATAATAAGGAGTGGGATTACAATCGGACCGAAGTCCTTAAATAACGGGCACACGGAGGAATTAACGGGGGCGGGGTTTGTAAATTTCCTCCGTTGGTTGCCGCACCGAGACACTGAGCCGCGGAGTCCGTCCCCGCACCTGCAGCCATTGACCACCTGCCCACAGGATTTCAAATGGCCTGTGCCCCCCCCCTTCTAAGCAAACGTTCCCTTTCCGGGCAGAGCGCGAGCACAGCCGGTGCTAACCCACGGACCCCGCCAAAGCTCCAATCCCTCAGGGCTGGGCCCCTCGGCCCCCTGAGACACACCTGTGCGGCGTTGGCCATCCACGTGGCAATACCAACCAGCCAATTGGCGAATATACCTGCAGCGTGGGATGCAGCGATGAAGGGCCGTTGGGCTCGGATTGCGCAACAGCGTAGGGGGCCGACGCCTGGGCGCCCAGCGCACACAAGCTGGGGACCCCGACGGGTGCAAGCCGGTCCCACGCCAGTAGTTATTCCCCCTGACCGTCGCCCCCAGCAGGCGCCCCCTACTGCCCGCGTTGCTTTCCCCCATCCATCCATTCCACTCACATCGGGCCGCTGGCACCTGCAGCCGTAATACTGCCACCGTGAGCCCCCTGCTTCCCAACCCCCCTCGGTGCCTCCAGTTCTCACCTTTGACAAGCACCGCCCCCCATCCATGGCTGAGCTTGTCGTGCACCTGCCTAAGCAGCGTGGTGTCCTTGTGGTCGAATACCTCACCCGCCTTGAGCAGCCCCGCCATCAGCGCACAGCCAATGAAGTTACCCGTCCAGGAGATGGCCAGCATGCGCAACACGTCCAGGATGCCGACCTGGTTACGCAATGGGTGCGATGGGAAAGGGATTTGGAGCTTCAGGATGGAGGTCAGGAAAGGAACACCGGGGGAAGCGGAGGGGGAGAAGGACACCCACCCACACGCACATTCGGGCCACGATGCCAGGGGGAAGCGGACCCGCTTGGACAGCTGCAAGCTGTCCTTGCTTGCGACCCTTAACACAACTGCCCTGTCACGTCACGTCAGGTCACGCCAGGCCAGGTCAGGTCACTCTCCCGTGCGGCGCCAAAAGAGCACACACAGTACAAAGTAGAGGGGTTGCATGCAGAGAACGGAAGTAGCAGCAGCAGCGGGCTTTGGTGTCGGGTACAGACCACACAAGATCCGCCGCTTACAGGGACGTACATGTGCAGCAGCACCGTGCAACGGGCCCGGGCAACAATCGGCTCGGTGGGGCAGGGAACGAGGCAAGCTGAACGGGGTAAAAGGGACGGACGGCTGGGTTCCGTCCCGACTACAATACGAATTGCCGCTGTGTCCCACCCACCTTGCCCTCCCACCACGCAGCTGTCATGTAGGCGCAGAGGCTGGTGTACAGCTCCGCACCGCACACCACGATGGTGGTGAAGCCGAATGGGAAGCCCACCGCGCCGTAGACGAGCTTGAACAGGCCGTAGTTGTAGTCCGTCTCGTTGCCCACACCGGGTGCCTGCTTCAGGTTGCCGCCGATGAGGAGACAGGTGCTGTAACCGAAACCTGAATGCGGCGCAGGCGTTCGCGTAAGCCGGTGAGAGCGGGCCCGGCACAAAGAACCGCAGGGCGTCATTAGACCGGGTTTGCTGCGCAAGGGCCACTGAAACGTTTTGGAATTTGGAGGTGCGACAAAACAGTAGCGCATCAACAGTGTCTCGCCCCTTCCCCCCTCCACTCCGATAAACAGGTACTCGGAAAGCTTGTAGCTATGGTTGGGGACATGCATGAAGCTGGGGGGGACCTGGCGGTGCCCATTTTATAAAAAGGGTGATGTAAGGATGCAAGGATGCAAGGATGCAAGGATGCCCGTGGCCGGAAAAGACACCCACAAGCCGAGCTGAGCCAAGGACGCAGGGAGGGAGGGAGCAAGTGGGGACAGTGACAAGGACATAGCACGCAAGGTTGGCCCGGCACAGACATGTTCCAAGGCACCAATGCCCCAATGGGCCAGCACTCATTACGCGGTGAGAAGTACACAGCGGGGAAAGAACGGCGCCGACTGGAACGTGCCCTACCTCCCCCCGCTCGTTGCGCCCCTACGAGCCCCTACTACAGCGGCTGGGGTCCCCTGGCCGCGCCCACATAGCTTCCTCACCCACATAGCAACCAGCAATGATGGTGAGTGTCCAGATCTTGTACCAGGGGAACTTGGACTTCTCCTCGCCTAACACACCACAGCAGCAGGGCAGCAGCCAGCACCCAGAGAACGGCAGCGGCATATGGACGAAAGAATGGGTGCTTGGAAAGCGGCGTACGCTGCCATGCGCCACCGCGGGCTGTAATTCACAGCTGCAGCAGCGACGTAAGCCGCAACCGAGAGGCCGCGGATGGGGAAACCGGGGGAGGAACCGGTCCCCAACCCTCATCGACGCGAGCGCGGCCCGACACCACCAGGGCTGACCCTAACGGGCACGCATGCTACCCAGATCGTTGCAAATGGCGTGGCGTCCAAGCAGCCCACTTGACGTAAGCTGGGCCCTAAACCAGACGTGTTCTTCCTTTGTTCGTTGCTCCCCAGGTGCCATCACACAGTCCATGCTGCCTGGGCCCTCTGTCGTATTGGGGCCGCGGCAGGGAGGGGTCTCTTCTCTCACCGTGGTGCGCGCACTCCGCGTAAATCTCCGCCGGCGATAGGATGAAGCTCTTTTTGACAGCCACAGCCTGCGAGGTGCGTAGGGGGACGCGGAGGACGTGAAGCGGGTACGGTGGGCGACCAAGCCAACGCGTCCATACAGTGGAAGACGTCAGCACACAGCGAGTCCCCAAGTGGAGCCCACGAATGCCGATTGGCACAAATGTGGCACGCCGGTCCCTGCTTTAGAGCTGGCTGCCGGCAAACGTGGCTGAGTCCCCGCTTCCGGACGACAGGTCCACCGTGTGAGACCAGCCTCGCTGAGGGGGTTCGGAAGGTTGGCTGCATTTCCATGGCGCCCTCGCATTCCACCGAGTCTGGAAGGGTCCATTACTTTGTTGCGTACCTCGAAAGCAGCGCTCTGATGTCCCGCGGGCCATTTGGGCATCTACGGCAGTTGGCAAGCACGGGCAAACGGGTATACCTGAGTTTTTTTGAGAATGTTACATAGACAAATGTTGCACCGAGGGATCGAACGTGAGCGCGAGCCAAACGGCGAGTTAGGCGACGCGGATATTCTTATCAACACGAACTCCCAGAGAAGGTCGCCCGTCGCTTCTACATCCAAACACACCGATTAGGGCCCCAATAACTCCTAAGCCTTTAGCCCAAAAGTGGAAAGGGTACGCAGTACAGAGGCCAGCAAGCTGCGCAGACAGTACACCGTAAACGTGCAAGCGCAGCACATTCTTACCGGCGTTCCAAGTGACACCGCCCCAATACTCTTCACGCCAGCGTTCGCATCAATGTTGGCAGACGCCCGCATTCCCAGCATCCCAGTTGCTTTGCGGGAAGGGCCAGTCGCTTCATCTGCTGTAACGCGAATACCATGTTCGAAATGGTGATCATGGTAAATGCGCGCGTTCTGGATGTCCTGTGCCTCGGCCTGCTGACCAACGACGATGGTTTGATGGCCTTGTAGGTTGAGCGAAAGCCCTTATTAAAGACAATCACCAACCCACCTCAATCCCTCCTAGTTCCACTTTAATTCCTGACTCGTGGCTCCGGAAGTCATCTCCATCGCCGTTCGCCCCATTACTTATACCTGTGCCGTTGCCTACTGTCATCGCAAACGCGGTGTGGCTTTAGCTTAACTGAAAGAAACTAAGAAGCGCTGATACACCGGTCCACTAAGCGCTTGAAATATGCCTACGAAAGCTTGGAAACCCCAGCTGCCCACGTGATGAATTTCCGCGATGAGTCCGCGATGGGTCACTGCTAAAAGTCACGCTATACCTCTTGGAGATGTGCATGGAAACAGTTGCGGAGATGATCGAAGAAAGACAAGGCTTCTGAATACGACATGTACGGTCAAGGGGGTTATGAAAAAACATCTGGTATAGCCTCTCCCATTTTCACATGGCGTATCATGCGTTAGAGTTTCATAGCATGTAATTTAAGTTGTCATACACTTGATGACGGATTTTGCACCTGTTTGACAGCGAAAGTAGCTATTGCGCTCTAATTCACGTTTTCGAGCTTATGGCGCATGAAAGAAGTATCAGTGGGCTGCCTGCATGCCATGGCCATGGCTGCCAATTGTGTCGGCGACGGCACTTGGCCTCTAACACGCGGCGCGCTTTCCTAGGAGCGTACTTACTGGGAAGGTCAAGTCCTAGCAGATCTAGCGCAATCGCTGGAGTCGAGTCAGCGAGCGCTATGCCTCCCAGCAGCCGCCGCCGTGTCCCGGAGCAACCGGACCCGCTTACGTCGCGGTCACAGCGGACGCAGAATCCGCAGGGCGGATCCAGCGCCATCGCCGCCGCGGCGTCGGCGGCTCCAACAAGCGCGGTGAAACCCATGCACGGCCCATCTCCCCGCTCCTCCGCAGCGCAGGCGCAAGCGTCCGCACCGAAGCCAAAATCTCCGGGGCGGGCAATGCCGGAGCCACTCTACTCCACTACAACGAAACCCGACATGGACCAGTTGAGCGCGTTGGTCCCAGCCCTCAGCCTGGACGACATTTTGTCAGGGAAGCCATTGCCCCTGGACCTATCGACCGGGGTTCCTGGGAATGATTTTCCCGCCATTGGGGACTTTGGCACGGTCGTGGGGCCTGGGTCTGGTGACGCGTTGCTATCCGCCGACAGGCACAACCGCTCCGGCCTGACACGCCGCGCACTGCGGCCCTGGGAAAGGGCCGCGTCCCCGTCTGCGTCTTCCGGACCACCGCCGCCTCCCCGGCCGACCCCGGCAGTGGCAGCGATTGAGGGAGTGCCGGCGGTGGCGGCGCCCTCGCCTACGGCCGCGGCTCCGCATGATGGACTCCAAGCGGCGCGGACACCCGCTGCCGCTAGCGCTGCTTCTGACGCGCGTGACCATAAGGGCTTCGTGGGCGCGCGGCGTGGGCCATACCCAGAGGCTCTCTGGCCGCCATCATCCAGTGCTGACCACGTAAGGCCAACCTCCCCGTCCTCTTCTGCGAAACCCACAGTCAGTCATGCAGACATCGGCGCCTCCAGTGCAGTCATCAGCTCCCGGGCTCCCACGTCGATGTTGTCACCAAATCCCACGAGACAACCAGCCCCTGGGCCGGCGGGTTCGGGGTTCAAGGTTGACCAGCTCGCAGGCCAGCGTACTCCCTCTGCCACTGCTTCCGCTCCCCCCTCCCCCTCCGACATGTCTAGCTCTCATGGTAGTACGCCTTCCCCCTTCTTTCCTACCGCGCCCTCCACCGCGCCCTCTTCCGCACGTCCATCAGTGCAAGCTGTCACACCAACGACAGCTACGGAGCTTGTGGGTCATTTGGCAGCCGGAGCACCCCAGCCCGCCTTGTTGCCAAGGCCGGTCAATAGACAGCGGCGAGGGCCCAGGCAGCTGGCAGTGCCGCCGGATCCTCAGGCAGCGGCCCTATCGGAAGCACCGTCATCTTCACTGACTGTTGGGGCTGATGCGGGCGGACACGGTGGTCTTGTGGCAGAGGTGGAGTGGTCTGCGCTTGGTGCGAACTTGCTTGAGTTTGCTGGCGCTGCACCGCTGGGGCTCATATTCGCGGTTAGGGCTGATGCAACGATGGCACAGCCAGCAACCGGCGAAGTGTTGCGTTCGACACGTGCGCCGCGGGCTGAGCGTGTTCGCAGCAAGGAATGGATGGCAGCGGCGCAGGCGGTGGAGACTCACGTGGCTGGCGCAGGCCTGGCGGGGACGGCTGGCAACGGCAGCACTGGCGGCTCAGTTGCTTGGGAAGCACAACTCGCACCAAGTGCGAGTGCGGGGGTTGGACACCTTGGTTTCGACAACAGCGGCGTTCCAGGTGTAGCGCAACGCAACGAAGGTCTGGTTTCGGGGCACGTGTTTGAACCCTGGCGTCGGCATTCGACTGTTGTGTCACGGGATCAGGGGCCATGGCGGAGGCACGGTGGTGACGGCGGGCATGGTATGGGAGCTGCAGCAGCCGGATCAGGGGTCATGATGCCGGGCATGAATATGGAGCCGCGGGGGGTACTCGTGCTGCACGAAGAACCGCTTCGTGATGCGCTTGACGCGGCGATGGCGGCTGCCTTCCCGCTGCCCTCCAGGGAGCAGCTGCCTGAGGTGGTGGACCGAAATAACTGGCGTCTGCATGCCGCAGTTTTGTTCCCGGCGCTGTATGACGCGGATTGGCACAGCTGCCTGTTCGATTTCTTTTTCGAGCTGTGGCCGGAGGTTGGCCGCGCGCACGTGACCGCTGGTGGGCCCGGTAGCAGCCGCCGGCTGTTGCTAACCAGCGAGGTTGAGGTGGCGGAAGCGCTGGCTGCAGAAGCCGCTGGTGCAGCGACGGGGCCGAAGGTGCAGCCTTCACCGCCGCCGGCCCGGGTGCAGCTCGCCGCGCGGCTTCTGGACGATGCCTACGCCTTCGCGGCGCGGTGTTTTGCCTCTGTGGACTTTGCCGTACGCAGCTCGGTGGTGATTTCGGCGCTAGACTGTATGGACGACCATGATGCGCTGTTGGAGCACATGGCGGCGAGGTTGCCTCCGCTGATGGTGCAACGGCTGATGGTGCCGCTAGCGTCTCGCTTCCAGCCGCCATGGGTGGTGCAGGAGTTGCTGGCGGCAGTGGTGGAGTCGCACCCGGGCTATGCGCCTGTGGCGAGCGTCCCGCGACGGTGGCGGGAGCTCATGGGGCAGCTGGCGGCGGCAGAGGTGCGGTGCGGTGTGGTCTAGGAGTTCCGCAGTAGCGAGTGGGAAGCAGGGACCCCGACGGCCTTGCACTAGGAAGCTGAAACTGGCTTGCAGGGGCGTTTCGGTGCGGCAGTTGAACTGCAGCTGGCAGTTTCGGCTTGTGACCTGGGTGCTTTCATTCCCTGGCTGCCATGGGTGATAAGGTTCTTTGGGTCGCTGCGCCTTCAGGCGCCGTTGGATTGCTGCGTATATGCCAGGTCCCTAGTGCTCTCTTTTGACCATTCCGCGCTCGCGCGTTTCACGTATGGTGCACGTGCTACCAGGTGGTGCACCCTGGGGGGGGCCTCGGAGTGGTCCTTACGGCGCTGGAGTTCGAGGAGGTGCAGCAGCCCGGGGAGGTGCAGCAGCGCCAGGTGTCTGCACACCCGAAAGACACAGAGGCAAGGCTTCAGGAAGCAGCTGCGAGTCAGGACAGGACGCCGCCGCCGCCTCGGCGCTGACGGCGGACGTGCGACCCGGCAGCCGTGATTTTGGATGCGACGGCGAGGGTTTCAACGAAAGCCAGCGGCACTGGTTGGGACGGCGATAGGGAGAGCAGAGAGGGAGAGGCGGCAGCGGAGGCGCAGCAGACGAGCGCACAAGTGGGCGATGCAGCCGGCTCAGTTGGCGAAGGAGGAAGGCGGCCTCGTGGCGCCCGGCGGCCGGGGTCGGGTCGCAGCAGGGGCAGCAGGGCCGGTGCATTGGAAGCCTCCCCGGCGTCCCCGGAGGAATGCGAGCCCCTTCACGCGATAGAGCAGGCGCAGCAGCAGCAGCAGCGGCGTGGACGTGGGCGGCGGAAAATGGTGTCTGCTGCAGCAGGCGGTTGTGAATCCCCGCCCTGAGGTGACGGAACCAGATCAGTGTAAGAAGGTAGTTGAATGCAAGAGTGGTTCGGGTGGTGAAGCCTGGTACACTGGGTGCTGGCTGGTTGATTGTGTGACTAGCTGGCCGGATGACTCTGCCGTATCGTTGGCAATCACATGCAATCTACTCCCTAGACACGGAAAGCTGCAGCATCCGTAATGTAATGTCGAGGCGGCTGCTACCTGGCATGGGGACATTGTTGAAACCGCCCTGTTGTATCTCATCTGTATATCCTTCTAGCATATACAGATTTTAAATCCAGTCTTGCAGCAGTATACTCCAGGCAATGCCTTTGTTGCAGTGTCACGCAAGCTTGCGCGATATGTTATGGTGTGCTGATGAGCTAATCAGGGCCTTGCGTATAAAGTTATCCGACTGGGCACCTACGGTGCATGATTCTTTAGTCGGTAAAGTGTCCGCCCGAGCGCAGGGGGGAGGTTTACGCACCACCGAGATCTGGCAAGGTTCCGGGCAGAAGGATTGTTCCCACCCATCCTGGGCCCTGCAGCTCAGTCGGTCTCGGTTGGTCGCTATCAAAGCCAGTTTATCTTGACTTGAGGGTTTGACAGTTTGCAAGTGCTGAACATCACAGCTGTCAGGACACCGCAGCACTATTTACCATCGCAGCACAACGCGCGCCACCTAGAGGACGACATCTCGACGAAACGCACCGAGCTCGAAGTGCGTTTTCTGCCTACGATTGCTGTACAGCTGTGCGACCACATGCTACGGCATCCTGACCCTTGGGCTGAGCATCGTAGCCGCTGCGGCTGCTAACCACAAACGACTGTTTACCGACCGGCGTGCAGCTAGCTCATTTCGTTCATTTCACGGGGAGGGACGCTGCAGTTATAGTTCCATTGTACCGCTATCAAGTAAACCAGACGGCCTACCTCTCGCTATCATTCGGGCGAGTAGCCGGCTCGTCTCTTTCGCCGCGCATCATGCGTTCACAGGGCCTTCGCAGGGCCCTTGGCCCCCATCTCGCCCCTACTTCCTAACCGACGCTGTCGCGTTGCTCCGAAATGCCATGAGCACTCGTTCCACCGTCAGCTCTCGCATGCGGTACGCCCCAGAAATTACTACCTCGCGTCTCACCGACAGCGCCACACTAAAACTGATCTCGTCATACGACAGGTTTGGGTTGCTCGGGTCGTATGGCTGTACAACGAATTCATACTTCACCCCTGGCGCCATAGGTTTGAAGAAGTAGCCGCCTCGCTCTGCGTCTGCAGTGGTGCCGCGTACGCCAGCTGGGCTCGCGACACTCACGTTGGCGGCGAGTGGACCGCGCGTTACGGCGTCCACGACGCGCGCACGCAAGCCCATGCGCGCCAGCTCCATCAGCCGCAGCATGGCCCGCCGATTCGCTTCCCATAATGGTGGCAGGCTGGCGGCTGGCGGGTTCTTCACAGGGTGCAGCTCCAGCGTGATGTGAAGCCGGCCCAGGACGTGGTACACCCAATCCTGTACAGCACGTACACGTTGAACTTGTAAACTGTACAGCAACATGGCATGGAAGCAACACTAACCGGATTATGTATCCGGTATATGCCTGCTATGTATCCGTCTCCATCGTTAGCCAAGAACTTGTCGTGCCGCTGATTCCCGTGCGCGCCTCGTTGTCGAGCAGCCTTACGCGCTACCTGGCGCATCCCACTCACCTGCAAGGAGCCAAGCACCGGGTACCAGGCGGCCCCCTGCACAGTGCCGCTGACGAAGGGGGTCGCGTTGCCCAGCGCCATGCTCGGATGCGCAGCCGCATAGGCCGAGGCCAGCAGCTCCGGGAGCGGCTCATCGCCCGTGGGACAAGACCGCCGAGCGCCCTGAGATGTGGCAAGAGCGCTGGGCCGGGGGATTGTCAGCGGCATCAGGGTGAAATGCCCCGGGCTACTCAGAAAGAGGACGCGGCGAGGGGAGGCAAAGCTCTTGAAGAGCTGCGAGGCCCTAACAAGGCCAAAACTTGGCGGTGAGGTAACGGCATAATTGAAAGATCAGATCAACGAGTGGGACGGAGCGGAGGAGGTAACTCGGATGAGGGGAGGCAGGGAGCTGAAATGAGGCTACAGTCGTGTAGAATGCCTCGAGCAGGCAAACAAGCAAAGTTGCAGCATGCGTATGTATCGTGGCATCAACCAGTGTCGGTGCGAGAGCTAAGCCCCCCTACCCTTGGCCCCCCACACGGCATATCCCATTTCAGTACGCGTATTGCCACACGCCGTACCAGGCTGTCACACGCGTCCAGCGGGTAATTTGCCACCAGCGCGCCGCCGTGCAGGTTCGCGGACAAATCCGGCACCGCGTACGACAGGTACGACGATATTGCGTTCGCTTCGGGCTGCATGTTCAAGCTGCCGCCCACCTGCAGGCCGCGGCCCAGACGGGGGCTATAGCCGTGTCGTGCGACTGTTGGAGAACAAATGCATGACGCCAGGCAGCTACGCAAAGCCGCAAACCCACACTTAAGAACGTGCTGCCTCAGTGTGTGTGGGGGGGGCCTGATGAGGGTGTAAAGAACACTGCGGAAGTGAGGAGTGGCGGTGGCTCATAGTAAACAGCAGCCGCCCGTGGAGTATGGCACCTTGCTTGGGGAGAGAGAAAGCGGGCGCAGGGGTCTGGGGATCCGCAGTGGCTATCTGGAAACCATCTGACGAGGGTGGTCTTCCTCCGACTGAGAAAGGCAACTGCCGGCTCGCGGCTCCAGCCGAGTCCCCCGTGCAGAGGCCCTCTGCAGGGCCGGTAATCAGTTCCGCTCTCTCGCACCTGCTAGACTGCTTTATCCCGGTGTTCATTCACATCCCCCCACGCCCGCATCTCAACGTTCTTCACTCCCCAGCTCCATCCGCCCCGCCCCGGAGCCCAGGGACTCCCCCTCCCACACACGCACACACCAGCGTCCAGGACACAGCCGCCGGAAACCTGGGAGCTCCCTGCAAGGTCGCTGCCATGGCCAGATTGGGCGGCGGGGGGTCTGCAGGGCAGAGGACCCGCGCGGCCGGGAGAAGGAAACGACAGACCTTCAGCCAGGGCGGTTTGTCGGGAAGTTTATGTGAGTCAACGGTGGCAAGGTGGTTAACGTTCTGACAAGGCAGGCCGCGACGCGACGCAGGTCAGTGGCTTCCCAATTGCTGCGCAGCGTTAGCTTTGATGACGCCAGGCTGAGGATCGCAGAGAACTGATGGCAGTGTGCGGGTGATGGCGGACCGGGACCGTGCTTTCCAGGCCGCGGACCGGGAACCAGACACGTGCGGACGAGCAAGAGATGATCACTGGAATGTACAGGTGCGACGAGCGTCTGAGCCCTTAAGTTTATGATGTTGCCGATTCCCCTTTTACCGAGGCTCAGGAGATCTGGCCTTGCAAGGCCGAGTTGCGTAGTTGCGTCCCTCAGTCCCTCCAACCCGCTGAGAGTGCTACCGTACCGTACGAAAACGCAGGTGTCCAGAAGTTTCGGTTGAGATCCACGTTGTTCGAGTTTAAGCGGCGGCGGTTTGCAAACCTGCCGGCAACAGCCACGCCCAAGCCATCGACACCAATAATAGTAATTGAAGCACGCTTCGGAAGCGCTGTGCCAGCGAAGCCCACACGCGTGCAGCGCCCCCGGCAGTGCTACACCATCCAGACACCAACCCCTAGGACATCCCTTGTACGATAACTGTGGTCATACCTGTTCTGTAGGAGAGAACACGATACCCAATGGCGCACCGCACACCGCGATGGACTAACCCCGGGTCGCTCCCCAGCACCTGTCCTCCATGTCCACCCCCACTTGTCAAGCCACCCACGCACCCATCGGGGTTCATGGTGGGTACAATGCGCACCAGGGTGCTCGCCTGCAGCTCCCGCCACCGCCCATCCGCCGCTGCAAGCTCCCCACTGCACAGGCCCCAGGCCAGCCGCAACAGCAGCTCTCGATTGGCCGTCTCGTCGCCGTGCATGTTGCCGACCCACTGGGAGGAGCCCCGGGGGCCACGGGGATATACCCACACGGGAACGAGGCACAGGAGGGGAAGCACTCGGGGATGGCGGTGGACAAGAAACGCGAAACCATTTGCACTCGTGAACGACATATGTGCGGATATGACTGAGTGGGGTTTGATGGGAAGACTGGCCGCCCGCGGCGTTGGTAATTGGAACCCCGGCAACCGTCGGGCTGCAGTGCTTATGGTGCGAATCCAACGCCGCCCTATTTTTGAGTGCGAACTAGTTGCGGCTTAAGTGCAGCTCCTTCCCACGTAATCCAACTCCATCACACTGCTGACATGCGCGCCGCACCGAAAGCACATCAGGGCACTTGTACGGCACCTGCGGCGCATCCCCAAGCGATAGCCACACGCACCGCTTCATGCCATACGACCACCCCGAGCACCTAGCGTGCCCTGAGCTCACGGCCCGGCGGTCCGTGCTCACCGTGAAGCTTGGCTTGGGCAGGCCTGACGGGCTGTCACTGCTGCCGTTCACAGCGCTCCAAACCACAGCCACAATCCGGCGGCCCTCAACGCTGCATGCCAGACAGGACAGGCGTGCGGACAGCCAGAGGTCACCAGCCGCCGGAAATCGGAGATCGGGAGTCACACGCAAACGACTTTAAAACTCCCTAGCCTGGAGCGAACGGCTAAGGAAGGACTTGCTCAGCCCGTCTTAGGTGTCATGCTGAGCATGCGGCAGAGCCGGTCAGCTGCGCAGGACTAGCCCCGGGTACTGTGTGGGGAATGCGCAGCGCGAGCACCCCCGGGGACCCCGCCATTTACCTACACCCCAACACGGCACAAGCACAAAATCCTTAATACACACGCATCACCTGGATGGTGAGGGCCACTCCAGGCTGCACGCGCCATCGCTGCTGCTGACCAGTTCTGACAGGAAGTCCAGCATCTCCGGGTGGCTGTGATATGACTTCCAGGACCATGCAGTAGTGGTGGTAGGGGTAGGGGTAGGGGTAGCCACGCCGCCGCTGAGAACTGCGTCGGAAGCCGCATTCGACGACAGTGGTAGGAATTTCCTGTCCGCTGCTGTCGCGTCCGTCGCCGCGTGAAGCGGTGAGCTAGCTGTGGAGGTAAAAGCTGCGCGGCGAGCGGAGCGCGCCGCGGGGGGCAAAAATGGCGAGTGGTGAATTTGAGCATTCTAGATGTAAGTATGATGAGCAAATGTGTCTATGCCAACAATGGCCATCCTGCTTTTGGGAGCCACTGCACGAGGCGGCCGCGGCTGAGGGCGTCCGAGGTCGGGCGGCCAAGGCGTCAGAAAGCAGGGTGCGGGGTTGCGACAAAATGGAGTGCCGGAGATGGGAAGGGACGCACCCGCGTTGAAGCAGTCGATATCTGGGCGCGGGCACCGTTTAGGTGTGGTACCGGTACTGGCACTGTGCGCGCATATGAGCGCCCAGGTCGCGAACGTTGCGATATGCAAGAGCCGCAGGCGCCGAAATGCTGCGCCTCCAGACATTCCCTTGCTGAGGAGAACTTGCCCTTTACCTACGTTATAGACTCAACCACTACTGCTATGCACATGTTCGCAGCTTTGACGGGCCATGGGTCATTCCATCCGTATGACCCGTTGGACGTTATGGCAGTTGCGGCTGACTCTTCGATCGAAAAAAATCATGTGCCCTGGCAGCACTACGTAAAGTACATGAAGTGACGAAGGAAATCAGGGACGGTGAATGAGCCAAGGTCGCATGTATTAGCAAGATGTTTACAGAGTCAAGTTAGCCATCGGTCACAACAAGCCTTGGCGAGGGCCGACATTGCCGAACTTGCATGGTATGCGCAAGAATAAATACGCTCTTTTTCGCAAAATATCTTCTACGAGTAGCACAATCATCGGCCCTAACAAAAGCATTTATTTCCTGGTCAGCTACCGGTGGCGGTTCGCCAACCGCCACGCTCACACCAAAGGCCGACCGAGGGACAGAAACCCCAGTCCCCCAGCCAACTCCACACACTCTTTCTTCATCGACCAAGATCAACCACCACTTTCCAGCATACACATACCTTCATCCATAGGCACCGCGCTAGGGAAATGTCCAGAACTTAATCCAAAACCGCACCTGCATTGTTTTCAACGTCTTTCCGCTAGCGTCAGTCCCGGGGTACACTGTGCCCGACCTGTGATACGTATATAGGAAAAGTGTACAACGCACATGCTCATGGTGGGCGAATGACGCGCTAGCTCCGTCATTCTGTGGGGCCCCCTTCACACGCCATTTCCAATTATGTATAAAGTAGAAACACAACTGCAAAAACAAATTCGCAACAAGCCACCTAGGCCAACACGTCAAGTCCTGTGTAGGAGCATAGGATTGGCGCTCACATGGATGTAGCACCGTACAGGTTGCCCTCTCCCAGGTGGAAACACATCACTTGCTGTTGCTGTGTCAGCGAAAAGAGGACCACTTATAAGAAAGAAATGCACTGCCGGAAGAGCAGGACACCGTGGCAACGTCCCTGCCCTCTCAATCCCCGTCTAGGGACGCATCAACAGAGCTTCCCATATCTTCTGTGAGTGGCCACAATGCAGCGAAAAGTAATACAAACAGCTCAATTTCTGTCGAGGGACACGCTAACATGACCCTACGCCAGATCCCCTCCGCAACTGGATCGACTGCAATGAGCACGACCAGCGAGATAAACGGCCCGCTCACCATATCATGCTGCCGCACAGGGACAGCACGTGTTTTAACTTCCAACCACTGCTAGTCACGAGCAAATACCCCCTGCTCAAAGCAATGAGCTCTGCAGGCCTAGAGTATTAACAGTCCACTGAGCAACGGCCAAGTCGTCCTTGCCAAAGCCAATGACCTCGTCCTGAAGCTCCGAGGAGGGTGCAAGCGCACAGGATGCCGCCAGGTGGGCGAGCAAATCAGCTTGCTGGGGTGTGAGTGTCGACCCTGAAGGCGATGATGCCTGCGGCTGCCGCCGAATGGAGCACTTCGCACTGCCAGACCGGAGGTTGTTAGCCACTCGTTGGTACCTGTTGTGTACCAGAAAAGAAAGAGAACAAATCCTGTAAGAGAAAGAATAAAGAACCAGCACCTAACGGACTAGACTAAGAAATTCCGGTGCGTCTTCCAAAGCGTCCTCGCGGCTCTGACTGTTGCAACGACCAAAGCATTCCTTCCTGGTTACGATTTGCTCAACTAGAGGAAGTCAGCCATCAGTTATGAAGCTTAGCTTGCCAATTGCAGCGCACGTGAGGAACCTAATCCTCCTCAGGCAACTCACCGGACTTCTGAAGGGTGATACTTCCGGCTTTTCTGGAGCAGCAGCTGAGGGCATGCTTGAGCGCGGAATTGCACATTGCTAGGCGATGCAAAGCTGTTGCCAAAAGCGAAGCTGCTTAACGGTGCCAACACGTTCCGCTGCGAGCATGGACAGGGGTTGCAAGGTCAGAAGTCCGGCAGATAACCCTCTTGGGGCCAAAAGGTCATTTTATTCATTCCCTCAAAATTACTTACGTTCACAAAAGCGGCGCTGGCACCGGCAGTCCTGACTGCTGACGTGACGGACCACGTCGCCAGTTTCAACGTGCCGTCTGCTGCGCGACCAAGTGACTCAAGGCCGACGCTACCCAATTGAGTGCCAACAGGGATCGCCAAAGAAAGTGCCCTACGCAAGCAAATGCCTTCATTTTTATGGCTGCGCAACCTCGAGGCGAGCAACTACCTCAGTGCCAACAACTCAATGAATCTTGCTGAGTTGTGAACATTACACACCTGCGGAGGCCTTCCTCCCTTGCAACTCCAAGCGTGTCCATTTCGCACAGGGGGAGCAGTAACTCCTTAACAGAGTCCCTAAGCAATAAAATAATCAGAAAGTTCCCGTGCTGAAATATGTCACAAGTGATAAAGTTTCCGACGCCACACAGTTGCTAACCTGAGCCATGGTCTCGCGTTTTGTACAGCAGGAGGTACGACAGATGTGCCGTCAGCAATCACGACTATCAGACTTCCACGGCCGCCACTGTAACAAGCCATGCTAAGTGACAAAAAAACCTTACAATTGCTTCATGTCACACAGCGAAGGAGAACCATTAAAGAAAAGTTTTAACGGTCACCCGCCACAAGACATCACCCGAAGGCAACCCATCACAGCATCGTCGGGAAACGGCTGACAACCCACATGATTGTTAAAACATTTATGGAATAGGATCACATTTATGAAGGAAACCCGTTCAGAAAGGGTCTTCTCTCACTATGCGCAAGGTGACGGATAGCACCTTTTTGCTCCCGTCCCATTTTGCCTTGCCGCGCTGGCCATCCACTTTGTGCGGCAAATGTACAGAGAGCTTGCTGCATGGGCAAAGCATGCAGGCCGGGAGATGAGGGTCCGGACAGTATAGGGTTGACATGGAGGTCTCGACTACATTACTCAGGTTGCTTGCTCTAGTAATGCTAAGTTAGTGCAATTACAGCAGGTTTGCATATGCAGTCACATAGTGCACATGACATAAAGATTGAGCGTGCTGCAACCCCTACCCACGCGTCCTAGGGCAACCACCCTTGGGCCCCAAAGCTCCCACTCACTAATGGGGCGAGCTGAGCTTCAAGTAGGTATCCTTGACTTCTAAGTCAAGCTCTGAGAGCAGGAGGGCCAGAGGGGTAGGCAGGGAAGAACGTTCCTGGGCGACTCTTAAGATGAATATGGACCATCCTGGTCTAGAGCGGGAAGAAGATGAGCATGCAACAACTGAAAACCATGGAGCACGAACGCTGTCGCAGGGCTCCTGGCTGTTGAATACAGACGCAGCACAGCATAGGCAGGAAATGCCGGTGCTGTCCCCCAATCATAGCGGACTATGCATCGTGTTAGACGGCGTTCCGCTCGCACAGCATCACCAAGCTAGCCTCCCACACCTAGCAGCCGCTATCCGAATTCGGTATCTCCCCAGGCTCCCTTTTTACCTGCCGCTCCCGAGGCCTCAGGTAGCTCCACGCGCACTACCAGATCCTCGCAGCTGGTGGATGATGGGTCCTTGCCGCTTATTCCCAAGAAGTTGTCCGCCGTGTCTACCGCCTGCTTGTACAAAAAGTCGTAGCTGGGCGAATGAGAAAGAGCGGACGCCGCAGGCGCAGAGGACGGAAAGGTGGGCAGGCGGGCAAGGCGGGGAGTAAATCCGGCGCGCTGCAACCTAATAAGCTTCAACGGCGGCCGCACTGCGGCGTGATTACAGGCAAAGTAAGCCGTTTGCAACCAGTCGACTCTTGAGCATCCAATGCGTGTACCGAACACGATGGCAGAGTGTGTGCAGTGTATGCGTTGGCTCCTCCTCCTCCTCCTCCTCCTCCTCCTCCAACAATGTGCAAAACAGCATTCGGGTGGTATATGGCAGAAGAAGAGCGGAGGGGTTGGGGTCCCTCACCCAGGCCCATATTACACCTGGGAACCTGGCGGCCGTCCTCGTAGTCGTCCTCCACGGCATCCTCTAACTCATCCTCCCGCCAAATCTCCTTGGGATCGTGCCTAACTGCGACCGCGGGTAAATGGCCAAGCACACATCCGGACACCTAGGTAGGCATTATGCCAGTGGAGGTGACGGTGTCGAGGAGAGGTGCCGTGGCAATGACAACTCCACATGCGCAAGGTAGCTTGCAATATACACAGCTGTTGTCACTGGCATGCTGGCGTCACCACGCTGGTAGTATGCGCCGGATGAAATCGTTACCCACGCACCAGCCCCAAACCCAACATCAGGGTTCCAGGTGGCCGAGGGGCGATATCATAACCGTGCGGCAAGCGCCTGCCGCATCAAACATCAGGTTCTAGCGACTGTACACCTCGACTTGGACATGCGCATGGAAGATGTGATCGACTCGATGTGGAAAGTCATCTACCTTTCGGCGCAGGCACCTTAACATCTAGCAGCTCCTTGGGGCCGATTGTGCCAGGCGTGGGACGCGACACATAACCTGGGGGCAGTGCGGACTCCTGCGCGTATGCACGGAAAAAGGGAGTCATAGGTGAGCTGCATGTGCAGGCGACGCTGAGGTAGATGCCACGCCGCCTTTAAGGCCTACAATCTCACCGTATCCTCAGGATCCTTAATGAGGTCAGCCAAAGCATGAAACTCGGCGGCAAAGCTGCCAATGTCCATCTTGGCCAACCGTTATGCCGAGAGCGTGGGGTAGTTAAACCCAAACGACCAGGGGCTCGGCGGGATGCCGGTTGTTACAGAGCTGCTTTCACCTGAGTGAAGACCTGTGAAACTGCGAGGCCCAAAACTTCTGAAATGAGCCGTTAATGTGCCTTTCTGCACGACCGAACCGGCGGGACTGTAACTGCGGGGCCCCACAACACACGTGAGAGGATTATAGGTTCTAATTCAGCAGAACCAGGACACTAATGCTCATACAGACTTTACCATGTAAGAGGCGCGGCAAATCCTAACAATAACTTGTGTAAGCTTGGTTAAGATGTGTGTTGCAGAGATACAACCTTACACAGATTAGAGGTGAAACATGGAAGAAAGGAAACTTTAGGCTTTGCCGTACGCAGTGGTCCGTCCAGGGCTAGTGCAGCATGTTGTTGCCTAGCCTAAGGTCTTGTTAACCACCTAGACGCGACTCGTTATCACTAAATGCAGTATCGTGGCGGATTGGTTTGTACTGAGTTCCACAGTATTAGAACTGCGTAGACCTACGTCATTTCAATTGACTTTTATCCCTTTTAGTTCAAATCTGTCCATAGCATTTCTGCATATAATACATCATGAGCTACGCAACCGCGGAGGTGGGTTGAAGGGTACTCGCAGTAAGCAGGCTTACCGGCAGGGTCTCAGAGCCATGCTTGGTTCCGCAGGACGATGATTTATATGGAGGATATGATGAACAGTCAAATCCCCTTGCGGTACGCACAAGTGGTGTCTGCCGCGTCTCCAACCGTCTTGATGCGCATGTCGTGACTCTACGAGGTCTTAATACGCACAGGGCTCCGGAGGCGCTGCTTTTAAAGCGCTTGGTTCAGATGCTCCGCCACCTGGGACAGGTAAGCATGTCTGGTAACCATAAACCACGGTGACAGGCGTTCCAACGGACAGGGTGGCGCCACGCTGAGCTAACGGTCCTGCCCCGCCTGCAGCCATGATGGGTCCACCCGGCACAGCCATGAAGAGCTTCGTGCCGGGCACGGCCATGCGTGGAGGCACAGCGATGCAGGACCCCAGCATGGCGCGCCCTATGACATCCAACAGGGGCGCAGGGTTCACGTCTGCACCCAACAAGAAGTTCGACCCCCTGAACAGATCAATGGGGACAACGTTGGGGTCTACGGGAGGAGCCACAATTTTGGCGACGCGCAAGGGTGATGTGACGCCGGAGGAGCAGGCCAGGAATCTTGAAAAGACGGTGCATGAGTTATTGGAGAAAAGTGCGGCGGACTGCGTCAAAGGAGACATGAACTCGGGTGAGCAACTCAGCGTCCACCCACATGCTGGATCACTAAGTGTGCCGGGGCATGTGCGCCCAGGCTGGGAAGGTGCGGGGCAGCGCAAACACACGTCATAGGTGCATACCGCACCTATGTTCAGCTGCGCGGGTCATTGGGGCCTTGGCATAGCCGCCGGTGCCGGCCGTGCACCCAAGGGGACGGCCGTCACGAAGCCGTGCGTATCTGCTACCTGAGCTCCTAGAGTACCACCAGGACATCCGGCGCGTGCGCAGCGAGGCGTCGTCGCGCACGTTGGGGAGCAGGTGCAGGCGGTGGAAGGGGTGGCAAACAGGGAAGTGGTAGGCGCATACGAGGTGGACGGACAAGCTGTGACCGGATTCCCTCTATGCGTGGCTCTGTTAGCCAGATTGCATGTGCCTTTCAGGCTGGTGAAAATGCACCAGCCAGCGGCGCTGCAACAAGTCCCTTGGAATGTTGCGAGTAGCGCAATAGCAATGGACGCGAGTCTTGTGCCAGCTTCTGGCGCTTCGCAAGTTGACCGTAGAGTTCCAGCGCGTAACTATCCGGGGACGTCTAGGCCGATCCTTGATGAACCTTTAGAATCTCCCTGCCATTGCACCCTCGTCAATCCTGCTGTTCTACTTCCTTTCCATCCCTGCACAGCCCTGGAACACGCAATGGAAGCCAAGAAGAACGAGCGCAAGCTCTGCCGCTTTCGTCAGCAGCAGAACATGGCTGAGCAGGTGGGCTATGGGTGCGCCCCGCCCTCGGTGGGCATGTGCGTATGTCCTTGGCGGCCTTCCGTGGCACGTGCTGCACGGGCAATCCGCCGGTGACCGCTGCCCCGGCGCGGCGCTGGTTCTGTGTACCTGCGCCTGGGCCCTGGCATCCATGTTGGCGCCTGCGCATGTATTGGAACATCTTGTAGTTGCAAATTGTGTTTTATCATTGCTGGTTGGTCACGAGGTAGTCCTAACCGCTGCAAACGTTGCCAGCGCAGATTAACCCGGAACTCATGTACGCTATCGACTTCAACCTGGCGCACATGTACCACATGAACCGAAATTACAGCGAGGCCCTGAACCTGTATCAAGGTGCGGTGGGCCCCGGTCGCAAAGGCAGAAACATCCTTCGCATGCTCCTTCGAGGCATTGGGAATGCAGATTATGCACCCCCACTGTATGCGGGGAGTGGAGGAGCCCAAGTTTTGACCAAATCATTCACCAACCCGCCTCCGAGGGTGAACTTGTTCGAAATCAAACATTGGTAGAGCCCTGGCCCATGCCGTGCGCCGTCCTCATCACCGCCCGGTCCCACTGTAATCCTCCCGGCACAGCTATCGTGCGCAACAAGGACTATCCTCAGTCTGGCTGGCTCCGAGTCAATATGGGCAACATTTACTTGGAGCAGAAGAAGTACCCCACAGCCATCAAGATGTACCGTATGGCTCTGGACCAGATTGCAGCTACCGCCAAGGAGGTGGGTGGCCGCAACTAGCGGTGCAGCGTGTAGGAGTTCACTGGGAGTAGGATATGGCAGAGGTCAGGGACCAGGGGCAGGTACGAAGCCCAAGCATCATCACTCGAACATGACACCATGCTAATGCGCTTCGAGAGCCTGGGCCTTGGTTGTAGTTGGCTGGGTAGCTCGAACTCAGATGGGGAGGGTATCATGCGGCAGCAATGGACGTTGATGTAGTCGCTGATGCCAAGATGTTCTCATGTTTTCATATTCCGTGTCGTTTTGCAGGTGCGGTTCAAGATCATGCGGAACATTGGCATTGCCTTTGTGAAGCTGGGCCAGTATCCTGACGCGCTGCAGTCCTTCGCCACCGTCATGGACAACGTACCTGACCACCAGGTGTGCCGAGGTTGTTGTGGCACTGTGGACCAGAGGGCGTGTGATGAAAACTGGGAAGGTTTTGGAAGGTTAGCGAGGCCAACATGGACGATTACGCTGCCGGATTCTTTGGGCAGGGAACTTGCTATCGATTTGCACGTCTGCAGATGGATGCCGCCTAGGCTTTGTCGTGGGGGGGTGCGTTTGCTATGTTGCTGCAGCCGCAGAAGAACCGCAGGAGCGTGGCCGGAGTCTGTGCAATAATGATTTGTAATAATGACGAAGGGCAAATCGGCAAGGGATGGAAGGCGCTTCTGCCCTGGATGTGGTATTGGCTGAGCAGTGTCCCGCACCATGGCCGCAGTCAGCGCATCGGCCCATCTCCCTAAGCCTGCTGCGTCCTTAAGCCCGTCCTTAACCCTGTTTCATTGCAATCCGCAGACCGGCTACAACTTGGTCATGTGCAATTATGCGCTTAGCGACCGGGAGGGTATGAAGACCGCCTTCCAGAAGCTTCTCAAGGTCAGATTGTGAATGCGCACTTGCACCTGCTAAGTCTGTCGGTCGGGATGCGGGTGGTGACGCCCTGGCAGTGGTCCGTACCGCCGGGCAAAGCGGCCCCAATCGGCATTAGGCGCGGCGGTGTTGGGCTTTCTTTCGAATATTGTGCAACGGCCATCGATGTTACTACTAATGCACCTCATTCCGCGTTGGGATGTCCGCAGGTGAGCCCACCCCAGGAGATGGACGACGACGATGACGACGTGCTCAATGACGAAGACGAGATGCAGGTGGGTGAGCGATTGAACGACAGGGAGAGCAGCACAGCACGGCAGCCCTGAGCGGCAGCCAAACGACGTAATGCGCATGCGTCCCAGAACCACGGCATGGTAATTAACCCACCCTGTAAGCGTATCGTTACAGCCCTGGCCCCATGTATCCTTTATTTTTGTGCATGGTGCGCATGGCCCCACCCATCATCATACGGCTGCCTTAATCCCTGGCCGCCTTTTCTTGGGCTAACTCTTTTGTTACAGGCGGTGGTGGCGGACGACGGGCTGAAGGAGGAGCTGCGGAAGCGGAACAGCGCCATCACGAGGTGTGCAGCTGGGTGATGTCCTCCGGCTAGCAGACATCTTGGCTTGCTACATGACCCTATTAACCACTCGAATAAACCAGGCGTTGGGGCGTCGTGGCATACCGACACTCTTGCTCGCTGTGCAGAGCGTATAGGAGGAGCTCCAGGGCTTCCCGTCCGGTGGTTTTCATCAGATGTTCAGCTGCTGTTCCCTTTACACGCTTGGCCCTTCATGACCTATTCGGCCCTCTCCGCCCCATGACTATGTTAGGCTCATCGTGAAGGCCGCTCAGCTGATCAGTGAGAAGGTGGATCGAGCCAACGGCTTCGAGGGCGGCTTCCAGTGGTGCTGCGAGCAGCTGCGGGAAGCGGGTTACACCAAGTTGGCCAACGAGGTATAATAGGTTGTGGGACTTGTGTGACGGGTTGGATGTGGGACTTGTGTGACGGGTTGGATGCAAGGTCAACGCTCGACAGGAGTGCCAGTTGCGGGAATCACGCGGGAAATGCCCTGCAAGTGGGCGCAATGCGGAAGCGCTTTAGATGTCTAGCTGCGTAGACGGTGGTGAGCACGTTCCACCGTCGTGTCGTCCGTCGCACACAACACCCGTATTGTCAGCGCGGCAAAAGCGAGCCGACGCGGCTAAGTTGCAAGCTCTTCGGTAGGTAGGATGAATCCTCATAGGCATGTTGATGCGGGTGCGATCACAGGCATCGGTGCCGCTGGTGCTGCAGGAGCGGCCTGATGAACCCCGCCCTGAATTCCACATCCCTCTTCTCCCTGCAGGTGGAGCTGGCCAAAGCCACGCGCTTCATGGGCCAAAAGCAATTTGACAAGGCCGTCTCCGTCTTCAAGGTGTGTTGTAGCTAGCTGGCAACACATCCGGGTTGCTGAGTTCGGGACACCTAGCAAAAAAATAGGGCACGCACTTCGGTTTTAAGCCAAGTCGCCTTGTATTATTTTTGCGTGTCATATTTTCGAACCCCTGGCTCGGCTCTCTTACCAAGTGTTGTGATATGGGCGGCACACGCTTGTCGCCATAGCCACAGCATGGACTTCTCTGCCCGAGGGCCCCCAGTCCATCACACCAACGGCCTCATCCCAAACCTTTTGTGTTGCCCCTTCGACCGACTGACTTCCTGAGCAGGAGTTTGAGAAGAAGGAGCCGCGTGTTAAGGCTCGCGCCGCCACAAACCTGGCTTTCCTGTACTTCCTGGAGGGTGAAACGGACCAGGCGGACAAGTACTCTGAGATGGCACTTAAGAGCGACAGGTACCACACAGGGAAGGAGCTTCGTGCTGCAAAGACTCAGCGCGAGAGGCGACGTGCCCGGCTGGCCGGGACTTGGCTGCCGCTGCACCCATGAACCGGTTCTAGGTGTTTTGTGCTGGGCCTCCTCCAGCGTGCCGAGTGTTTATAAGGCTTGCCTTCTGCCTTCTGGCTGCCCGTTATGCAGGTATAACGCCCGTGCGTACGTGAACAAGGGCTGCGTGCTGGTCGAGCGCGGGGACCTAGAAGGAGCGCGTTCGTTGTTCAATGAGGGGGCAGGTATCGACCCCTACTGCGTGGAAGCCATCTTCAACCTGGGCTTGGTGTCACAACGTCTCAATGAGCTGACGTACGCGTTGGCGGCATTTAAAAAGTTGTACAACATGGTGCCCGACAACGTGGAGGTGAGCGGCGGAACCATGACCAGCTGTAGGCATGCGAGACGAGTGAAAGGGAATAGCTGTATGACGGAGCTGGAGGATGGTCAGTTGGACTGCGTGCGGGGTTGTGTTGGGGGCCAGTGCGCGAGTGCAGCGCCTGAACTGTTATAATGTCGCTGCGACAGGCGGAAAGGCTTCAATCGTGGTGTCGCCCTGGTCCACTGTACAATCCACAGGTCATCCACCAAATTGCCACCACATACGACATGATGGGCGACTTCAAGAACGCTGTCAAGTGGTTTGAAATGTTGACAAGCCTAGTGCCCAACGATCCCGGGGTACTGGCTCGATTGGGCGCCATCCACGCGCGATTCGATGACGAGGCAAAGGCGTTGCACTACTACCAGGTGCGGCTCAGACGTCGCTTGGGATTGAGCACGGTAGTGGTAGAAGCACAAGGGGCAATCTTAATGCGAAGCCGGCGCAGAGGCGGCCTGCCCGCCGAGGGCCGTTTGGATACCAACAAGCTATGATCTGGGGACAGATATGGCGGCCCGAAGCCTCTATACATGTGCTGGTGCTTGGTTAACTGGTGCTTTCTCACTTGGCGTGGGCCGAAGCTGCTACTATTGGCCGTCAGGGTAGCTGTGATCTTCTCAGACGAGGAAGAAATTCTGAGATCCTCTTCACTTCATCAGCAGGTCGACCACCTTCTTCCTTTCCGTCTCCCCGCTTGTTCCCTGTTTCCTGCACCGGCTGTTCCGCAATATACGTACGCAGGAGGCCCACCGTGTCTACCCGGTCAACATGGACGTCATCTCGTGGCTGGGGGCCTACCATGTCAAGAGCGAGGTGTACGAGAAGGCGATGCCCTTCTTTGACCTGGCTTCCAAAATTCAACCGCAGGTCAGCGGGTCGTTGCCTGCGAGGCGCTGAAACTGCCTGAGCTTATATGCTGTTGGCATTTGCCATGCTAGAGCGGCCTCCGACCAATGCTGAAATTCACCAGCCCCCAACGCCCGGCACCGGCACGTACCCATCCACAGGAGGTCAAGTGGGCCCTGATGGTGGCCTCGTGTTACCGCCGCACCAACAACCTGCCGGGGGCATTGGCCAAGTACAAGCAGATCCATGCCGCGCACCCAGAGAACGTCGAGTGTCTGCGCTACCTGGTGCATCTGTGCAGCGAGTTGGGTCGTCGTGCAGAGGCGGCGGAGTACATGACCAAGCTCAAAAAAGCAGAAAAGGTGTGTGGGTATGCGGTTTGGAGACGCCGTGCTTTTTTGAGTACCACTGCGCCGGCATCCAAGTGCTGATGTCAGGGGGGTCCCTTCTCGCGATGCCTTCCAAGAGGCGACTCCGAACTTCTTACAGCATAACATTTCAGCGATGCCGCTATACCAGCAAATGGGCCATCAAGCAGGGGACTGCAGAAGCCTTCAATACAAGTCACGTTTAGCCCAGTATTCTTACGGACACACATTGCCGTTTCGCTATCCGTTACAGGCTGCGATGCCGGACGCCGCAACGATGGCAGCAGCTGCGGCACCCGTCGCTGCATCTGCTAGCCCCATGGGCATGGACGACGACCTCGGCACGTCCGCAGTCTCGGCGCAGGTATGTCCACCACCGCGGAAAAGGGTTCTTCCTCTGTGCTTTATTTTGCTTTTGGTTGCGGTGCAAGGACTCCATCTCCCCCACGTGGTAGCAGCTTAGTGGCCCATCGCGCTATCCTGCTGATGAATTCCCCCCCCGTGCTATGCAGCAACGCATAGATTCGGTTCTGTTCTTTTGCTCCGTTGAGCATTGTTGTGAGCATTGGGTTTTGCGACTCCAGCACCTTGCCGGGAAATAAGCTTGGTTGGCCCCTTTGCAAGTCCTCGTGTCTGACCACAACATGCTTGCTTCCTTCCTTGAGCACCCCCTGCCCCGGCCTCCATCACCTACCGACAAACCCAGAATCGCGGCAAGAAGATGCTGGTCAAGGAGCATTTGGGAGGGAAAGAAGCCGACGACTGGGGAAACGAGCAGCTTGGGGACGACCTCCTGCCTATGTGAGCGCCATCACCAGGGCCAGCCTAGGCAGTGGTGGAGCCGCCGTCCCAAGGCACGGCAGGGCAGGTTCCCCGGGTTCCAACTTGTTTTGTGCGACGGGTTGTGCTGACGACGATAGTGACGATGATGAACACCTGGCGGCTCTCGGCCTGGGACAGGAGCCTAAGTCCAGGTCGGCGTCCGTGTCTCGGTCAGCTTCGCAAGGATGGAGCATCCGTGGCGGCGGCGGCAAGGGCGGCTTGCGGGGCGGCGGCAGCGCGGGTAGCTTGGGAAGCACGGGAGGCCTTGGCGGAGAGCCGGTGTTTGGCAAGGTGTTGAGCATCGGATCGCGTGGGTCAACCAGCGTGCTTCCAGAGCTGGCGTGAGGGGGGTGTGCTGAGCGACATAAGGCCCCCAGTATGCAAGGACCCGGGTCAGACCTGAGCTCCAGCTGACGTGTTGCCGCCGATTGGCAGGGCCAGTGGACGACAGGGAAGTGAGCCGTGTAGCCCACCTGCTCCGTTTACGCGAGGCGGGCTGTCCTACAACCTGCCTGTTTAAGTAGTGCAACCCGCCCAGCATTCTCTCCCAAGAGTGTATAGGAACTCGCACTTATGGCGAAACCTTGAAGAGCCCGCACCCGGAGACCGCCTCTCTCAGTCAGCCTTCCAGGGTGTGTCTATTGAAGGATACGCGGGGGCCGACGGGCCTGGCGGCGGATGGCGGAGAGGGCAGACGGATCGTTCCCTGGGTTGTCGACAACAGAATATTAGGATCCCACCATGTCCAACGGGTTGGAATACAGATGCTCGTTCAGACCCGGTTGTGGGTTTAGCTGACATGCTCTGGGCCGTGGGCTTCAGTGGGCACTTAGGTGGAAAGCGTCCCGATAGTTAGGAGCCAGGGCGCCTTTTCACGCCGAGATGGTGATTGGCTGGCTGCCATAGGGCACAGCACTTGTTGCTGTTGCATGGAGGGAGCACCGCACCGTGTATCCTGTGAAGTGCAGCGCCAGCATCCCCCCGAGGCAGACAACCGATTGTGGTGTCAAGTGGTAATAATAACTAATGTAACTCATGTCTGCACAACTTAAGCTCGGGTGGGGCGGGCGCTTGCGGATATTGGAGGTGTGCATAGACGAAGTTTCTGCTCGGAGCAAGCCGAGGCTTGGCGCCTGTTGCGATGATCGCGGTGATCACGGCGGCTCTCCTTGCTGTACAGCAGTTTTTATCCATGTTTATATGCTGCCCGAATGTGCCGGGTGAGTGTCATGTTCTTGGGGCCAGAAGAAGAGTGCGTGCTTGCGTGGGGTAATTTAAACGGCGATGTGCAGGGGTGGCGGTGGTGGCGAGCCATGGTTGCTGAGCATGGTACATAGCAAGGCAGGCCGCGCCGGATGCCCCCGTGTATTGTGTTAGGCCTAGTAAGTTCGTGCGACGTGATGATGGCCGTGCACGTGCTGGCGATGCGAAATGTCTTACGAACTTTCTGACACAAATGTATTCTGATTATGGATATTACGCATCCTAATTTTGAATATTTAGAGCCTGCGACGATTTGAGTGAATGACGTGGAAGATCACCTCTAACATGTAACAATGCCAGTCGTGCTCTGGCGGCTGGCGGCGATTGCAGAGTCACACCCGGATCATGGACCAATGCATATGGCACAACCTTACCGCTCTCTTGCCTGTGCGCAGCGGAGTTCAGCTGTCCAACGGTTTGAATAAACTACTTCCAGAAGATTCGAAAGGTGTTGCATCCCTTGGCGGGGATGGGTTAGGGACATGGGACCATGTGAAGTGGGCCTGGGCGAAATTAGGGCGGGGTTGAGGGTCAGCTTCGTGACGGTGCCTTCGTGGTGGGGACTTTGTGACAGTGCTCGGCCTTCATGGGTGATAAGAGGTGGCTCCAGGAGGGGCTGGGATTAGGCGCCCCAGGCATGGGTTGTGATCGTCCGCTGTGCAGGATACAAGGAGAGCTCGTGATGGGGTTCCTATGCCAATGGCTGGTGGATATCTGCGTGTAGGGAAACCATGCATTGGGCAGGATATTCCGGGACCATGCGTGGGTTAGTTCTACCAGGGACCTTGCGCTGTCGGGCTGGGGTTACGTTAGGAGAGGGTGGGAGCAGGGAGGGCTGGGGGGAGGAGGGTGGGATGCCTTCGGCTCGACCCTGTGCTGTCCCTAAAGCTGCACGGAGCCTAGTGGGCTCCGACGTCGTTGCGGCTGGAAAGTTTGGGGGAAGGAAACGGAACGGGGGGGAGACTTATTTATCTAAAGAATCACCCAAGGCATATTACTAATTGTTTCCCCCTCAACCGCCTTGTGCTGTGCCGTGCGTTGCTGCAGCATTCAAACCCCAAACAACCCGGCCGCAGCCAGACAGCAAAGGACCAGGTCCGCACCGGATCAGCTCCAAAACCTACCCAGCGAAGCCAAGCACAGCCCAGCGAAGCCAAGCACAGCCCAGCGAAGCCAAGCACAGCCCAGCGAAGCCAACCACAGCCCAGCGAAGCCAAGCACAGCCCAGCGAAGCCAAGCGCAGCCCAGAGAAACCAAGCACAGCACAGCCTCAGTTCATCTTAGTGTCGTGATGTGTTGTGTATTATCCAACTTGTGTGACTGTACATTGCGGTACCACCCTTGCCCCGTCAGCTACATTGACATGCAATCCATATGCATACCCTTATGCACATGCACTCAAATGGCGTCTGTTAGGAGGTCACAGGCGCGCACGGCGTCTGGTCTGCTTTCGGTATGGCATTTTGCATCGTTATTGCATCATCGTTATTTGGTTACAAGTCTTTGCATATGCTTGTTCGGCGTGATGGGGACTGGGACGGGGCGTTTTTATGGAGGGAGCGATGTTGTGAATGTACTACGTACGACATATGTGTAGCACTCGCTTTGCCGTTACCCGTTGCGTGTTTCGCTCGAGCTCTCTTGGTGAGGTGCGTTTCCTCAGGACATGCTCAAGACTCTGGAGGCACAGGCCGCAAGGTGGTGATGACACGGAGGATAGGGCTGGAACTTATCCATGTGGTAGCCAGTTGGCCCCGGTGGGTTGGAGTCGGTGGGTCCCCGAGCCCAGGAAAGGAGGCGGAGAAATGAAGCCCGTGGTGCTGCGGGGCGAGGGAGGGAAGAGCGTTATACACAGAGGGGGAGGAGGCGATTCGGGGGCCCTCAGGGGCCCTAGGGCTTCGGCCATCAGAGGAAATAGCTCATGTAAGTGTACGGCGTTTCGGTGCCCATTCCTGGGTCCTTATTTGGGTGCTTGATATACAGCGTAGGACTGCTCCACTGTGTCATTCTGTCGAGGCTTAGTTGCACGGTTGACATGGTACTGATTTCACATCACACGCCGACTTGTCCAAACACAGACACAAACACACACAGGGTCTTCCTGCTTGCTTCGGTGGTGGTGGATGTGCTGGGGTTGTAAAGGGTGGTGGTGGTATTTTCAACCCGGCCCGCGGGGGCTATTGCCTGTGGGTTCGAGCCCCACAAGGATCGAGGGGTATTGACCCACTGCTTTAGCTTTGTGCAGCATTCCCAATGCAAGCATCACCACGCGTTGCAGCGCCTTGATGAATTTTCAGTGGAAATTATATTTATTTATTGGATTTTCGCTGAGCATATAAGGCCCAGAAGCTCCACCGTCGCTTATAGTGTCTCACAGATGCGCCCGTTGAGCCGGTGCTCAGCTCGACTCACTCAGGTCCCTGACCTCGCCTTTCCACCCACCGTCTGGACAACCCCGCTATAGCCACCTAAGATTTGTGATATAGGTACGGTCTGGTACAGGTTCTAAACTTCTTTCCTCGTACGCCATCAGCATGCGTACATAGAATCCATCCATGTGCCTATTTTGGCCATCAATTAATTATCATCCGCCTTGACATGCTGCTGCGCTACTACCCACCACAGCAAACTGTGAGGTAATACCCAGAGAGCACCCAGTGCTTCCTTTATCTCTCCCTCTCTCTCTCTCTCGGCACCCTCATGTTCCATTCCTCCATCTCTCTATACGGCATGCTGTATTGCTGCACCGCTTCTTCCTGCACACACCCTGGCGTGCGTTACCGTTGGAGCTTTGTCGTAGATTTGCGCAGCTCACACTGATTGGCTCCCTGCTTCTACACTTCGGCAAGTGATCTAGGCCTTGGACATGGGGCCCCGTTTCCAACAAGCTGCTTTAAAAGTGTGTTTGTAACGCCTCCAACCCTCCTCCTCTCCCCCCACTCCTCCTCAATGCCACGGCCGATCCTGCAGACCCTCTTCGCTAAGCCGTCCCCCGGCATCACCGTCCCCCTCCTCTACCCTCGTCCCCTGCCCTTCAAGCCCAACCTCAACTACCTCATCCCCGTCACCGTCCCCATTCCCGACCTCATCGTTGTCATCGTCCTCAGGCGGTTCATCCGCTCCGCCGCCTCCATCAAAACCCGCCCCTGCCGTGCCCCCCTCGTCCTCCATGCCCTCCGAACCCACAACCGCCCCCGCCATCATCCCCTCCGCCACCACGGTTCCATCCGCCGCCGCCTTCTCCATCGCCATTATCTCGGCCAAGCTCGCTCCCCCCAGCTTCTTTACATCCACAGTCAGTGGGGCCCCAGGAGCGGCCGCCTTGCCGCCACCCGGCCCCGGCATTCTTGGCTGCATTGGCCGCGGCGTCAGAGCCGCCCAGGGATCAGCGCTGAACGACGGTTTGTAGTACGCCTGCATCGCCGCTGGCGTAGCGTTGTCGTCGTTGCTGCCGCCACGGCCTCGGCCCCGGCCGCCGCCACCGCCGCCACGACCCCTGCCGCCGTCGCCCCTTCCAGCAAATGGCTGGCCCCGCCCCGCAACCCCCGGCGTCACCGGCGCTGTCGCCGCTGCCGTTGTGACTGGACCTTCTGGCGCCGGTGCAGCTGCCGCCGCTGCCTCCGTCCGTACCCACTTATTTGGCCGGACGCCACTAAAGCCGCCGCTGCCGTGCCATCCCCCTCGACGGCCACCGCCGCCACCGTAACCTCCCCTGATGCTCGGCCCCGGGTAACCGGCCCCAGACCCGGGTGACGGCGACTGATAATGCAGCTGTTGTTGGTGCTCCCAGCCTCCGTGGCTGTAACCCCTTGGCGTGGCATGCTGGTCGTAACTCGTCCCGGCGGCGGAAGGGCGGGGAGGCCAGTGGCCGCCGCCGCCGCCGGGTCCCCGGCCGTACAAGTGGGTTGGCTGGGGTTGCGCATTGAGCGGCACGGGCAGCGCAGGGGAGCCCCGGCCATGAAATCCCCTGCCGCCGGCGCTGCTGCCCCTCCCAGGAATGGCATGGCTCTCATGTGTCGAGCCGCGAGCAGGTCCGGGCCGGGGACCTGGACCTGGGGCTCGACAAGGACATATCAACGATTCGGCATTTAGGCAGAGCCAGAATGAAAGAAGTTATTGAGGCACGTTCTAACATTCTGACAGTTAGCAGAAAGGAAAAAAGCAAAAATCGCAGCCGCAGCACCATCACTTTTCTCAGCACACACATTATATGGCACATGTGCAGTCTTTTTGTAAGAGCAAGGTGCCGAGGAGGAAAACCCTAGAACCCTAGTACATGTACATTAGGTGCGACCGCTCTCATCCCGATGACGTGTACATCCGGATGGGTTTGGAAAAGAGTTCGTCGTACGGGTGACGCGGGGGCAACTTGGTTCGCCACAGGTTTATTGGTACGGCGGCATAGCAGGAACAGCGAGGTAACAGTTAGGCCTATGAAGCCTTCCTCCGAAACCACAAGCGAGCGTCGCGCACTGTGGCCTACCGGGGGGCATGTATCCGGATGCAGGGGCTGCGGCTGCGGGCCGAGGTGCAGATGTGTAGGCCGCCAACGGGTCACTGCCGTGGGGGAGAGGAGAGAGGGGAGGCGCAGGAGGGAAAGTCGAAGGGATGGTGGGGGAGGTAAGCAGTCCCGGGCATAGCACGGGAAAAGGGGAGGCAAATGGATTTAGGAGAGAGCGCGTGGAATGGGAAGGGATCTGGGATCCGGACTGCACAGCTATTCCTGGCAATGGGGACAAGATGACATCGCGGCGGGTTCCAACAGGTTGCCATCTGCTTAGCGGCCGCGTAGCCGCCTGGTGCCCTGCTTGTTTGACACCTCACCTGTAGAAGGAGAAGCCCCGGTCCTGCTCCGGCTCTGGCTCAGCAAAGGGGCAGTACAAACCACCTGCATGTCGTATAGCGATCTGAACTGAAAAAAGCCTGGATTTCAGTCATAACGCAGCTGTAATTGCTCCAATCCAAGCTTACTCATCGCGCGGATTGGCCTCAGTTGGCCGGCATGGATCAGCGCTGGCAGCCAAGAAAACAAGCTTTGTGGCGCGTTGTCGTGCACTTATGTGTTATAGGTACAGCACGCTTATGTGGTTTGAGTTGCAAGTGGCTGGCCCTCCGGCGTGGGCCAAGGATTACGCACAGCGGCGGCACGATAGGTCACGCTGTGCCACAGCCTACGCCCTTTGCGGTGATCTGAGACTTGAGTTGCAGCCGCTATAAAGCATTAACGACGCAACTGCGAACATACAGGGACTCGCAACACATCGTAAATCGAACGCCTCTTAAGCGGACGCAGAGATTCCTTTACATAATATGAGTGAAAAAGATAGGAAAGGTTTTCCATGATTTGCAACTTGTCTGCATAACGCGATGCATCGATGCGGCATTCCGGACACTTGCCATGGAATCCGAAATCCGTGCTGTGTCCTTGCCATGCTAATTAGTACAGTTACAATTTGCCAACTCCAGAGTGCAAAGCCATGAGTGTATGTATTGCCATCTTCTAGGTTACTCCTTCTCGCAGGTTGATACAATGCTGCGCCGCGAGGGCTTGGTCCACACGCCGCAACAACTGGCATATCTGGGCGACGCAGTTTGGTCGGTGAGCATCTCTGCATATTTAATTTTGACTCACGTTTTCGCATTAGTTTGAATTCTTATACACGTCGATCTCCCTCTCATGCCGTGCCTTGCACGTTGAATGCCCTTCAGCTGCATGTCCGCTGCAAGTACCTCAGCCCGCCCAAAAACTTCGCAGCGTATCGGACAGCCGCAGAGCGTCACGTCAGTGCGGCACGCCAGGTAAGCCAATCCCGGATCTGCATCCTATTTTTACAACCGGCAGCACCCCCACCCCACTCCTCCGCGTCCCCCCACACAGTCACAAACGCATGCACATTCTTCCCAAGTTTCTCTTCCGCATTCCCCTATTACTCACATGCGCCTGCATGTTTGCATAATCCTTCCTGCTCCCCCGGACGGCACCGTACGGCATTCAAGTCATCATACTTGGATTTGCTGTTGGCTTCCGGGTGGCGGCTGCGTCCAGAGGAGTCACGCTTGGTTCGTTGGGCCCAACGCGAAATGAGTGACCCGCGGTTCCGTCCCAAGTATTCGGCGGCAGGTGGCCAGCTGGGCGCGTACCGCAAGGCCACGGCGTTCGAGGCCCTGGTGGGTGCAGTGTACTATAATGACGGTACGGTTGCTGGTGTGGATTTAGATGTTTCGGTTGCCTAATTTGGCAGTGACTGACCACCGGCACTCCCGTCCTCAGAATCAGTGTTATTACGAAGCACCACCTTTTGAGGTTTGTTGTTGTCAATCGCGTTTGATGCATCTCGTGCGGCTGGAGATGTGTTTCCCCCCGAACCGTCATCCAATTCCCCCTCTTCCCCTTCGTTAGCGCCTCCTGGAGCCCCTTTCCGTCTCTCACTCCTCCCTTACCTACCCTTACCTGCTGCCGCCTGCTAGAAATTTCCGCTCCGTATACCACCGGGCAGTTGGGGCCCCCGTAGCCGCGGGGAGGTGCTGCTGCAGGGACACAACCGCCCATGATGACCGCTGCTTCGCTTCTTAGCCACCAGCAGTCGATGTTTGTGAATAGGTTGTTTGTGAATATACATTCGCATATATATATAACATATATATACATAACATATATATATATATGTTATGTATTGCATATATAAAATCCACACCCTCTCCCGCTTTCTTTCAGTTTGGCATTTATACGTCCCCGAGCAGTTGGGAGGTGCTGTACACGCCGGCAGCTGACTTCCTTCTGCCCGCATTTTGTATCCTTTTCCCCTTCCACCCCTTTCCCTCTCCCCCCCCTCCCCTCACTCGCAGATCGGGCACTTATCCCTAGAGGACCAACCCAGGCTGCAACAGCTGCTAGAGCTGCTAGAGCCTCACATGGCAAAACATGACGAGCAAACCGACAGTAGCAGGCAGTAGCAGCAGCGGCAGCATAGAGCAGCAGTAGCAATAGCGCTGGGCATGGAATTGCGGGAGAGGTACAGCATGGTCCCATGGAGCAGAGGTATGTGTTTGAGTTAAGCTGCTTTATCAGGACATGTTTTAAAACGATAAAGCTGATACCAGTGATAGAGGGGGGGCTGTGGGGGGATGAGTGGGTGGGTAGGCGTGTCGAGGTTCTGTTTGAACCCCCTTAGATGCTGTTGCTGCATTCCCACAGCATGGCATGATGTTGTAATGAACTAAGTCGCGGGGATGAATCGCTGGAGCTGCCATGCAGAGCACATACGTATATATTTGTGTATGTAGATCCGAATCTAATGTGCCGAAGCTTGTTTTTGCCATGTTCGTTTTCGTGCTGTCGTGCAATGATATTCGTACCGCTAAAATGGGCGATAACGGTAATGGCTGTGGTGGTGTTGATGATGGCTACGGCGTTGGCGGTAATGATGTGCATATTGGCGGAGTGATGATGCCCGGCGCTGTTTGGGTCAGAAGGCTCAGATGGCTGCCGCGAAGTGGGGGCCATGGCCTGACATCGCGCCTTGGCAGCTGGGCTGCATTTACCTTTCAGCGTACGGCAATGCCGCCTTTTGGTGTACGGCAATTACGGCACTTTACACGGCGCATAATTGTGCGCGGTCCCGGGCCCATATTTCTGCGTTGATTTGCTACGGGATTTGCTACGGATTGTGAAACCGGAGAATGACTTTCGAGGGCCATTTGTCATATTTTTATTTCTCCGGGCTGCAATAGTGTACTCGTGCGTTTGTTTGTGCCTTCTTCGTCGGGTAGCTATGGTGGATGGTGGCGGTGATTTAACGGCCCAGACCCAGCTCCACGGCGTGCTGTTATTGATCCTGCAAGGTGAATTAGGAATGGATGATGGTAAAATAATCAAGACAGGGCAAATCAATTGAAAGGAGAGCTTTTGGCTGGCGGATAGTTCGAAGTACACTGACATGGGAGAAGAATGTCCACCGCGGCACCCAGAAGCCGTGGGTCAGCGACCCAAGCGGGATGGGCTATGCAGGGCTTTGGGTTATTGGTTTTCATGCCAGCCCCTTATCGTGGGCAAAGGTATGGGGATTAGACGGTACTTAACTGAAATAAATATTGTTTTAGGTATGCGCGGGCGAGCTACCCGTAGCCAGCATAGTATGCGCGGTGGCAAGAGGTAAGCCCTGCAAGACAAGTAGCGTAGAAGGAGCTGTGAAGCTGCGTAGGTAATTTTGGGGTTTGATTCATGTGAACTTGCGAAAACGTCAGATCCATTATTTTGTTTGAGAATCGCAGACACAAACTGCCGCTCTTGACAGGCGGTCCAACAAACTGTACGGAGCGGTTCGTTTTGCTGAAACTCTTGGCGGCCTCTGGCTTGGAATGTGACAACCTGCACTTTCATTCACCCAGTTAATCTTTGAACAATTTTTTTAAAATGGCCGGACTTGAGGGAGCTTTCCTTTGCCTGGGCAACCCACTGCTGGATGTCTCTGCGGTTGTGGACCAGGCCTTCCTTGATAAGTATGAGGTTAGTCCATTTCACCATACGCTTGTGCTCTCGAATCTTTGGGATGATAAAAGTAACCACATATTTATGCATGTGGCGCCGCCCGTGCAGATCAAGCTGGCGAACCAAATCCTCGCAGAGGAAAAGCATCTGCCTATGTATGCGGTAAGCAGTCCCACCTTACTAGGCTTACATCATATGAGTTGATGGTTGCGCCCAGGTCCGACTAGCCATCCGTCGATTTGCGTGATTGACCTACACGAGCTTGCACACTTTCCCCGCAGGAGCTGGCCGAGATGCCCAACGTGGAGTACATTCCTGGCGGCGCTGGTCAGAATACCACGCGCGTGTGCCAATGGATGCTCCAGGTGCCGCACGCTTGCTCATACATGGGCTGCATCGGCGACGACGAGTTCGGCCGCAAGATGACTGAAGTCGCTACCAAGGAGGGCGTCAACGTAAGAAGCCTTTCACAATGATGACCCACCTCGCGGCGCTGTGTCTCTCCAGCCCGACATCCGTATTTATGGCCCCCAGCGCACGCCCTCATTTTCCCCCTAATACCCGCATACCATTTTGCTTAAATCCTCTGGCTTCAGGACCACCATCTTGTTTTTCGCAGCTCACACTTATGCATCTCCCCTCCTGTCTCCTTCCGTCCCTCACCCCTCAGGTTCGCTACCAGGTGGACGCCAGCACCCCCACCGGCACATGCGCCACCTGCATTGTGAGCAGCGAGAGAAGTCTGGTGGCCAACCTGGCTGCGGCGAACAACTTCAAGGTGGGCGGCTAGGCTAGAGAGGAAGGGGGAGGCAGGGAGGAGGGGGAAAGGGAAGGGAAAGGGTAGGGGAAGCTTTTGAGGGCGGGAGAGGGGCGCAGCTGCGAGGGAGGAGGCAAAAGGTTTGAGGAGAGCTCAAGACAACCACGAGAGGCAGGGGGTTGTGTGGTATGTATGTGATATCGCGGAATGGAGAGGGGAGTATAGAGGCGGCCGGGGGAGTCAGGGGAAGGAGGGCGGGAGGAAGTGGGGAGGAAGAGGTGCGCCCAGAGACTCTTGTTGGAAGGGCTCCAGGGGAGCGGGACGTGGCTTAGGCACTTCGAAGCCTGGCTGGTCTGACGCGCGAGAGATGGGAGGGAAGGAAGGACGGGGAGAGAGGAGGCAGAAGTTAGGGCATGGGGGCCAGTTGAGAAGGGGGACGGAGAGCGAAGGGCATTAGGGGTTTGTGTGGGTAGGTCGGTGGGGAGGAGGAATCGGTGCGGACTGAGGTTAGGGGGTAGGGTTGCGGCAGGGCCGGAGGAGTCCACACCCCCAAAAACTCTACTCAAACGCAGCGTCAATGTATTTTTTTGACTACCCCGCACCTTGCACCCGCAATGACTCCCTAACTTCAACCGATTTCCAACCGCCAACGGACGTACGACTCTAGGTGGACCACCTGCTGCTTCCTGAGAATCTGGAGTTGCTCCATAAATCCCGAGTGGTGTACTGCACCGGGTTTTTCATTACCGTGTCACCCGCGGTGGGTTGGGTAGTAAGGTGGAGGGGAAGGGGCACCTGGGGACGGGGGGGAGGGGAGTCATCATTCAAGGAGGGAGAAATAAATTGCTGACGGCTCCGTTGGGATATGGCTGGCGATAGCTGCTGCATGGCTGCTTCTGTTAGGCTCCTCAGCTACGCGGTATAACTCATCTGTTATTTTTTACGTCAGCCATCAACTGTCAATGCTCCTTCCCTTCCCAACTACCCCTTTCTGTGCTTTGGCTGTCGGCTGTTGACTCTTTTTACATCTTACCAACCACACGCCCCCAGCCCCCACGCCCGCATTCGTTTTCGCTTGTGGACTTGTCATGTAATTCTCCCCACCCTCCCCACCCCTCCCCCGCCTGGGCGCAGTCCATTGAAACGGTCGCCAAGCATTGCGCGGAGAATGACAAAATCTACGCTATGGTGAGAGACCACCGGGGGATGCGCACGTACACCCTTCCCACCCTAACTGCTAATTCTTCCTCGTGCCTTCTGGTGTCCTGTCTTATTCTTCTGTTCTCTGCCTTCCTGCTTTGGGTATTTTTCTTCTTCCGTAGCCAATCTCTCATCGCGGTATGTGGGAATTTCTGTTGTATTTCTGTTTTCTTGACGTCCAGGTCCATCGCCACTTTCTCCCTTGAACCCCGTTCTCCGTTCCGTCCCCCCTCTACTATCCGCCATCCCCGTACTCGCTGTCAGAACTTGTCGGCTCCATTTATCGTCCAAGTGCCGCCCTTCAAGAAAGTCCTCATGGACGCCATGCCGTACATTGACTTTTTGTTCGGCAACGAGATCGAGGCAGCTGCCCTGGCAGCTTCGGAGGGCTGGGAGGGTTTGCCCCTGGAGCAGGTGGCACTGAAGGTACGACATGGGTTTTAGAGTTAGGGTTTACTGGTCGGGGGGTAGTTGGGGTATGGGGGAAGGAGGGGGTTTGTCTGGGGCTGGGGGAGACGGAATTCTGTGGGAATTGTTGGGAGGGAGGTCTGGGGAGGTTTAGGGTCGCCTAAATTACTTTCACTGCAGCTTTCCGCAGCATCCACAGCGCATGGGCTCCCCTCCTCCCTCGCCTCCGGGCCCCCCCGGCTCGCGTTTCTCTCTGCGCCTTTCCCTTCCACTCTTCCCCCCTTTGCCTCGTTTCCCTTGTCCTCCTAGCCCCCACCCGGGTGTGTGTCGGCGCAGCCTGTTCGGCCTTTACTTGTACATCATATGATTCCCCCTTGCATTAACAACTCCTACCCCCTCAACGTCATCCCCCCTTCTCGTCAATCGTCTTTGCTTCCTCGTATCCCCCCTTCCCTCTTAACAGATGTACGCCCTGACCTAATTGAACCCGGCGTCCTTCATCTGCCTGAGAAGAGGGATTTGCATAGCTTATTGCTATGGAATATACTATGATTTGTTCGTTGCGCCTTTCTTCTCCTTGATTCCGTGCCACACAAACCTCGCCCTCGGGCCCCTCTTATCCCCCCCTTTTCATCTCGAGCAGCTTTCACGGCTCCCCAAGGCCAACGGCTGCCGGCCTAGAGTTGTCGTGTTCACCCAGGGATGCGACCCTACGTTGGTGGCGGTTGGGGGGAGGGTGTTGAAGTACCCGGTCATGGTGATTGCCAAGGACAAGCTGGTGGACACGAACGGGGCGGGTAAGGAGACGGAGGGGGGGAGCGGTGGCGGGAAGGGTTTTTTTTATGGTCACGATGCTGGGCGGGAGGGACGGCAGGTGGGGAAAGGAGTGGAAAGGGAGGGGAGAGGAAAAGTGGTTCGAAATGAGGGGGAAATGGCGCCTCACCTATCTTTTCCCCTCTCCTAAAAAGCCTCAAAAGCCATACCCCGCGGTTCGGTCTCGACTGGGCCAAAGCCCCACTATTGCTATCACGTCATGAGCTGTTGCAATCCCCATAATCCATCCAACTCCCACTCTGCTACGAACAGCTTCTCCCGCCCATCCCCCCTCCACCACACACCTCGCTAAGAATGTCTCCGACCCCTTACCAACCTCTTCTTTTATCAACATCCGAAAACCCCAAAGGGGGTGGCATCATCCACCGTATTGTAGCGGTGTGGCAACTGCTCCACGTACGGCCATTGCTGTGACAACAACACCTCCCCAAAGATTGCACCTCAAAAATACGCCCCCGCCATCCTCGACCTGTTCCCCCATCCCAACAGGCGACGCCTTCGTGGGCGGCTTCATGTCCCAGCTTGTCTGCGGCAAGGACATCTCGGAGTGTGTGCGGGCGGGTAACTACGCTGCCAACACCATCATCCAGAGGTCAGGATGCACCTTCCCGCCCAAACCCACGTTCATCTGGAACTGAGGAACCAGCCCCTTACCCCCCTACCTACCCCCCTACCTGTACCGCGCTAATGCTTCTTCCTGAAGCCGGGCCGAAAGATACGCGTAGAGAAGAGGGAGGAGGGCGGGTGGGATTGGAGTGGTTACGGCGCTTTTTTCCTCCTCTTTCCCTCGACAAGGGGGAGGGGGGAGCCGTTCGCGGCGCGGTGAAGAGAAGCAAAAGCGAGTGGGGGTTGTTGTGTGCGTATATCTTATGTATGCATGTTTGAGAGAGAGGGAGAGTGGAGCGAGGTGGAGAGGTAGAGGGAACCGGAGACGGAAAAGGTGTCTAGGGCCGAGTCGTACTGTTGTACTGTGATGTAGTGAAAGGCCGCTCAGCGTCATACGTTGTTGCTTAATGTGAGGAATGTGAACCCCCGGCGGGTAGAGGCCCCTCAGTCAGTTTTACCACTCTACGGGGGTGTGGTTGGAGGTGTCCAACCTATCGAGGAGGTGGAGGTAGGTGCGGCGGTGGCGCAGCAAACCCACACACAGCCCACAGGGGCCATAAACCAGGACTATAAATGCGTAGCTGTGGTTGTGTTTTGCCATCACGTGCATCTGATCGATCCAGTGTGGCGCACACGTACGGCAGTGACGTGTTTCCGCTGCTTTTATGGTATGGTGGACCGTTAGTAAATACTGGGGGGAAGGCCGGGGGGGGTGCCGGGGGCCTTGTGGATCAAGACATAGCAGACGTGTGTATATGTGTGTTTTACGGGACTGTGCGTGTGCGTGCACCTCTGCGCCTTCTCAGCGTTCTCATGTGTACGTTTGACCCAACCCTGACATCGACCCGAAGTTGACAGCAGCGCACCCTCACTACCACTTGCCGTACTCTTCCAGCAGGAGGGAACTCGATGTATGTGTGCATGTATGTATGTACGTATGTATGTTAGGGTTGTTTACGGTGACGCGATCCTGAGGATAGCTGCCGAGTTTATGTGGCTGTGACCCCCGACGGGGGGCAGTTTACGTACGGCAAGGGGCCTTTCTATCTATCCCGTACGGGTACTGCGAGTGGGGGGGGACAGATTCGGACTACGACAAGGGGGGGAGCTTGTGGGGGGCTTATCAGGGAGAAGTGGGGGCACGCGGGGGGGGAAGAGTAAGCCGCCTCAGACCCCTTATATCCTCCTTAACTTTGCGTTTTCCTGGTCGGCATGTTTTTGTGTCGAGGCTGGCCACCTCTGATAACTTTCTCCACGCACCCACCCTGCTCTGAACTCCAGGGTTGCTCTCCACGAGGCTAGGCGGTTTCTGTCGTTTAGTATCTTTTCGCTGTGCTGGTGCCTGTAGCTGCTACCTTGTTTAGCATGATAAAATGTTACAATTCTATTTCTGCCACCATTCGTGCCCTCTTTCTCCACAATCGCCATTCCAGCCGACCCGGTGCTGCCCCATCTCGTGCACGTACTGCCGTACATACACACACGCGCGCTGGATAAGCTCTCAACCGGTGACTCCCCTCCACTGCGTCGTCGAAACTGGACATGTGGGGAAACCTACCCATGAAAACCCTCTTACAGCCCCAACATGAAGACCGAAGTCCACACCACAACATGCCACCTTGGAAATCCCCCACGAAAAAAGCTGAAATCATCCCATTCCGCATTTTCCGCTTATCCCCCTCCCCATCCGACAATTATCCCCAGTCATCCCCAAACCCCCAAAGTTTTGGGGATATAAGAATTACCATCCACAGCTCTTGGTGACACCAGCTTACGAAAATCAGCTACACCCTGAATCTCGTACCATCAACAACATCCAGGAAAGACAGCTTGCTAACCCATACGCCGTTGCCGCCGCTAGAAGTGGGCTCAGTCGTGTCGTGTCGTGCCATTTCCCGTATAATCCCTGCATACCGCGATGTACGATGGCAGCACAGGTGGGACACGTGCTCCCGCCAATTCCCTCCCCACAAACCCTTTACCCCCACATACACCAACACGCGCAAAGACGAACACCTGCCTGTTATCAATCCGCGCTCCGGGTACCAAAACCCGTGCCACCTCATAGGGCCGGGCCATCACTGCCCCACAGGGCCAACCCCCGGCACCACGCACCTGGGCAACGGAAGAGGAGATAAGAGAGATAGGAGCTGCTTGCGGTATATGTCACCACCAGGACGTGAAAACACCGAAAACATCAACAACAGCGGCACCAGACCACCAGGCACCGGGGCCAGGCCGGCACATGCCTTACCGCGTCATGTGGGTAGCCATATCAGTTCCGTCCGTAGCCGTGCGCAGCTACTGGACTGTCCATGGGACCCCCTGGGCCCCTCTTACCCCTAAACCCCCTAGCGCCGTGATGCTTCCGGCCCCCGTCCCCCTTAGGAACTGAGAGATGGACGACGGTTGGTTACGCCGCTTTCCCCACCTCCATCACAACGTTTCCTCTAGCATCCCTCCTGAGACGTGCAAGCATTGTCTACTCATGGACGAGGCTGGCGCAATCCCTCTTCAAGACGGAGTTGATGGAAGGGAAGGGGCTCAGCTGGGAGTCAAGCAGAGGAGCCGTTGGCAGTGGCCACAGGCAAATTTGTGCGCCCACGCGAGGCAATTTGATACAAGAGGGCCTCGCTATGGCAGGATACAGACGACGCCTTTAGTAGAACTCGCGCTCGTCTGGCAGCACCATGCCGGGCTCGTCGCCAAGGACGGTCCGGCGCGGGTAGCCACTGCGTCGGTCAGCGTGCCTGAAGCAGAACTCCGAGAGGAGGTAGAAGCCCAGGGAAAAGCCGCCAAGGAACCAGACCGCCTCGAACGTGTGGCGGAGGGTCCAAGCGAACTCCTTCTCGTAATGGTCTCGGCGGTAGTACCAAGCTTCAATGTAAGGGTTCTTCGCCACCCATTCATAGGACCTGTCCACAGGCTTCGTCCTGCTGTAGATGCCAGGCGTATATCGGCCATCTGGCGTGAAGGCCTTTGACTCCGAGGCAAAGCCACGCCCAGCGCCAGCCTTGCTGATGCCCTCGGCCCCGGCCAAAGCGCGGCGCATCAAGCCCTGCAGGTTACGGGCTGAGCTAGCCATAGTTACTGCCTAACCTAATAAAGCCTCAACAAGGAAAGACAAGATACGAATTGGGTAGGACAAAAGCTACGGGGAGCCTAGGTTTTCCTACTGTGGCTTAGACGCTTCTTCTCCTTCAGTGGTTTCCGAAAGCTGCTGACTGGAAATCGACGAGTCCCCGCTACAAGAAGAACGAGGAGTGTCGTACGTCCGCTGAAAATGACAAACTTGCCAATTTGCAAAATTTAAAGTTAAGCTTGGTGTGTAATTGCAATTGCATAACAGACTTCATCCCTGGTAGTTATCATAATATCACTGTGCACGGCCAAATCGCTGCGGGAACAGAATAACGAACCAGCGGAGTAAATAGCAGGGAAGCGCAGAATCGATGGCGGACCACGGTGGTGGTGGCAGTGGCGCCTGGGAGCAGCAAAGGCATCATTACAACAGCCATGCCAGTACCACCCTTTCCACTCGTGAAGTGGGTTGGGCCCGTCGGGCATCCTGCATCGGGTCTCCGTTGTGCATTGCAGTCCTTTGTGGCCCCCGATGGCCCCCTATCCCCCTGCTGCCGGGGTGTTCTGCTTGGGTTGCATCTGGGGCTCCCGCCTGGTGATGCCTGCCACCGGGCCCGGTCACCCACCGACCCAACTTCCCACCTGCGGCCGGATTTACTGCGGCCCTGAGAGTACACACAAAAACCCTGTAACTTAACCGTGTTGCCGGTCGAGCTACTAGTACTATTCCTATTACTACTTCAGTGTTGTGCATGTCTCTTAATGAACGGAGCCCCTCCTCTTTGAGAGGAGGGCGCGGTGGAGGGGTTCACCGTGCGGCCGGTCCCGGGTTCTCACTATCTCCCTGCATGCCGGTGCCCTTGCGCAACCAACCAGCATCCCCACTCCGCCTCCCTTCCACTCCCGAACCGGCACACAGGCTCTGAAACAGCGCAGTGAGGGGCCCGCCCAGGAACTGAAGAACTTTCACAACCATGTGAAGCGCCAATTAATATTGCGGTACGTACATATGTCGTTATATGCGGTACGTACATATGTCGTTATATGCGGTATCCCCAATATTATCTCCCAAGTCTATTTCAGTTCCTTCTTCCTCTTCTCCCTCACGCTTCGAATGGCTAGCAGGTGAAGCTCTCTTTCGAACCACGCCAACTCTGCCTTTCCCCCACACACACTCACACGCTCCTTCTCTATGCCCCAACCCAGTTTCGCGCACAAACAGGAGAGGCTTCTAGACCTGTGCTGTGGTCGTGGTGGTGACCTGCAGAAGTGGCGCGAGGCGCAGGTGGGCCTTGTGTGTGTGTGTGTGTGTATGGGGGGGGAGAGGTCGTGGGGATGTGAGGTGGGCGGGAAGTATGTTCGTGTGTGTATATATACATGATATACATACATATCCATCATGAATATGATATGTGTGTGTTTTAAAGACTCGAGATCGAGGACAGGAATTACAACGATTACATCGATGCGGTGTGGTGTGATGATGCCGCGAAGCACTTTGGCCGGGGCGGACACCAGCGGCCCGAGAAGAGCAGTTCGGGTCGGAGGGCAAGAACCCTGATCCCTCCCCCTCCTTAAAGAAGCCCCAAGACAACCTAGGATTTGTTGTTCTTCCTCTTTTGTCGATGCCCATTGATTGCAGCAGCAGTAGCGGTAGTAGCAGTAGTAGCAGTAGCAGTAATAGCAGCATGTAACGCTACCGCGTCACCGACGAAGGATTCGTCACCGACCTTAACGGTCGTCATGGGGAAGGCGGGGGCGGGAGAGCGTGTGTAGTTGGCTGTTGGGTTTGGTGAGGTGGCGGTTAACCAACCAACCAGCCAACCAACCAGCCATGAGCCGTGAGGAAGGGTGTGAATTATGAAGGAAAAGAGTGTGTGTTTGTACGATCCACGACGGGACTGGGGACACCTTAAAACACACGCTACAACTCCCCGGGGGGAAACCCTCAAGGCACTAATACCCCCTGATTGTACGGCCGATTTGTACTGTTCAAGTTTTAATTTTTTTGTTTTTAGGTCGGTTACGTCAGGGGGCTGGATATTTCGGAGCGGGAGGTGGACGAGGCGCGGCGGAGGTTCCAGGAGCTGGGGGAAAGGAGGTCCCGCGGTGGGTTTGTCGTACCTCGTACCTTGGGAATGTCGTACATAGTATGTGTCAATCATGTCTGTTGTACGTTCTGTGTATGGGAACGCGCTGTTGACTGCAGCAGCAGGTTCGGCCCCTCCTGCTGAATAGTACGCAGTTTCTTATATGCGCACACACACACACGTACTCAGCTAAGCAAAACACGTACACAGCCGTACACAGTCGTGTTGTTCTCTCATTTCCCTTTTCCTCCCGGCGGCCCCGCCAGAGCTGACGCCTATAGCTGTTTACCCCTTGTTATAGTTTTTTCCCTCGTTACCCCCTCTCCCCCCTCATACACACACACACACACACTCACGCCGCCCTCAGGCCCCGGGTCGAACATGGTGTGCGAGTTTCAGGCGGTCGACTGGCTGGGGGAGCGGCCGTACGACGACCCCGTGGCCGGACCCGGGTCGTACGGCGTGGTGACGTGCATGTTCGCACTGCACTACTTTTTCGTGTCGGAGGGGAGTTTGAGGATGTTTTTGCGAAATGTTTCTGCCAACTTGCGATATGGTAAGGGTATGTATGTATGTGGGTGGGTGGGTGGATGAGTGTGGGTGGGTGTACGTGTAGTCATGATTTCCCCCCCCCCCTCCGTGCGCTTTCCCCGACCGCCGGCATCGCACTGGCACCCCCAACAGGCGGTCGGAGAACCACCTACGAATAAATTTTAGCGACACATCCTTTTCCGCTACACACATACAGACAAACGCGTCTGCGGTTCTCCCTTCTATTTCTTTTCTTAAAGATATGAAAACCGAGTGGTGATCTGGTAGCCCCCAATGCTCATATACACACACAAATATGATGTGTGAAACAGGGGGGTGTATCTTCGCCCGTGGCAGCTACCCTGCGAAACCCTGCCTTCCCCGGTATTTCGGGACACCCTCATCCAGTCACCCTAGTCAACTTCTCAGTGGATCGCTCAGATTCCGCACCCACCACCAGCATCCAACGGAATCTGCCGGGTCGACAGCGGCCCAACTCCGTTCCTGGTCGGCTCGCAGGTTACCTTTATCCCAGGTCACCAACGTCCATCAACCAGGGGCGCAATACCTTCCACCATCGGAAGGATTTTTGATCCTAGCGGGTATCGATCCCGGGATCTCCCGGGGGCAATGGTCGCGCGTTACCAGTAGTGCCAAACCCTAGGATATGTACACACATGTATATATACATTATAGACACGGCATACATGAATTACATACATTCATACGTACGTACATACATACATGTTATACGCGTACACGCGCACAGGCGGCTACTTCATCGGCACGGTTCCCAGCGGTCGACGAGTGATGCACTTGCTGGGTGGTAGGCCGGAGTTCCGCTCGCCCATGCTACGACTAAAACGCAGGTGGCAGGTACGACAGTACGGTGAGATGCAGTACAGTATGGCGTACGGCGTTCATAATTTTGCCAAGTCCGTTTTTTGTAGCGTGCATGGCATTTCCTCTTGTACCGAACGAACTCATCTGGCTTTTCCTTTGTTGTCTATCTGTCTGTCTGTCGGTCGGTCGATGTGTGGGGTAGCTTGGGATGTAGGAGGGGGGTGTTTTTGAGGGGTTGCGGGTTCCTCTCTTTTCGATTTGAAGCAGTGCCTGATGAGTATGGTGGTGGTGGTGGTGGTGAATGTAAGTTTTCAGGAAAGCAGGAAAGCGATGAAAAGAGCAGAGGTTTGCTTGTGACCGCTCCCGCTTCGCCCGCGCATTACTTTTTGCGTGACCTCTCTCCACCCTCCCTCCCCCTCCCCCTCTCCCAAACGTTTCATCATACCATACACATATATAAATCGTTATCAGTACTCACTCACACACGCGTGGGAGGCTGCATTCGTCCCGCTGTCACACATCCCGCTCGCCGTGTTGTAAAAACTTTTATTTCTCGAAACACATCAGGCATTAGGCGGTACATGTTGTCGTACTGACCGTACAGGCCAGTAACATATGGCCCCCGGCACCCCCCTCAAATTCGCATTCGCCAACGGGGTGTTAAATGACTGATGCTGATACTGGTACTGATACTCCACATGGAAAATTGGAATACATCCGTACATATACATACATACATATATACACCCGCTTGTTCGCATGTAGGACCCCTTCCGGCCCCCACTGTACGGCGCGGGGTATATTTGCGACATTGCCGACACGGTTACAGCTTCCCTGGAGGGGGCGACCGAGGGCTCCCTGGAGTATTTGGTGGACCTACCCACCCTGGAGCGAGTGGCGGCAGCGGAGGGTCTCCTTGCCGTACGAGATTACATGGATCCCGTACTGGCATCGAATTTCAAAGACGTAAGCTGCTCGTACGTTGGATGCAAGTTCAACGTAATAACGCTAAACAATACAATAAAGAGCGAAAACCCCGAGTAATGCCCGAACTTCCGCTGCACCCCCCAACCCTCTTTTTAGGAGGATCTCGATGCCCCTTTTAAGCACTTCAAACCTTTCTTCCTGCACTCGCTCCAACTGGACGAGGTGCCGGGCAATCCGCCCCCCATGCCACCAAGCAGTTTGGAGCGGGTGAGTGTGACTGTCGCAGGGAGGATTGGGGGGTTGCTTTGGGGGGGAAGACCAAGGGGGAAAGGGAAGGAAGGGGGGGAGGAGTGTGTATTGTTATAACAATGATCGCCGCGATCTGGAACTGACGAAGATGGCGTTCGGACGGACGAATACGGTCACTTTCCTGTTACGGTAGGAATAGGGATGATGATGTTTATCTGTGTATGTATGTAGGTACGTAGGTAGGTAGGTAGGTAGGTAGGTAGGTGTTCATGTCGGTGGTCGAGTTTTCGTGGATGTACGACACTTCCCCTCTCCAGCGTTTTGCTGTCTGCGGAAGAGGTTCGAAGGTGTGTATTCAGACCGTCTCTCGTGTCTCGTCAAACTTACTTCAGTCCGCCGTACTCATGCCGTACTCATACTATTTGTTGCACATGTGAACATGCACGGCATAGCTTCCACCCCTCTATCCCGGAGGTTCCCCCCGGGGGACTTGGACGCCACGTTGCCTGTTGCCTAAGTAGGCGCCTCCCTTCCTCCCTGACCCAGGCACAAGTAAGACCCCCAGGCATCCACGTCCGTGTTTTCCTCCCCCCATCATCCTCCCCCCATCGTCCTCCACTTCCCCCTTCAGGCGAGTGCCCTCTTCGCCGCCTTCGTGTTTCAAAAAGTCAACTCTCCGGACGCCATCAGTGTACCCTTGGCTCCGGAATGCAGCTTCATGCAGGAGAGGAAAATTAATCAACATCATCAACAGCACGGGAGAGGTTTCGGAGCCCCAGGCGGAGGCGGAGGCGGAGGCCCTCCCGGGATGGGGCCACCTATGGGCGGCCCTAACCAGCTCCTCCATCCCCACTACAACCACATGGGCCCTCTGGAGGGACCCATGGGCCACATGGGTCAACATCACCAAATGGGAGGCGGGCCGGGGGGCCCGTACGGCAGAGATATGCCGTACGGCGGCGGACCGCAACAGATGTACGGCGGAGGGGGACACGGGAAGGGGTTTAAGAGGCCTTGGGAGGGTCGTGATGATGGTGGTGGCGGGCGGGGAAGGATGAGCAGGGGAGGGGGCCCGGTTCATGGTTGAGCAGTACAGCTGCCGTACTATGGCCGTACGGCAGTTCGGGGACCATCTAGAGAGGCCATCGTTTGTGGAGGGCGTCGTACCTTGATATTGGAGTTGACTCTTCTATACCATCATAGTATTTTTTATTTTATTCGCGTTGGCGTGTTGGTTTGCGCGCGCTATGTGCACTGCACATACATACATACATGTGTAGTAGGGATCGTGGGATCGATCCCAACAAAGAGCGGGATGAAATTCCCTCGACTGTGATAAGAGGTTGCATGCACCCCCGTGCCAGTGAACGGTCGGTGATGGTAAACCCTGTCATGGCGATGGACCTGCGAGCCGCCCGACCGCCCGGGTGTGGCGCGTTGGCGCCGGCCTGGGTTTGGATTTTGGGGGCAGATTCCGCTGGATGCATGTGTTGGTGGCGGTGATGGTGGCGGTGGCGGTGGCGGGAGCTGAAGTCAGGAAACCGACTCACGGCGATGCGAGGAGGAGGATGAGGGTGGGTCTCAATCGGGAAGGTCGTAGGGGCTGCCAGGGCCGCGGGTCCACGGGTGAAGCTGTAACGCCCCAACTCACACAGTCATACATACTTACATACATACATACATACTATCTACGCGGCTCCCTTTCCGGATTCTACGCCACTGCAGCTTTATTCACTCGTACGACATTGACACGACCAGCAACAACGCAACTCCCAAGCCAACCGTAATAACCGCCACGTGCAAACACAACCTCAACGTACCTGCGCTAACAGCAGCCTGGCCGCACAATTACCAAATCCACCCAAACCCCCGCCCGCTCTTTTCCACCGATAAATCCACGACGGCCCTACAAGCCCTTCTTAGACCCCCTACGTCCCCAAACCAATTTTGTCGGTTGTCGGTTGGGGGTTGGGAAACATGGAGGTGGTAACACGCGGGTGGTAAGGCACGCGCACAAAAACCCAAGTAATGCCGAACTCCCAGCTGGCTTCGAGACGGCGACGGCTTCGAGGCCTGCGCTTCATCCTTATCATCATCATCATCGTCGTCGTCGCCAAGATCGCCGTACGGAGTACCGGTATGTAGATAACGGCGGCCAAGGTGGCGTGCGGTGTCTGAAGTGTCTGTACGGTGCTGTGTGTTAGTTAATACAGTGAACTGCACGCAGCCCTGATTATGGACTCATGGATTTGCCATGGCGGTGAAAGTACGACGCTAGAAAGGCTGTCAGCCGCTTGGAGGTATTTGAGAATAGTCAATCAGAGCGCGATCTGGAGGGTCGTGTGATCTGGCCCGGTTGGCGTTCGGTTGGTCGACTGAACTGACAGTTGCCGTTTCCCTGAGGGGTCCTAACTTTCTTCCCGGAAGGGTGCAACCGCCGCTCCCCCGTAACTACGCATGCACGGAGATTTGTTTCTGAATAGCTTGGATAGCTCATACAACGGATGGCCAGGATGTGTTTAGGTCGATAGCGGCTAACTTAACAGTTAACCTCCACTTTCGCGAATGCTTGCAAGTGGTAGCTGGGAGAGAAGGATATTCATTTTGTCTAGCTGGATGTGCAGTACCGGATGACCGCTTTGATGTTTCACTGTTGAGCCCTATTTTGGACATTGTCAGCCGCCATAGTCAACCGACAATGCCCCTGTCAGCCTCGGTCTTTCGGCGAGGCGGCCCCAAAAAGGAGCTCTTCGATGTTATTAACGAGGATGCCGACGATGAAAAAGAACTTGAGGCGAAGCTTGCGGAATTGGATGAGCTGCTGCATTTAGACAAAACTGGGTAGGGAGCTCGCTCATGACAATGTTCCAGAAATTTTCTTAACCATTAACCATTTTCTTCACAAATGCATTCCGGGTGCGCTGGGTCCCCCTCCGCGTTAGCACCGCGGCACACATGGTATACTATAAATGCCATGTGTTCGTCTCTGTTCCCCTCTGCTGCTCTCTTACCACGCAGCCGCGATCTGTCCGCGGCGCTGTGGCGCCCATCTATGTGTGCTGCTGAGTTGCTCAAACAGCGGAAGCAGTGTGCTAGGGACATCGGTGAGCGGCCCACCCCGCATTCATATCGCCCAACGCGCATGTGCGGGTGTAGTATATACGTATGTATGTGCTGAGGAGAGTAATCGCACGTGAGGGCGATAAGGAGTAGAGAAACCGTCTGTCTGTCTGTCTGTCCGTCCACTGAACAGAACCTCTGCCGGCACCAGCAGCAGCTCCACCACGGCCACCAGCCCGTTGGGTGTACGACATTGTTAATACATAGACACACGGTGAACATGAGCTCACCCCCACGTGTGTGTGTGTGGGGGGGGAAAGGTCAAACACACGCCGAAACAGTTGACTTGTGTTTCCTTAAGTAACGTCCCCACGCCGCTGTCCCTTTCCATTGGGGTCAGTTGACCACATTCACTTCTTGCATCATAATTACTTTCCACCCTGCTTTCCCCTGCCCCCCGTTCTCCTCGCCCCCTTTCCCTCGCCCCTTTCCCTCTTCTCCCCTCCTCTGCCCCCCCCCCCAAAAATCCCGAAAGGTTTCATCCGGAGCCACCGGACGTACCTTCACGTGGAGGAGGCCGTGTGAGCCCCGGGGGAGGGGGGCGGGTATCGCACTCTGGCTGTGGGGGAAACAGGGGAATTCCCGGGAGGGAAGGACGAACCACTGACGATTGAAGCAGATACCAGAGATAGATTGACGGATACTCCGCACAGGACTTATAGACAGATGCACTGGAGTTACTGATTATCATCATCATTATTATTATTATCATTATATTACTATTATTATTATTATTAATATTGTTGCAGGGTTCTTCACCCCGATTTGGCCCCGAAAGTTTGAGATTTTTCCGTTTTGGCCGAAAGGAAAATTGAGGCACCCCGGAGCGACCCTGTAGTAGTTGGTCGCTGAAAAGGCCTCTCGAGATGATGATGCTGGCGGTCGCGCTTAGCGCGTATTTGTATAGCGGTACTGTGTACCAGCTACTACAGACCCGAAAGGATTTGGCGGGAGTGGTGGGGAGCAGGCTGGGATGGGGGGGGCGGTGGCGGTGGTGGTGGTACCACGCACCGGAAGAGTGCACTGCGGGGGCTTTGTCCGACCCGTGGGGGGCAGCAGCAGCTGCTGCCACTGCTACTGCTGCTGCTGCTGCTGCGACCCGGTCTTAGGGTTCTGAGCCCCAGGCCCGTGTCAAAGTACTGGTGGTGTCACCCTGTTAGCTGTCCTGGAGGGGAGTGGTTAGACGGGCGAGAGGGAGGGCGCCAAGGGGGCGGTGCGCTAAAATACTGTTTTTCAAATCCAAGAGGGGGGGACTACCGGGTGGTGGTGGTGGTGCTCGTCGTGATGTGGTCTGTATTTGTGTGTGTATGTGTGTGTCGCCGTACGGACTGTCCGACCACCGTAGGTTTTTGGTGGACCGCGGCGATCTGCTCCTGTTCGTGGAGGAGCCGGATGATCAATACCAGCAGCAGCAGCAGCAGGCGGCAGGAGCTGTTGGAGACGGGGCGGCGGCGGCGGCGGCGGCGTCATCCGACCCCGGGTGGTGGCGGCGGCGTCATCAGCGCCAGCGGCTGCTCTCTGTTCAGGAGGCCTTTGACCTCATGGTGGGTTCAGGGTGGTGAGGGCGGTGGTGAGGACGGTGGTGAGGGCGGTGGTGAGGGCGGTGGTGGTGAGGACNGGTGGTGAGGGCGGTGGTGGTGAGGGCGAGTGGTGGTGAGGGCNGGT